ACAGCTAGCGAGTACAGGAAGTGAAGTGAAAACAGGAATGTGACAACACATCACAGGCATCCTCAGTATCCAGTGACTTTACCTCCCTTTCGTCCCTGGTATTCCAGCAATGGCTTGCCATGACCAGATGATTTCATCATTGCAAAGACTTGTAAATGTTCTCTTTTCCAGTATCACATTCACTCTCCAGGACCTAAGTACTATTCACTGACCACCTCCTGCATCAATATTATAAATGCCTGGATGCCAATTCAATTTGGAAAATAATTGTCTCATTCATGTACATTATTGCTGCAATCATCCTGGGAGAGTACAGTGAGGATCTCACTAAGAATGTGGAAGAAATGTATCACTAAGAATTGATTCAAAAATCTAATTCAAAAATCTAATCAACTAATGATGGGTGAGAGAGTGGGTAGGAGCAGAAGTCACCTTAAATGAAAAGGTGAAAAACAGAATCTACAAACCAAGGCAATTGATCTGCTAAGGCAGTGGTCAGCAAACTCAGTCAACAGAGCCAAATATCACCAGTACAATGATTGAAATTTCTTTTGAGAGGCAAATTTTTTAAATTTAAACATATTCTAATGCCACTTCTTTAAAATAGACTCGCTTTGGCCATGGTATTTTGTGAAAGAGCCACTCTCAAGAGGCCAAAGAACTGCATGTGAGCTGCAGTTTGCCAACCACAGTGCGAAGGTATTAGACTCTAGTTTTATATGGTTATGTCTGTTTAAACAACTAGATTTAGTATGCTGAGTATCTCAGTATCTCTAAGACTGCCCTATCAACCCAATAAATGCCACCTCAGAGTTTCCAGCACCAGGTTTGCATAGCTGAGAGGCGCCAGCTCTGAAGATAATTTGACTCATTCGTCTGTCGCAATCATATTGCTTGCTCATCAGTTTTTTAATAATTTAGGTTTCCATATAAATTTTTATGCAAGGAGAGAATGAATAGCCCAGCTGACTTGATGATCTATTCCCCTTAATTTTAATCAATTAAAAGAAAGAAAAAGCCTAACCAAGAATTTTGTGACTTAATCAAATGTTAACCCTTAGTTTATAGGAGAAAACCAACTCTCACTTGTGTGTTAATACTACTGGTCCAAATTTTCTCTATCAGCTGGCCTTAATTCACAATACCATACCTTGTGCATAGTTGTGGTATTTTTTAATCTTATTTTTTCAACATTATGAAGGTGTAAGTATTAAGAATGCATTGTAAAGGAAACCTTTATAAAGAAACACAGGACACTTTGTGAGGAGGAAATCCTCAGAACTGCTGTGGTCCTCCTCCAGTGATGATGAGGACACATTTGAAGACCTAGCCAACACACTGAGGATGGTAGACAAGAGAGAACTTGAGTCCTTCCCCACTGTTGAGCCCCTTAATCAATCTTAGAGGCATCTGTAGGAGTCAGTGTTGGATCAGAGAGGCAGACTGATGAGAAAGACAAGAAATAAGGATTTATTATAACGATTCAGCCTTACACAATTGTGGGCACTGGTGAAGAAGTCTAGGCCAGGCTGCCCCTTCTGCCTCTGGTGCTGGGCCAGTGCTCAGGAAAGAGAGTTGGACATGGAGTGAGGAGGGTGATGACAAATGGGAATCCATGCCTGTGAGGGCCTCCAAAGTCCCTGCCATGGGGGCCCTACATGAGAAGCTGGCGCCCATTGCCTTGGAACCCCACACATGCCTGGCCAAGACTCTGAGGCTGAAGAGGGAAACTGACAGGAACTGGAAGAGTTGTGGGTCCATAGTTGTTGCTGATCTTAGGTAGCTCCCATTTGGAGCCTGGTCTAGTATTTGCCAGCTATGACAGTGTCTGGGGCCGAAACTGACCATATGAGCACCCAATAAACAGATGCTCCTTCACTGCTTCTTCTCAAACCTGGTGTAAATTTCTCCTGTGCCTAAGTCCAAGCCAGAACCACAGAAAGGAATTCTGGGAAATGTACCTCTAACTAGAGAAACTGACACAATCCAAAACTACCGTACCACCTATCACTAAGTGTCTTCTGTAAGAAGTGGCTTCAGTGTTTAAAGCCTACACCAGCATATAGCTTTCATGTGAGTCAGTTAGAAAGGTTTCACCTATAAGTGCACAGTGCCTAACTATGACTATATATAGATTACAGTGCTAGCGAAAAGTTTATCAACTCCCACCATTAGTGCCTAAAAATATAGACTTGCGGATTAGGGATGTGTCAAGCCAAGTTCACTAACTTCAGTAATAACCATTTGCTAACATGCTCTAGTCTTCAAGGACTATTACTGGTCTAAGGATTTATCCAATGAATATTACTCATTAAGAAGCATTATGGACAAAGAACAAATATCCATTCATTTGTTAACTTCAGAATTTAAAAAGGTCATTGCATCTATTTAATCTTTCATGTGAAATGTTTACTTTTATTTGAGGATCAAAAAATCCCCATTAACCTTGGAAGCAAGGATATTCCCTTTAATTATTACATTTTTCTAACCACTTTGTTTAATGTTTGTTTCAAACACAACTCAACTTTTCAGCCATAAAATGAGACTCTCCTTGTACTTTCCCAGCCACTGTCCTCCAGAAGCAAGAATTGCTTATTTTTCATGAACCTGAAAAACAGTATCAGTGCATTCTGTGAGATTCCTGTGACTTTCATCAGTAGAACACACACCCAGGACCAAGCCCAGTCCTCTCCAGAGGTGAGCAGGCCTCATCCAACTCTTCATTAGCTTCAAAGGGAGGCAGAGAATTGGGGCAATTATCTGCATTATAGAAAGCAGACACCTGCCAGTAATTCACCCCAAGGGTGCGCTTGGTCACTCAATGTCCCACCCTGCCTTGCAAGTGAAGGAAGAGTCTTCTACAGAAGACCCCATGTGGGAAAGTCTCTGTAGCCACATCATCAATGTGCTCCACAGCCCGACATGCAATTCTATCAGAAAACCTTTTCTTCTGCTTTAAGACAGTTAAGAGATTTCCAGGCTTTTCTTCTGTGAATGGGAAACAATTAGTCATGCCGAGGACGCTTTTCCTATTCATCTCTGGCCTTGCAGAAGAAGCAATTTCTGCTTTGCTCATTTAATCTTTGTTGGAAATAACTGTGACAAAGTCTAATACTTTACATCTGCTTTGGAGCCCTTTCAACCTCCTGCAGCTGAGTCCAATTGCAGCACATGGGAGGCATTTCTCTAAACAATCCATGATATGGGCCTGCTGGGCAGGCTCTGCACAGAAGACCCCAAATCCAATGCCATAACTTTCTCAAATTGAGGCCAGAGTTCACACCATTTTACTGGACCTCTCCACCGAGGCCTTATCCCTGAGACAACTATGCAGGCTCCAGTAAGAAACCTCTGGAGTCTGCCAGTGACTCACACTTCTTATATTTTGATCTAAACATAGGCTTCATACCAACTTTTAGTTTCTGCTTCAAAAGAGGTCCTTTTGACCTCGCTTAAAGTAATATTTACTGTTGGCAACCCTATCTATTTATTTTGCAGGGTTATGAGTAATTACAATAAGAACGAAGACCAGACATATACAATTTTTTTTTTATAACTGAAATGGTGGTGCCTGTCTGTGCTAGGCATTGTGCTAAGTGCCTTATAAGCCTTCTATGAAGGATAGCCAATCTCCTGTTTCTCCTGAAGCCAGATATCATTTTTTTTAAAAAGTGTATGCTCCTTGGAAAATCTATGAGGAATCTGAAGCCCTGATTGCTGTAGTCTGGATGTTTGTGTCCCCCACAGATCCACATGTTGAATCCCAACACTCGTATTGATGGTATTATCGATAAGTGGGGTTTTAGGGAGGTGATTTAAGTCGTAAGGTCGGAGTCCTTAAGAGGTATTAGTGCCTTAATGGTATCAGTGCCTTTATTTAAAAAATAAAATAAAATTAAAAACCCCAGAGAGCTTCTTCCCCATTTTTCTCCATGTGAACTTACAGTGAGAAGAGGCCATTTGAGAAACAGCCCTCACCAGGTTCCTAATTTACCAGCACCATAGTCCTGGGCTTTCCAGACTCCAGAACTAAGAGAAGCCCAGTCTCTGGTGTTTTTGGTATAGTAACCTGAACTGACTGCGACACTGATCCCATCAAGCTTACAGTTTACTGTTCCTTGTTACTCTACCACTTTGCCGAGAACTTTGAGGGAGTGGCCTCCATGATAGGATCAGAACAGCCTTTATGGCTCATAGAGATGTAGAAAGTTTTCTTCTCTGTGATTTAGGCAGAAAGCTAGAAAGTAGGACTCTTACATTTGTTCTCCACTGCCTCAGTTTTAAACCTGAGCCCCCAGGTCTCCATATACATACAGCACAAAGTCATATACTTATCTACCATAGAATCTCAAGCAGATCCATCTGTGCCTTTTAATTAATATTTTTCCCTGGGCTCCTGACTATTCTATACAAATGAATTTAGGCCCTGGCTCTCGCTCTCAGAGCCTGCAAGTTAAGCTAGAATTAAGCATTTGAGAAGTATAAATACAGTGTGCATCCCACTCAGATGCTTAGCACTTCCTACTACCTGGACCAGTAGAATTTAGTAAATATGGGAAGGTTTTATTAGAATGTGTTTTATATATATATATATATATATATATATATATATATATATATATATATATATTACTGATTTTTTTAAAATATATTTTATTGATTTTGTACAGAGAGGAAGGGAGAGAGATAGAAAGCTAGAAACATCGATGAGAGAGAGTCATCGATCAGCTGCCTCTTGCACACCCCCTACTGGGGATATGCCCGCAACCAAGGTACATGCCCTTGACCGGAATCGAACCCGGGTCCCTTCAGTCCCCAAGCCGACGCTCTATCCATTGAGCCAAACCGGTCTCGGCATGATTTTTAGAAGCATTTAAAGAGAAAAACAAGAAATATCTTAAGAGTTAGAACAGGGAAGAAAGGGACATCTGTAATACTTGCGACAATAAAGATAATTTTTTTTAAAAAAGAGTTAGAATAGAGTTGAACATGTGACATACCTTTTTTTTCCAAACTCTTCCATTTTAATCTTGATTTTATTGACTTGAGATTCTGCTATCTTTGCCCTTTCCTGAGCTTCATTCAACTCATGTTGCTGCTTCTTATACTCGGAAAGATATTGATTGGCTTGTGCTTCCTATAAAAATAAAAAATGGGTAGAAAAAGAAATCTCTGTGCCTACATAGTCATATTTTTTCTGCTCTGACATGAGAAAGTTGAAAAATGTGTGAAGGGAATCTAAACTTCTGTGTATTGAAAGGAATATCATATTTCTGTATGACATATAGGATTCAGATTTTCCAGCAGGCATGAGATCTATTTTTATAACTGTTTTTTTCCTATAAGTTTAGAACATGGTCGGCACTTTCCACCAACTGGATGTAGTCCACCGGCATGCACAGATTTGGTACGTGATAGAATGACCAGGGTTGCTTGTTTCTTATTAGTTCAACATCGTATTATACCTCTGGGTAAAGGGCGGTGGACCTTTACAATTATATTGGTCAATGGGTAATAGCTATAACAGTGTTTTAGCCCAAATAATTTAAATAATCAACTTGAAAGCCCTAAGGAGATGTCATTAGGTATAATCCAATATATATGGCACTTATCTTTTACATTGCATGTAGCTATGGATACTAACCCAAAGTTGGCAGATACATTTCAAGTGATAACAGTTTTGTGCACAGTCATGTCCAGACTCATCAGAAAAAGGATTGTGAATTGCATTTATGCTTACTCAAGGTTTTAGGGTGAGGAAGGCCCTAGGGTGACTACCCAGCCAAAAAATGTGCCATCGCTACTTAATACCATGCTCTTTCTTGGCTTATTTCTTGCACTGTACATGTTTAGTGCAATAATCACAAAACTGAGGGAAAGAGCTCTGGCTCCCTGGAGGGAAAAGTAGCACAAAATTTTACCATGGGTGCTGATTCTAGCTTGAGAAAAAACAGAGAACGAGCAGACTTTAAGGTGAGCTGCTTTTCTCTGACAAGTTGCTAACCTAGCTTAGGGCCCCACATCTCCATTAATCAAAAACAACTGCTGGGAAATCCAGGAGGCTGCAACTGCCCCAGGCACTTACCACCGCCTCAATTTGCTGCTTGTAACTTTGCACTTTTAGCTGAAGATTATCCATCAGAGTCTGCATCCTGCTCAGATTTTTTTTTCCTTCCTCTACCTGAAATGAATAGGTATGAATGTGAAGGTGATTTGAAGGACCCAGTAGTGTGCATTGGAAGTAGCCTCATATGAGGAACTAAAGAGTAAGGAAACTTTGTTAAATGTCATTTATATTAGAGTTATGACTGGAAAATGGGTTTAATCCATGCCAAGTTTGGAGAAATTGAGAAAAACACAGCTTTTAGCAATGAGTCATTTCTCCTGATTCACCAACAGAGCTCCCAGCCATTGCTAAAAATGGAAGTTAAAGCCACTAGTTTTAATTTGGTCTTCAGTCCTTCCATCAAAATCAAGCTATATCTCTGCCTACAGTTTCTAAGTCACTTCCCACCAATCAAACCAAATCTTCCTTTGAACTTTCTAAATTGACTGTTGGCTTTTGCTAATGAAATAGGAAAGGTATTTTTCTGGAGTTTTGGTGTGGACATCACCAGAGATAGTGAGGAAAATTCCATTAAGCTCTGAGGATGTTGTGTGCATTCTCATTGCTACCATTGCAATCTAAACTTGACATGGAAGAAGGAAATCTAGTGAGATAGGGTTTTGCTGCTGTGCTCTTTGGAGCCTTTGGGTATTGTGAGGAGAAAGGAGGGAAGAGACAAGCAGGTAGATAAGGGTCTGAATGACCCCCCCTTCCTCCAGTCTTTAAACTCAAATATCTCCACATTGGGGCTGTTGAACTTCCCAAAGAAGAAAGTATCTCAACCTTTGATACTTATTTAATCAAGACCTACCCTTGTTGCTCAAATGTTGTTTTGTTTTTATTTTCCTGGTTGCATCTTACTTACTTCATCAAGTATCAACTACTTCAATGAAAGTGTTGAAAACTGTATAGGCATATGCAAAAGAATAAAATTGAACCACTATTTTACGCCATACTACATATGAACTCAAAGTGGATTAAGGACTGAAACCACAGAACTCCTGGAAAAAAAAACATATGGAGTAAGCACTTTGATATTTGTCTTGGCAATACGTTTTTAGGGTTTGACACCAAAACAAAGGCAACAGAAGCAAAAATAAACAAGTAGGACTATATCACACTAAAAACAAACAAACAAAAAACCAACAACATAAAAGCAACCATCAACAAAATGAAAAGGCAACCTATAGATCAGGAAACAACCTAAGTGTCCATTGACAAGTGCATAAAGAAAATGTGTTCTGTATATACAATGGAATATTATTCAGCCACAGAAGAGGAGGAAATCCTGCCATTTGCAAAAATTTGGAAGAAACTTGAGAGCATTACAATAAGTGAAATAAGTGAATCAGAGAAAGACAATATGTGATCTCACCTATTTGGAGAATCTAAAAAAACCTTGAAATTATTATTGAATAAGAACAGATTGGTGGTTGCCAGAGGCAATGGGAGTGAGGGATGGGATGAGGTTGGAAACATAGGCGAAGTTGGTCAAAACATACTAATTTCCATTTATAAAATGAGGAAGTCCTAGGAATATAATGCACAGTCTGGTTACTATAGTTAACAACACTGGATTGTACATTTGAAAGTTGCTAAGAGAATAAGTCTTAAGAGTTCTCATCACCAGAAAAAAATTTATAACTGTATGGTGATGAATATTAACTAAACTTGTGCTAATCATTTTACAATATAAACATATATCAAATAAGTATGCTGAACACCCAAGGTGAATTCATGTTATATGTCAATTATATCGATATTTATAAGCAAAGAAACAAACAAATGTAGGTTCAATCAAGCTGTTTCTATTGCCTAGAATGCTCCCTTACACCCCCACCTTAAAGTAAATCTTACAGTTGATAACTAATAACTAATTTTCAGCTTACTAAGATAGGAACCAATATTAAGGAATAACCTGGTGACAATGAGAAAAGTCCTTCTTAAAAATAAAATCTATTTTCTGTTTTCATTTGCTTATCCCACCACGTCTCAGGTTTAAGAAATTTGAAGATTCATAGAACTCTGTGTGAATAAAAAGTTCTAAAACCAACAGAGCTCTAATTGCCTAAAATCAATTTACTGAGGTCAATAAATTTACTATGTGGTGAAGGAGGCCACACAGAAGAAAACTGAAAATGGCTAGAAGTGGTTGCTGATGGTAATGTTGTTCTCCTTTGGGAAGGCAAGCCTTTGTTAGGCCTGGGTTCACGGACATCTCACTCTGAGGCATTAAGTAACTGTGGGAACCAGGGTTGTGCACCACTCAAATTTCCCTTCAAGAAACTTGCCATTCAGCTGTGAGTAGTAGTTTCCTGAAAACTGCCAACTGCCATAACATTTGAGATCACAAACTCCCTAAGCAGCCACTACTAGTAAGAAGGCACTGCACAGCTACTAGGGTCTAAACATGGGACTCCTCTGTGGGCAATTTTTGTGCTGGAGACTTGTTTAGAGTATTGCTGCACTATGAGGCTCCTTCTATCCAATCCTCCTTCCTTCATCCTTTTCCTTCACAGGTGTAGGACTCTACTGTGGTCTGTAGGCTTTCTCAGCCTGAATCCTGTTTGCTCTCCTCGTTATCTTTCCCAGGTGTTACCTCTAATAAATCTTTTGAGCTTCTAATTCCATCCTGGCATCTGGTTCCTGAAGGACCCACCCAAGCCCAAATTTTGTTTTCTCCAAAAATAAAGATGTTGCCAAAACTTGTTTGGCTCGGGATACAGAGTCGGCCTGTGGACTGAAAGGTCCAAGGCTCGATTGCGGTCAAGGGCACATTCTTAGTAGGGAGTACGCAGGAGGCAGCTGATCAATGTTTCTCATCAATGTTTCTGACTCTATTCTTCTCCCTTCCTCTCTGTAAAAAATTCAATAAAATATATTTTAAAAAATAAAAATGGCTTCTCTATAATCCTATCTAATAAAATAGTAATATGCAAATTGACATCACTCCAATACAGAAGATGGCTGCCCCCATGTGGACACAAGATGGCTGCCACAAGATGGCCAGCAGGGGAGGGCAGTTGGGAGGGACCAAGCCTGCATGGGAAGGCAGTTGCAGGGAACCAGGCCAGCAGAGAAGAGTAGATAGGGGCAGTCAGGTCTTCAGGGGAGGAGAGTTAGGTGTGACCGGGCCGGCAGGGGAGGACAGTTGGGGAGACCAGGCCTGCAGGAGAGGGCAGTTAGGGGTGATCAGGTTGGCAAGGGAAGGCAATTAAGGGTGATCAGGCAGGCAGGGGAGTGGTTAGGGGTGAATAGGCAGAAGAAGTTAGGGGCAATTATGGAAGCCAGGCAAGCAGTTGGGAGCCAGCAGTCCTAGATTGTGAGAGGGATGTTCCAGATTGGAGAGCATATAAACTGGGTTGAGGGACACCCACCTACTCCATGCACGAATTTTATGCACTGGGCCTCTAGTTAGATTTATAAGGATTAAATAACATCTGCATACAGATGTCTGACTGAAGCAGTCGAAGGTAAAATGGAGTAGCCTAACCGGTTTGGCTCAGTGGATAGAGCATCAGCCTGTGAACTGAAGGGTCTCAGGTTTGATTCCAGTCAAAGACATGTACCTTGGTTGTGGGCAGGTCCCCAGTAGGGGGTGTGCAGGAGGAGCTGATCAATGTTTCTCTCTCACCGATGTTTCTAACTCTATCCCTCTCCTTTCCTCTTTGTAAAAAATCAATATATATTTGTTTTTTAAAAAGAATACAGTGCATGGAACAACATTATTAAAAAAATAGAAAAACTTTGGTGTTCTATAATTAACACCAAAGAAAACAGTAAAAATAATGCATAGGAATTTTTTTTTTTAAAGGAAAAAGCTCAGCCATTATTAACAAGCAGTGTTCATGCCCTCACATAGGTGACTTTCCTAACCCCTCAAAAGAAGAGTGGGAGCAGAAAACCTGTCTTTACCTTTTCAACAATTACAAGTTTCTTGTCTTGCAGCACATTTTCTAAACAGCAAAGAGAAAAAGTAGGATGATATAATATTCTAAATGCTAGAAGGACATATGAGATAAGTGCTCAGTGGGATTGGCCATAGAACAGTTGTGGATGGGGTCACACCTGATTCCCTTTCTAATGTAGTAGGATCTTCCCAGAGGATGTTTCCTAGGAAAGGAAAACCATATTCATGTCCCTTTCAAAATGACATTTTAAATTGGCAGCTATGAAGTTCTATCGGAAAACACCCTGCATCATATTCCTGATGGTTATTTTGATATTAAAGGATGGCAGACTTAATTGCCTCAGCATCCACCTTGAATCTTTCCAAACCTGGTACTGATATTAAGGAATGTAGAGGGCTCTCTAATGTCTCTTAAACTTATAGGATTTAGAGTAATATTTGCATAAAATGGGTATTCAACAGCTGTTATCTGATTTGATGGCAGAAAATCATTGCATAACTGAAAGGATACACTCTAATTATTGTGCAGACAGTTGGAAGAAATTAAGAAATATGCCTCCATCACAGTACCTGGGGAATACTAAGATTATTGCTATGAAGAAACAAAGATCTAACTCAATAGAACAAGAATGCAGTGCATGTTCCTCTCCCTTCCTCTCTGTAAAAAAATCAATAATATATATATATATATATATATATATATATATATATATATATGTATATTATTTATTTTTTTTAAAGCCCTAACTGGTTTTGCTCAGTGGATAGAGCATCAGCCTGAGGACTGAAGGGTCTCAGGTTTGATTCCAGTCAAGGGCATGTACCTTGGTTGTGGGCACATTCCCAGTAGGGGTGTACAGGAGGTAGCTGATCAATGTTTCTCTCTCATTGATGTTTCTAACTCTATCCCTCTCCCTTCCTCTCTGTAAAAAATAAAAAATATGTTTTTAAAAAAGAATACAGTGCATGAAACAACAATATTCAAAAATAGAAAAGCTTTGCTGTTCTATAATTAACACCAAAGAAAACAGTAAAAATAATGCATAGGAAATTTTTTAAAAAAAGGAAAATCTCAGGCATTATTAATAAGCAGTGTTCACTCCCTCACATAGGTGACTTTCCCCAACCCCTCAAAAGAAGAGTAGAATAGCACGTCCTTCATGTTCCCCAGGTGTGTGCTGCCTGAGCCACACATACCATGGCTCACTTCACAGTGGCTTTGATTTACCTGCGAGGCCTAAAGAAGTGTCAGACTAGCTCGTCTTTGGAAAGAACCACTTACTCAGTAAAGAAGAGCTGCACAAGTAGCTCATTTCATCTTAATGAGCCCAAGACGATGTTTCTGAAGTGCTCAGCTTTCTGATCAACACTATTCTTCCAGCTGCAAAGAGGAAGACTTTGATGCCTATAACAACTACAGCGTTCCCTCAGGAACCAGGGTCAGGACGGGCAGACCTTGCTTTAATGCTACAGAAGTGGCTTCAGGCATGGCAGCCTAGAATGAGTTCCTTTTCACTGTATCGTGCAGCAGAAAGGGCTAGAAAGTGACCTTGGCATCTGTTTTCCGCCACTGAAATGTGTTCACCAACTCTGTGCCGGGAAGATGCACCGAGTGGCAGACAGACATAGAGTGCCTCTGCTATTGTGGGATCTCTGTCTACTCCACTTGAAGACAAAGAAGAAAGGGTAGAAAAGAAAAAGAAAAAGGAAGGATTTTATTGTTCCTTTAGAAATGTATTCATGACTGGTAGGAAGTCTGCCCACCTCTTTTCAATTAGTTGCCTGAGACCCATGTTAGTCAGCAGGAAAACAGGCCTCTCGTTAGCAATGTGCTATGTGTCCACCTGGCACCAGCACCAGATAGAGTCCTCAGTGGCTTTGAGTGTTTGTGCCACTAGAAAAGAGAAGTGCAAATGTCCCCTGCTCAATTTAGTCAGCGTCCTGTGTAACCTGCTGGCTGGGTAGCCACCCATCTCTGCCAGTCACTTCATTTACACATTGTTCCCACTCATGCTCTCACAGGAAGGAATATTTCTGAAAGTGCTGCAGGCATTATGTGTGAAAAAATAGGAACAGTATAAATAGCTTTTTACTTCTAATTGCAAATTGCAGCTCACATTTGGCTTCCTGAGAGCTCTGAAAAGGGACCAACCCCAACCGCTAATAGCATGGGGTCCCTGGAGGGTGAGTCAGTGTCTACCGCTGAGGGAGTGAAGATGGAGAAAGAAGTGCAGGAGAGCTGGAAGGCCATTTCTGGCTTGATGGAGCCCATTTCTCCAGGGTGGAGCCCAGCTGGACAGACAGGGGCTGCTCTCCCCAAGTACCTGGTAAGTCAGCTCTTTGATGCATCACTCCAGCCTGTAGGCTCCCCCTGTGCCTCTGCATTGCGACAGATTTCGCCTTCCAGTTCACAAATCCGCAAGCAATCATGATCTCAGACCACATGCTGGCCGGAAGCAAGCCAGGCTGGCATTGCACTGGCCATTTGGCATGATCACTTGAAAGAGAGCAAAATCATCAAGGGAAGATATGTTTGCTCTCTTTCTGGCAGTGGTTAAAAAGGGCAAGCCCTCTCAGAAAACTGGCTTGCCAGGAGTAGGTTGGCTGAATTAGGTGAGTCCACTTAAGGACTCTTTAGACCAAAGGACATGAAAGGATAATGCATATAGAGGTGACAGCTTCCCCTCTGAGATGACATAATTACACACACACACACACACACACACACACACACACACACGAATGCTTGTAAGCCCATAGAGAGGATAAAGTATGCAGCACACTTTGAGGATTCAGCCAACACACTACCTAATCCTAAACTCCTCTCTCCATGTTTAATTCTCTAAAACTCAAACCCTGAGTCTATGCCACACATATGTCACACACAGCCCCGTTTTGTAGGAGAGCTATAGTATAGACTAACAACCTGCCTGCAGCCTTCTAGAGTTATACAAACAAGATTAACATGACATCCAGTCAACAAATATTTGATGCTTACTACACACCAGACCCCAAGGCTATGGAAACAGCCGGGAATAAAAGAAAAATCTCTTTCCCCTATGAGTGTACATTCTAATGAGGGGAAATACAAACAAAGCAAAGTAATATGTAGAGTATGTTAGATGTGATAAGTGATTTGAGGTCAAATAAACCAGGAAAGGGGTAGGGAGCTGATGGGGGGAGGGTGTTGCCTACCTCATCTCTGACTCCCCTTACCTCCTCCCACCCATTAGCCACTCTCCTAGTTCTTTCTCAGAGAGGTATGATAGGGGATGGGCAGACAGCAGGCTTGAATGTTCCTTGTAAATGAAGCCTATTAAAAAGAAAAACCTTCTGGACTCCTGTCATATAGGAACATAATACACAGTTCTGTCAGTTGGAACATGAGACTAACAAAATTCACCCTTTAAGCTTTTGTTGTGTTTCTTTTTCTTTTTTCTTTTTTTAATATATTTTATTAATTTTTTACAGAGAGGAAGAGAGAGGGATAGAGAGTTAGAAACATCGATGAGAGAGAAACATCGATCAGCTGCCTCTTGCACACCGCCTACTGGGGATGTGCCCACAACCAAGATACATGCCCTTGACTGGAATCGAACCTGAGACCCTTCAGTCCACAGGCAGACACTCTATCCACTGAGCCAAACCGGTTTTGGCTGTTGTGTTTCTTTAAAAAAAAAAAAAAATTATATATATAATTTTTCAGAGAGGAGAAGGAAGGGAAAGGGAGATGGAAAAATCAATGATGAGAGAGAATCATTGATTAGCTGCCTCCTGTATGTCCCCATCTGGGAATCGAGCCACACTTGGGAATTGAATCCAGGGCCCTTCAGTCCGCAGGCTGATACCCTATCCACTGAGCCAGACCAGCTAGGGCTATTGTGTTTCTTAAGTGATTAAAACACTTCTGGGAAAAATCACTTTATTAAAGCAAATCCTAGACATCATGTAACTTTACCTATAAATATTTCTTTATGTAATTTTAATAATTAATAAATTTACCTATAAATATTTATTTATGTAATTTTAATAAATATCTAATAGACTACAAGCAGATTTTTGGTCTGTGGGGTTCCTTGGCCTGGCCTTCAGGATTGGGTGAAACCCCTTCTCCAACATTGCCAAAGGTGTCCTGGATTGCAAGGGAATGCAGGCCAGGCCAAAGGATCTCATTGATGCACAATTGGGGCCTGGGAAGGACACGGGAAGTTGGATAGTTGGGGAGAGACCACAGGAGGGCTCTAAGGTGTGTCTGGCCCATCTTGCTCAGTCCTGATTGGTCGAACCCCAGCAGAAAGCTAACCAACCAGTTGAAGTGTCTGACCCCTGGTGATGAGTACATGTCATAGTGAGTGGTTGAGTGGCCTCAGCATATCATTAGCATATTGTGCTTTGATTTGTTGAACAATCAACCATATGACTGGACAATTAGCATATTAGGCTTTTAATATATGACTAGAGATCCATTGCACAAAGAGATTCATGCAATAGGCCTTCCCTTGGCTTCCAGCACCAGTTTTCCTCTGGCACCTGAGACCCAGGCCTTCTTCATCTTAGTCCTGTCTTTGCTGCAGCACTCCACTCCAGTAGATTTCTTCACCCCCCCACCTCCCTCTCACAGCAGGCATCCTGCCCCGCCTGGCCACTCCACGCCTAGAGCAGCTGGGTGGCTGCCATCTTTGTCCTTCTAATTTGCATACTCATTCTGATAGGCTGTGGGCGTAGCAGAGGTACAGTCAATTTATAGGTGTGACTATTATTAGGTAAGATGGTATGTGATTATGTTTTAAAGAAAGTTGATTATAATTCTTTAGTATTATCTGATATTTAGGAACTTATTGCTACTGAGTTATCATTAGTTCTATGCCTCAATAGTGGACAAACAACAATTAGAAATAAAATTAAATCTTGTCATTTTAAATTTTAGTTAGAAATACTAGTATAATTTATGTCTTTTTAGAAAAAAGAAAAGGCATATTCTAAGTTCTTTGATTTTATGCCTATATGCTTTTTCTTTAACCTAAAAACCTTGGTTTTTATATATGTTGTTGAATAAATAATTATATTAGCATTAGCATTATTGATAATAGCAATAATAAGATCTTATTTTGAAACTATGAATGCAGTTTGTCTCATTTGCCTTTTTTTTTTTTTTTTTTTTGCTTTAGATTGACTTCGTGAGAGATATACAAACAGCACAGTGTTCACAAGTCACAGGGATCATTGTTCTTTGTGTTCTGTGCCTCCCAGCTTGATCCACAGTTAGCTTTGTTTGCTTCCATTTGTGTTAAAATGTTAGGGATTGCTTTGTTTTATTTTCCTCTCTGATTTAAATGTTTTAATTATGAAGCATATAAATATTTTATATGATTTTGCAATCAAACAACAAGGTGCATTCAGCAGGTCCAACTTTTATCTCTGCATCCCCCTCCTTGAGCAGCTGTTTTTATTAATCTTTGTTTTATCCTGTCACCATTTATTTTTTTTTAAATATAGGCATATGTGCACATAACTTCATATTTTCCCCCTTTCTTGCACAAAAGACTACACTCTCCACATTGCCTGCACCTTTTATCATCATGCTGTAGGCATGGTCTCCAGGACATATTATAGAGCTTTTCCTCATTTCTTTTAAAACAGTGTGACTATATGAATATGGTACCATAAATGCACATTGGTATTCCATTGTATGAGTACATCATAAATGAGCAAAGGCAATACTTTACTTTTCAGAGGCCCTTTTGAGCCATCAAATCCCAGTCAAATATTCTTTCCATCTTGTAGCATTTGTCACATGACCTGTACAGAGTCACTGAAATTGATTCAATAATTTTAAAAATCCTATTTTCAAGATAGGTCTTTCTATTTGTTTTTAAGCTCCCTGAAGGCAGGTACTACATCATTTCTGTCAGCCCTTACTATATCTTCACTCTGTCTTTCTTGATACTTGATTTAGTTGTTTCCCTTCTCTGGCTGTTAGGAAATGGGCCAAGGAAGCAACAAAAGCAAGACTGTTAGGGAGTGTGTGGAACAGGAAGTCACCTGGCTCTGGAAAGTCCAGAACTGGGGTAGGTGAGTGGGAAGAGATGCATTTCAGGTAGCAGAAAGGGAGAAGGCAGATTTAATCTAGCCCAAGAGAAAGTGCCCAAAGTCAAACAAGAAAGAATGAATACACTGAAATCTGACCCTCTTAGAGATCTGAAAACACCAGAAGCAAAACTGATAAGGGAGGTATGGATTATCTGGAGTTATTCCAGACAATGTGGACTTGAATTAGGAATTGGGAAGACCCCATGATTATCCAGGCCAACTCCTATCCTGGATTCTAGTTTCTGGATTTGCTTTCTACTCCCCATCAGGGCCATCTGTTCAGCTTCATCTATCCTTTTTTGTAAGTCTTTAATTGTCTGTTCCATATTATTTCTCATCTTCTCTAAGTGGGCATTGGCATCTTGATCCTTTTTCAGTTCTTCTGACATGTTTGCTACCTAGAAAAGCAGGAGAGAGATTGAGATCATCTGGTAGCCAATTGATCTTAACATTTCTACCCACAATTCAGTTCTTGATCTAACTAGATGTCATGCCTTGCTTCTGTATATGTAATCTCTTCCCATCAGGTTCTCCCTAGTGTCTGTGGCCCTCAGATTTATGAAAAAAAAAAAAAAGGCACTCAAGATAGCAGCAGCTACTGAAGAAACTAGGGTGAGGGGTGGTGGAAACAGACAAAAGATGAAGTACCATATGGACATTATTACCCAACACCCTATACTAAAATTAAGATGAGCCACTGAAGCAACAACTTTTTAAATTTTCTAAAAATTTATTTCAGAAAGAAAGGAAGAAAGAGGGAGAAGAAGAAGAAAGAGAGAAACATCAATGTGAGAGGTAAATATCAATTGGTTGCCTCCCATATGTTCCCTGACAGGGGATTGAATCCACAACCTGAGTATGTGCCCTGACGGGAATCAAACCCATGACCTTTCAAGTGTGTGAGACAATACTCCCACCAACTGAGCCACATCTGCCAGAGCAAAGCAATAACTTTTATTTGACCAAAGCACTGGACAACCCCTGTAACATCATGCACCAGGAAAAAGTGTGGAGTGCCTATAAGAATCTTTTTTACAACTCGCTTCTATGATTCTCTGATTCACAACTGCAAACAAGTTTAGGTTCCAGGAATTTGGCAGCAACAGCTGTTCTGCATGCCAATAATCTGGCACATGGTTGGTTAATTCTTGCTTGTGAAGCCCGCTTTTGGCTTTGGCTACATACACAAGGGCTTAGTGTCTTGATGCAATTATTAAGAACTGTTTCCTGAATCTCTCAGTGCGTTTAATGTAAGAACACTATCCTCCCAGGCAAAGCTCCTCTGTCTATCAGGTTACCAACCATCTGTATAATTTAAGTGTGAGACATCTATGCAGATGGCAAGGGCAAAGAATAAATTATGAAGGCAGCTTTGGGCTCTGTTATGTGAGGCTGGGACTCAGAGCTAAACTACTGGAAAATTCAAGGGTGGTGAGAGGTAGTTAGTTCATTTTTCAACTTAGTAAAAAAAAAAATCTATAAAAAGCAAAGTTAAGCAGATACAGTCTTCATTATATATGACTACATAAATTTACCAAGCAGATCTAAAAGCTCTTTTTATTCCTTTCTATCCATGTGGATTTGCATAAATGTTAAGCACGTTATTTTTCTCTTGGCCAAACATTTTCAAGTTTTCACACCCCCTTCCCCATCAGAGAGCAGAAGTGTCTGCCTTGATACAAAACGGCGAGTGACAAGCATGCTTCTCCATTCTTCTGGATCCTAGAGTGACTAGGTAGCCAGGTTGTGGTGCAAAAGTTTTGCTCAGTTCCCCAAGGGCTAAATAACTCAGGCAAACACAGACACACACTCTTCTCCTCATCTGAATTTCAAAATGACAAATGTAAAATTGAATTGACTATCTTGTCTCCCTTCCCAATTACCATACCCTTTTCAGCAAGAGGAGCAGCTACCATTCATCCAGCAAGGTTAAGGCTGCTGCCTAGGGTGAGTTGTTTGGACTAGACAAAATCACCTGGTGGGGTTGGGGTGAGTGGAGGTTGAAATCAAGCCGAAGCCACTCAGCTGGAGCCTGCATGACTGGGACCCCAGCTTCTCTCTTCACCTCCTTCCTGATTTTTTTTTTTTTTTTTTTGTGAGCATTTCCTTCTCCTTATCCTTTGAGAGGAAAGCTGCATCTGCCCCGAGAGTGGCTTTTCTCCTGTTCCCACAAAGGTACAGTCAAGGCTGGGGGCAACCCTGAGCTGAGTGTCATTGAGAAAAAGCACCGCCCTCAACAACTTTTAAGTTGTAAATAAAGAAGGCATACACCAACCCTGAAGCCCCTCTTTCTAAACCTATTCTGCTACATAAGCAGTAGTATGGATTGTAAGAAATAAGTGAAATAAGCATCATCATAAAATCTCTACACACTCTAGCAACATAGATATTTGTAAGTAAACACAGGAAGAATTGTTTCTACACATTAGATATATCAATTCACAGTACAAAGTGATTTAAGTTTTAAAAAAAAATCCCTTGCTTTCATAAGGTTTTGCTTATAGAAATTCAGTTGCTCCTTTGCATTGCCTTAGGAGGTTGGAGGGGAGGAGTTAATTGGCCTAATTCTTCAAAATGGGAACAGAGAGCAGAGGGGTGAGCTAACCTCCTCCTGGCTGTTTAGAGAATCAAAGGAATCCTTTTTGGCTGCACCTTGGCCTCTGACCGGTGGCTACTGCTCCAGTCAACTCTGGAAGGCAGGCGTGAGCAGTCAGTCAATGCACCCACCTCAGCAGCTGCATTCTTGGCCTTCTCTTCTGCATTTCGACAGCTCCGCATGGCTTCTCCGGCTTCCTCCTGCATCCTGACAACATCAACCTCCAGTTTCTTCTTCTGGCTGAGGAGACCTGTATTCTAAGGAAAAACAGCCATCTCGTTAGGAAATTGAGACCAGAGATGCAAACACAAGTGAATATGTTGGGGACAGGCCATGGGACAGGGCTCAGGCCAAGGCTGGGTTTTATTCTAGTCAGCCACACTCACTTCAGCAACATTTCCAACCCCAGGAGGCCAGGTTAGAAAAACCTCTTGCCATCAAAGGCATACTTGAAGCGAAGCAATTTCAACCATTCAGTAACAAAGAGATGACAGCCTGAATCAGAAAGGAGAAATGTATTCAAGTAACCTACAAGCCAAGGACAGGTGTTTGGTTTTCAACTTGAACAATATTTTCCTGCCTTAGCTCTTTGATGGGGCAGAACAAATGTCCCAGAGCAGAAGTCAGGGTCAACTGCTGACCTCGGGGAGCAGGGGGCTGGGGAATAACACTCCCTGTCCAGCATGGTGCTCCAGGAAACAGCAATCTTCCTCTTTATCTTCCTCCCTTTCCCATGGGGCTTTGCAGTGAGGAGGTGGGAAGAGTTGTTGGGATGAGCTCCCCACCACCACACTGCGCAGGAGGATGCTTTGTTCTGTGGCTGGTGCTGTCCTAATTCTTCCCTTCCTGGGGTGTGACAAGAGGCTAGAGCTCCTTTTACTGCTATTTGGTCCACGTTTGAAGCACAGATTTTCTGAAGGTATGAAACCTGAGCATAGAGAGTGTGCATAAAAGGCACAAGCTTTGTAATTTTTATTCCCCCTCACTGTCCTTTCACTTTCCACCAGCTAGTGTCTCTCTCGATGGCAGGGCTGAGCCTTAGAAACAGAAAGAAAGATATTCCTGCCCCACAGTTTCCTCCCTGTTTTCCTGGAGGCATGAAACATCTCATCAAGGCTGCCATCCCCTGTCCTTATGGGACGACCAGGCACTGGGCACCTCCAGGCTTCTCACTGCCTTGGATGTGGCCTGGGGTGGGCGAGTGTGTTTTCCTGGAGTATATTCTGGATGCTCACTGCACTTTACTGGGAAATGACGTCTTTGTAAAGGAAGCTAAAAGTGATTTGTTTGTGCACAGAATCAGCTAATCTGTGAGGGGGATAATGGTTAAAATCTTTGCAAACCGAGCCCCAACTGGTGTGGCTCAGTTAGTCAGAGTGTCATCCCATACACCAAAAAGTCACAGGTTTGATCCCTGGTCAACGTGCTTACCAAGCAATGTTTCTTTCTCTGTCTCTCTCTTTCTCCCTCTCCCTTCCTCACTCTAAAATTAATATAAAACCATATTATTGGTTAAAGATTAAAAATAAATTTATGGGAAAAAAACATTTCAAGATGAATGGCTCTCTAATTTGTTCTTTTTTGGAAAAAGCAGGTTTAAGGGGTACTGTGGGGAAAGGAAATCTAGACGGTCACAGATCAGGTTTGAAAAGGACACATGTACTTAGCCAAGGATAACTTTGGCCTCAGATGTTTGTTTTAGAGGTCTGAGAATTCAGAAGGGCCTATGAAGGTTGCATAAAAAGTTTCATTATGTTATCAGAAGACTGAGAGTGTTTTAGTCATTGCAGGGTGTCCCCACGTGATTTATGTGGGGGAGGGGTCCTTAGGTGCAATATAGTATCCCCTAGATATGCTTAGTGAAAGGTAATGCCTAGCTGAAACCGGTTTGGCTCAGTGACAGAGCGTTGATCTGCGGACTGAACGGTCCCAGGTTCGATTCCGGTCCAGGGCATGTACGTTGGTTGCAGGCACATCCATCCCCAGTAGGGGATGTGCCAGGGGCAGCTGATCGATGTTTCCCTTTCATCAACATTTCTAGCTCTCTATCTCTCTCCCTTCCTCTAAGTAAAAAATCAATAATAAAATATATTTTTAAAAAATTGAGAAATTAATTGGTTAAAAAAAAGGAAAGAAAGGAAGGAAGGAAGGAAGGAAGGAAGGAAGGAAGGAAGGAAGGAAGGAAGGAAGGAAGGAAGGAAGGAAGGAAGAAAGAAAAGGAAAGGAAAGGAAAGGAAGGAAAGGAAAGAAAGAAAGAAAGAAAGAAAGAAAGAAAGAAAGAAAGAAAGAAAGAAAGAAAGAAAGAAAGAAAGGAAAGGAAAGGAAAGGAAAGGAAAGGAAAGGAAAGGAAAGGAAAGAAAGAAGAAAAGAAAGAAAAGAAAAAAGAAAAGAAAAGAAAAGAAAAAAGAAAAGAAAAGAAAAGAAAAGAAAAGAAAAGAAAAGAAAAGAAAAGGTAGTGCCTAGACCAGCAGCATCCCCTGAGAACTTGCTTGATTCCTGGCTCCTATCGCAGAGCTTCTGATTCCATAGGCCCAGGGCAGTGATTGGCAAACTTATTTGTCCACAGATCCAAATATCAACAGTACAACAATTGAAATTTTTTTTGAGAGCCGAAAACTGACTTCTGTGCATGGGCCATGAAGTTTCAATCGCACTGTATGTGTGCGTAGTATTATGTGGAAGAGCCTCACTCAAGGGGCCAAAGAGCTGCATGTGGCTTGCAAGCCGCAATTTGCCGACCACTGGTCTAGGGTGAGACCTGAGAATTTGCATTTTTGTGGTAGCTTCTCTTACACACCTACATTTTCAGAATTGTGCCATAGAGACCAGCTCTCTCTACTGCCTAACCCCTCACTCCCCCATTCATATCCTCCTCTCTATGTGTGGTAGATGGTCTCACCTCTCAAAAGGCTAGTGGCTTTTCTTTTTTTCTCTTATTTTAGGCTAGTGGTTTTTCATCATATAGGGACTCACTGGCACATTATCAGTTATAATATGTATGGCAAACGATTTGTTAACCATAGCTATTAAGTATTACAGATAGTGAATGATTTAGGTTTAAAAAAATTGATATTCTACTTTATAAGAATCCCACTATTGTATTTAGATCAGCCTTCTTAAGAGAAAGAGAGCATGTTGATCTGAGTTACCTGCTGGGAGTCACACGTCACCTACAGGCTGTTTGTTCTATACCACATGGTATCCAAACAGGATTGTGTCATGTACATGGACACAATCCTGATTGCAGTGCCTTCCAGCTGGTACACTCTGGTGTATACTTCCCTTTTCTCAGTGCGGACACAATTGGCATTCTGAGAGGGGAGATTCTTTGAGATGCAGGAGTATTAGCATCTCTGGAACTTTCACATTAAATTTCAGTAGCACTTTCCAGTCGCTGTGAAACCAAAATAACCCCACAGACATTTCTAAAAAGCCCAGAGCATGGTAATTCTTCCCCTAGTTGTTTTAATCCACACTTGATAGCAATCATGAGAGTAAAACTTCCTAAAATATAAATCTAACAACTTCACTTTCAGCTACCTAAAATTCCACAGAAGACCCCAATTAGCCACAAGACAGAATTCAGAAATCCACTGGTGACCTGGCTCTTACTTAGAATCATTTTTTGTTGATGTGTCCCACCCTCACCCCATGCTCTAGTGAGTATATCCATTCCATTTAGCATTCACATTTCCCTCTTCTCCCCATGCCTCTGTCCTTGACTCCTCACTACCTAGCTGGCTACTTACTTATCCTTCATGACTCAGATTAAGTATGCTGCACATCTACCCAAGCCCAGGATGGCTGTCTGTAGGGATGTGCTTGCTATATCATAAGAGTCACGCTTTTAGGATAATGGAAACATTTTGAATCTATCCCATGTATACCTGACCAAGTAATGGTTGGTGGGTGCCCTAAAATGTTTGTTGAATGACCCATTTACTATACACAGTTGTCTTACTACTATGACTTTTTTCCTGATTCTATAAGAATGGAAAATTTTCTAAGAAGTCTTGCTTGGTGTCACTTACATAACCTTCTATGAGAAGCCAAAGTTCTGACAGCACAGCAGTTGCAACTCAAAACTGTTAGCTATCTTTGGCTCTGAAGCAGGAGATTTTCTTGCTAATGCCCTTTGTTGTTGTTTTAATCCTGGAATGCTGGGGAACATGTGGCTTAGAGGCAAGCAAGAAGTTCTGAAACACTAGGGAATAGTCATTTCTCTCTCCCTAGCATCCTGTGAATGCCCTGACAGTCCATTCTTCTGGCAGAAGGTTTAGTGTTTGGCTCAAATTGTGAACCTACCCAAAAAATATATGTTAGAGTCCCAATCCCCAGTACTTCAGACTGTTACCTTATTTGGAGTAATCAAGTTGAAGTTGGCAGTGTGACATATGTCCAAAATCACTGATGTCCTTATAAAAAGAGAATATTTGGAGAGAGACAGATGCTCACAGAGGAAAGATGGTGTTAGGACACACAGCGAGAATGCCATGTGAAGGTGGAGGGTTGAAATGATGCATCTATAAACTAAGGAACATCAAAGATGGCCAACAAATCATTGGAAGCTAGGAAAATGCAAGAAAGGGGTGACCTAGGAGATTCAGGGGTACCAACACCTTTGTTTCAGTCTCCTAGCCTTCAGAAATATGAGAGAATACATTTCTGTTGTTTCAAGTCACCCAGTTTGTGGTACTTTATTACAGCAGTGCTAGGAAACTCATACACTGGGGAATAATAAACAGAGTGTTGACCACTGCTCAGAAGCCAAAGGCTCTCCCTGTGACTCACATGCCACACCCAGGGTTAACATGACAACTGTGCATGGCCGCAGGATGACTGGTATGTGTAACCCACTGCCTTTAGCCAGCTGATGCAGGTAATGAGAAGAGTTTATGGGCCCCACCTGGGTATGTAAAAGATGCATTCTTTCTGTGGCTTCCAGGAGCTCTTCCTCTACCTACCTGCACCCACATTCTGTCTGCTCTTGCAAGGACCTCAGTTCTGCTAGTTGAGACTGGAGAAGAAAGTTGCACCGCTGAGCCACAGCCTCCTGCTCCTTCAGCTCACTATTCAGGTGTGTACAGTCATCTAGCTGCACCCACAGGGCCTGTGAGAAAAAACATAGATCAGGGACACAGGGTCTCCGAGTTCAATAGAATACGCACCTGTGCATGCATGTTCTGATGAAAGCTCCACCAACTTAAATTTAAGCATGTTCCCGCTCTTTTGAAGGGTTTGATTTGTATCCCCACTTTTATTGCTCAATACAATTGTTGAATGGTTGGCTTCCATGATCAAAGGCATTCCCCAACCCCATATTACAACTTGAAAATACCTTGATTTCAATCTGAAGTTGACCCAGAGACTTGGTTGCCTCTGACACAGCTAAGCTGGAGTTCCATCTCATTGAGGAACTCCTTCTTTGTTTCTCTTCAGCTGGGTAGCCTCAATTCTGCTCCTAGTTTCAGAATCCAGACTAGACTGCAGAGAGTCAATAGCATACACTGCTGTTTCTTCCTAATTTTAGAATAACATTCAGGGGGGGAAAATCATGCACCCAAATTAAGAAAGGTTACCTGCTGTGTAAATAGCAGTTTAGGAAACAGAAGAGCATTAAAATTCAAGAAAAATTCTTGGTAATTAGCAAAATGAGTCTAAAGCATTTTCTGTTTTAAAGCACAGAGCTTTAAGGGTTTGGTGAATGAGCACATGTCTATCATAACAGACTGAAATTCCCAGGCCAACCTCCTGGAAGAATCAAGGGAAGTACAGGAATCTTTTGGGGATTCCTATAGGGCAGTCTTAGCCTTGTCTTAGGATCTCCCCCAAAGAATAATCTATGGCAATTATCTGTATTTTATAAAGTGGCTAGAGGTGAAGGAAGAATGATCTTTCAGACAGCCATAGTATTTAAACACTTTCAATGATGCAAAATGTCTGAACAAAGCAAGAAGGAACTACTCAAGTAGAAACAAGTCTTGAGCTCCAACAATGCTGTTCCAATGGCCTTCAGAAACTTAACTTTCCTCAAATAGCATGGTTATCTCTCACTGGGAGTGTGAGAGACAACAAAGGATTGTCTGAGAAAGCCAACTGCTGTGTGATACTGAATTACTTCATAAACAAAGCCCTAGGCTGAAATCTCACTTGCAAAGTGGTAGAAGATTAGACAATAAATGTGTGTTCAGGAAGGCAATGAAAAAAGTTTGGGGAAATCATGCCAATCATTTCCCAGCTCTTTTGCAGTGAATTTGGGACCATGTAACTGAATTCTTATTGGATGGACTATGAGCAGAGTGTTTACTAGCTTAGCCAATACAAATTTTTTCCTCATGATCCTGTACTCTCTTGTCCCCATCTATGACAAACCTGGTGGCCACATATGCAAAGTCATAGCATTACAAGATGGGAAAAACCTGGAAATGACTTTGAAGAATAGTGGCCTGCTCTCCACCCATACTCCAATTCTCACCTAGAGCAAAATAAACAAACTGTGATAATTTAAGCCATCAAATTTGGTGGGCGTGTTTAACTTCTATAACTAACATGTGCTTATAAGCTCGCCCTGTTAAATAGGGCTGAGTGCTAAACAGATAAGGCAAAAGAGAAAACAACCTTTCTGTTCTTCTTCATTGAGCCTGTCAGCACAACATACTCATTTTGGGTCAGAATTAGGTTGCACATTGAGTTGTCATTGAGTTTATGTCCTGAACTCTAAGGTCAATTAGAAAGGTAGGTAGCCTGCAGGGGGATAGGCAGGTAGGTGGCCAGCGTTTCTGATCAGGTGACAGATGGAAGCACCACTTTCCATGACCCCCGACCAGGTCTCAGTGGAGTTAGTTATGGAAATATATGGGGGAACAACTGTTTCTGGTTCCAGAACTATCAGCTCTCCTCTGCCAACCCTATGTTCCTGGTTACCAGATGCTAAGGTCAGCCTCTCATGACTATCTTAAGGTCCTGGTCCTTTGTTCAGTTCCCAGATCAGAATCTTATCAGGATGTCATTATATAAGTTAATAGAGGCTGTTATGACTAAAATGTTGAAGTCCTAACCTCAAGTACCTCAGATGTGACTGTATTAGGAGATAGGACCTTTTAAAGAAGTGATTAAGGTCAAATGAGGCCATGAGGATGATTCCTAATTCAACCTGACTGGCAACCTTATAAAAAGAGGACATTTGGACCCTCAGACACACCAGCAATGCACACACAGAGAAAGGGCACAGCAAGAGAAAGGCCATCTGCAAGCCAAGGAGAGAGGCTTCAGGAAAAAACAAATTTGCTGACACTTTGACTTTTGACGTATAACTTTCAGGAGTGTGAGAAAACAAATTTTTTGGTTAAGCCACCAGTTCATGTATTTTGTTATGGCAGCCTGAGCCCATAACTCCCACAAGGACATGCACACTCAACATCACTGGAAGGTTTAAGACATCTCTCTGTCTTCCACTGGAGAAACTCATTTTTGCCACTGCTGACTCTCCTTACACAGGAACACTAAAGCATCCCGAGTCTGGTGTCAAAATCCTCTATACAAAGATACATTCTGCTTAAGCAGACAAACTGAATGTTTCAAGCTGTCCTTTTCCCGCAGTTGTTTATGAAGCTTCATAAGTGCCTCTAGACACATAAAAAGTGCTGTGGTTAAGAGGCTTGGATATGATGCAGACCTAGAGATTGGCTGTCAGACAATCACCACAATTCATGCAGAGTCAAGATATCTTTACAAGGAAAATTCCTCCAAGTAGAATGTTTAAGAGAAATTAAGCTCTTGGGGCTAGGGCATTATGTTAAAACGTTCCTTTCCCCCACCTTCAGAAATGTAAAATACAGTTTGAGGAAAGAAATCAAATGTAAAACAAACAGAAAAAGTTAATCTTAAAACTTTAAAAATCTATGGACAATTCAATAGGTCCTTTCTATTGCAATACTGCTTATCTGTATCAGAGAAATATAAGATTTTCCTTAATTTCAATATATATGGTTCAGCTTTGCCTTAATAACAAGGCATTCTGTTAACTAAATGCCATGTATGAATTTGAGATCCTGCGTTTTGTAGACATGAAGAAATAGTTTACTTAAAAATAAGAAGATATTTAAACATATTCTTCTGGCGGAGACTCGAGCAATAAAATAACTGAAGTCAGGTGGTACATACAACTTAAGACCATGAGGCAAAGTGTGATATTATTGAGTTCACAGGAGGGAAAGGATGATGGCACACTACTATAGACCTGAGGCTAGAGGGCAGTGGTGGGTGCACTATGGATTATAGGCCAAATCTGGCCATGCCATTTGATCTCCAATGTCTATGGCTGCTTTAAGCTACTACACTGCTACAGAGTTGAGTGGTTGTGACAGAGCCCTAATGGTCTGCAAAGCCAAAAATATTTACTACTTGCTTTAAACAGAAAACATTTGCCTAACCCTTTTTCTGGTGATAGAACCAAACAAATGAATTTTGATAGAATAAGAAATTTCGATGCCTCATTCCCAAAAGCATCTTCCACAGCAATTTTCTGGGTCTCTCTGAGAGACTAGAATACAGGCCAGGTGCACCCTGGCCTAGGCCAGTGAGAAAACCCTCACACATTTCAGCATGTCTTCAAATATCCTGGGTTGGGAGGAATATAATTGGCGATCCTCGAAGAATCAGGATGTACCTGTTTTTAACCCAATCTCGGGCCTTGTGGTGGGACATCACTTACATGGCATTTATGGCCACCAGGTGGCCTGTAAGCAGGTCCTTGACATTAGTCCTTCTTTCCTGTGTCTGGGGTGGAGAGGATCAAAGCCAGCCATCAAAGCTCCCATCCTCCATCAGGGACTACATTGTCACCTCCCAACTCTAGCTATTTTAATTATAACATTTGCAGAAATTTAAAAAAGAAAAAAAGATGGCCTATCATCCATAAAAGTTTAGGAACTCTTAGCTAAAATAGCAGGCACATTGTCTCCTCAACATTATATGCTCAGAAATCGGCTGAAAAAGCAAAACACATAACACTCAAACCCAGCTGCTCAGACATTTCACCACCCAGGCCTCCAGGCCCAGCTCACTCAGGTCTATCCTCACAGAGAGAAGGAAGAATGAGCTGAACAGTAGAGAATGAGGTGAGTGAGTTGCCCAGTTTGAAGCAGTCAAGGTTTTGCCTTTGCCTCTGAGTCTCTCTCCTGCTTTTGTGGTCCCTTTAGCTTCTTGGATCCTATCTCAGAGGCCTCCTTCAGTTCCTGTAAAGTTACCTATGGTTTATGTGGACATCAGACCTAGAACCTCACCTTGGCCTCAGGCAATATTTCCCTTGAGTTCTATAATTTACCTGGGTTATCTTTGGTGGCTTGATATCCTATGCTTTGCTCCAATTTTCCCCTCATGTTCCATTGTTCCCTTAATATCTCCTCCTCTCCTAGCCCTGAAGTCGGATTATACCAAGGCATTCTGATACAATCTGGACTCACACAGAGCATTCCACCCAGAGGGGACCTGAGATGCTATTTGTGAAATTTTGTAAGACATGTTCATCTTTCCTTTCCAGATGTACCTATTATAGTGATTATGAGTCATTAACTAAATCCCATGAATAGCTCACCCCTCCATCCAACCCACCCCTTCTTTTTCAGCCCCTTCTTTCCCAGCTCCTGTCTAGTCTTCCGCTCTTTCTTCTCCAGTCCTAGCTGTTTGACTCTCAGGCTTCCTTGGCATGAAGATAATTACCTTTGGGGAATAGCTCTACGACATTCAGATGGACCTGATGAGATGCACACTCTCTGAGGATTCGTTTTTCCTTAGCTCAGTTTATTAATAGGCACAGGTTTGATGTTACTTGAAATGAGGGTGCTTTTTGGTGTGTGTTTTTTAAGTACACAAGGAGACATTCATTTTTGCTCCTCATGGAAGGAAATAGGGCAAATATCAAGGCCCAATATTTTTGCCTTTCATCAGAAAATTTATTTTCACCCCTGACTCAGAGCCTCTTAAGTACACCAGAATTTATCACCACAGTCAGTCCGAGAGAGGAAAGTGCCGATGAGTGAGAGCAAAGCACAAAAAGGCCCAAATTTGGCTTGACATCCTCATTTTTAAAAATGACCCCCTGTGGGATTTTTGTCTGAAAATGGACTAGTAGGAAGAAGCTATTTCAATAGTACATGTTAACGGGTTTTTGTTTTTTATTAATGTTTAGCAAATGCACTGAAAGCAAGTTGCCAGTTGAACCTCAGACTCCAATGATTTTCTTTCTGACACACAGCTTTGACTTAGGGGGAACAGATCAGATAGATAATATAATCATAGTTAATTCCATGTTTATAATTGTGCCTTTGATCTATAGAGTGTGAAGCGCTTTGCCAACACCAGCTTACTGATCTTCCTTACCACCTTCTGTGACATGTATGAGGCTGCTTTTATCCCCTCACTTCACTGAGAAGCTAAGAAGTGAAATGTCGAAAGTCATCAGCTTGCAATGATGGAGTTGGGAAAGGAGCCTGCCACCCACGAATTCTGTCTAATTCAGTTTCCTGACTATTAGGATGCAGCTGCCTCAACAGGGATTCATTAAGCAGCTTAGCTCTTGGCTTCTCCTCTCCAAATGAATGACCAGAGGTACAGGCAAGGGCTATGTGAAAATTTCACTCTGACATGACATTAATTTTAATACATGGCATCACATCTTTAGTTCTTTCCTCCACTGCATTTCAATTTCTTTGGTACCTAAGAAAGAGACTTTTTTATACAAAGACTCAGGGAGTATACACAGTAATTGTATATATAATTAAATTTTTTGTGGGTGAGTATTTGAGGTTTGTATGGGAATAGAAGCTGCTCAAGTGTAAACAAAATTATAAAAACTGACAGTAATTGTATAGAAGTATTTCTTGATAAGTAACAATGGTGAGCTTTCTAGAAAGATTCAAGTTAGACTGTGTAAGTTTCTTTGATAATGTTCCAACAGGGGTCATAAAAGTAGCCAAGCAGTATGAGTTCTGTTCAATCAAGAGTTCTGAAATATGCAACTGTTGCTCATTAAAATAATCTTAAATACCCAAAATTTTCTATTTTTTCATCTTTTTCTGAAAGCTTTCATTCAAGTTCAGCTTTAGTATCTGAGAGTTCAAGCTCGAAATGAAGATTCTTGCTTTCATTACATTTCAGAGCTCCCTGAAATCCTATATAATAAAGAGGTAATATGTAAATTGAGCCTCACACCCTCACAGGGTGGCAGGGGTTTAGTGAGGAATACCAAACAACTGAGCAGCAGGCTGTGTGGGGTGACCAGGCCAGCAGGGGGTTAGTGAGGGACGACCAAATGACTGAACAAGCAGGTTGTATGGGGCAACTAGGCTGGCAGGAGGGTTATTGAGGTACAACCAAATGACTGAACAGTAGGCTGCGTGGGATGACTAGGCCAGCAGGGGAGGTAGTTGAGGGTGACCAGGCCAGCCGAGGGTGGGGCAGGGGCAGTTAGGAGTGACCAGGCCAACAGTAGGGGGCAGTTTGGGGATGACCTGGCCAGCAGTGGGGGGCAGTTAGAGGCAACCAGGCTGGTGGGGGGAAGGAGGGAGGGAGATAGTTAGGGGCAATCAGGCCAGCGTGCAGAGGCAGTGAGGGCGATCAGGCTGGCAGGAGGTGGCAGTTAGAGGAGACCAGGCAGACAGGCAGGTGAGTGATTAGGAGCCAGTGGTCCGGGATTGTGAGAAGGATGTCTGACTTCTGGCTTAGGCCCAATCCCTGAGGTCAGGCCTAAACCAACAGTTGGACATCTCCCAAAGGGCCCTGGATTGGAGAGGGTGCAGGCTAGGCTGAGCCCTCCTCCCCCTCCTCCCCGTGCATGAATTTTGTGAACTGGGTCTCTAGTATATAAATAAAAAACACTAAATTAAGTCCACTTTGCACAATTTTTTTTTTCTTTATAAAAGGTATGTCACTAATGTAGCTCTTTAGAGTTTCTGAGAAAGATCTAAGTCCAAATCAGATCCCTTAAGTTGGGAACAGGATGAAATTGTGGTTACTTTTGTCTGTCATATGGTGGTGGGCAGTTAGACAGACATGAGCAGAGCAAGGAGGATGGCCCAAGTATAGGTCGCCAGGGTGGAAAGCCCCGGGTACCTAGCAATGGCAAAACCTGGGAAAGCAAAGTCTTTACCCCCAGGGTAACCTTTCCTCCCCCAGCATATCTCTGGTCAAGTAGTTTACACACATGACCTTTCATATGTTGGTCATGGGGTTTGAACTCTCCCCTGACTGCCTACCCTGGCATGTTGTAGTCATATGGGTTAGACCCCCTTGCAGGGGGACAAACAAGGGCCTGGAGAATAGCCCTTACGCATTAAGCCCCCAGAACAATGAGGTTCTGATCCACATCAAATACATCTATGCCTCAGCTGTGTTTCACCTCCAGGCCCAGAAAAGCAGCAAAACCAGACAAGATACTGACCACTGACACCGCTGTCTCAGGACCAGCTGCATTGACTAATAACCCCTGCCCTGGAGCTGACCAATCTGTGGAGACACACCTGAAAAACTGATGAATAATCTATTGGGATCCTTCCCAGAGGTCTCCAAGATGACAACCCCAGTGCAGCTCTCTCTTCAGAGCACACCTAGGCTTTCTCCTCCCTGTGCCAGCCATAACTAACCACCCTCCGCCCCCAGCACTTATTCTTTGCCTCTCTCTGTTCCCTAAATTCCAAGGGCCTTTCTTTTGTCTCTGGAATTCATTTCCTATAGCCCCCCGCCCCCACTTTTTTTTTTTTTTTCCTGTAGCTCACTTCTTCTACCTCAGCGACTTTCTAAATAAACTTTATTTTATAGTTTGAGTCCTGGCTCTGAATTCTTTCTTAGCCAAAACTCAAGTGCTGAGGTCACTGAACTGAGGTCGGGTCCAGCTCCACCAGTGTAACACCTGGTGCCGTTGCACTGCCAACAATGTCACTTACTAGCTCTGACATTCTTAGGGCGTTCAGCTGTAGTTCAAGAGCTAGAGTTCTGAAGCATTTTTAAAATATAAAATTCCAATCTTGTCTATGACTCTATTTAAACCTTTAAATTTATTACTCAACTTTATAATGCATTCCATTTTTGAGATGAATCAGTAAAAGTATCAAACTGGCATGAGGATTCCACCTGGAATCTTTTAATTCTGGATATCACAGAGGGATAGAGAAAAAGTTAAAAGCATTCAGAAAGCAAAAAACAGAATAGTGCCCAAATACTGTCATATGAAAAACAAAACAAAGGAATTTAGTATGCATTTGACACATACATTCAGTGTGAGCCATTATCACCTTAATTATTACTACTACTTCATATGAATTGCTTTGGCAGGTAGGGAGATCTCCTAGTCCTCTGAATATTTAAAGATAAGGCAATTACTACGAGGGTTATTATAAAGGTCATTCAATTTTTAAAATGTGGGCTTGATTAAATTTTTAAAGCCCGTTCTTAAAAATGTATGTAAAAGACAAAAAAAGCACTTGGATAATACTAAGGGAGGTGTTTATGAAGGGTACAGGGGCCCTGGCTGGTAAGGCTTAGTTGGTTGAGCATTGTTTTGTGCACTGAAAAGTTGCTGGTTCAATTCCCAGTCAGGGCACATGTCCAGGTTGCAGGTTTGGACCCTGATGGAGGTGTGTGCAGGAGTCAACCGATCCATGTTTCTCTCTTGCTTCAATGTTTTTCTCTCCTTGTTTATCTCTTCCTCTCTCTATATAAAATCAATAATATATATATATATATATATATATATATATATATATATATATATACACACACACACACACATATATATATATATTTTTTTTTTATTATTATTATTTTTTTTTAAGTAGGGCACAATGGATGATGACAATCTATGGTCAGTTAACAATTGGCAGACTTTCCTGAAAGAAGGAATAACTTTTATGGTAGTCTTTTGTAAGGAGTGATTAGCATATACCACAAAAAGTAAAAAGTAAAACTGAGTAGAAGTTTCAAAGCAAAAATAAGAAAGGTTAGAAATTTTAATATGACTAAGGTCTTCCTGCTCTTCTCTGAACACTACCTTCAATATAAAAGAAAATAAATAAAAAAACAAACACTTGGATAGCAATTTCCTCCTAGGGAATGGTACCCTTTCTTTCTTCGGGGGAACTGCCACCTCTCATCCTCCAGATTGCACTGAGAAAATGAATCTCTGTAGGAGGTAACCTGGGATAATTTGAGTTTTGTGACTTCAGAGATAACCTGATAAAGTTTCTCATAAAAGTTCAACCAGGAAAATAAATAACCCAATTTTACAAATACATGTAAAAGTTGATGAAGTATTTATGGATGTGGCTGAAGACAAAGCTCGAGAAAATATGAATAGAATAAAATGCCATCTATTGGTACTAAATGGTATGAGTGCTATGGCCTTGGTAATCTCACCTTTGATAGTAGTCAATTTAATATGCCAAGATGTCTATATGTTCTACAGGACTGCAGGTACTGACCAATTATATATCTCGTTAGATTGAAACTTCTACCATAAAAGTTTACTTCTTTGGGTTAAGGTAGTAGCTTTAGAATGTCCCTAGCTAGAATACCCAGAGAGCCAGCCGAAGGGAATAAGTAAATGAAACAAGGTTTACCAATTTTACAAGAACCAGCTTTGCTAGGGTACTCCCCACTGCTAATTGCAAGGATTAAGATGTAGGCGACTTTGGAAAACAATTATGCAAAAAAGGCAAAAGCTGCATCAAGTGCTGTCCACTTGACAACTTAACATGCAAGGGTAATAAATATGAACACGGCTTCTGTCTGGCAGGGTTCTCACAGAAATGCATGGTGAGATCAATGCAGTACACACTGCTTGGCACAAAGCAGTGCTCTGGAGACTAACTTCCCACTATCACACTTCCAAATGGCCCTGACTAAAACTGACTGCTGTGTCTTCTAAAAAAAAATCATTGTTTCTGTTGGAGGGTGAGTGGGGGTGGGGTGCTCATTCTAAGGGTGGGTCAAGCAAATGAAATTCAACCCTTAGAAAGGAGGTTTTGCATCTCTAGTTAACTACTTAATGACTGTGACAGGGTGGCTACCTTTTTAGATCACCCTCTTTGACAAACGTTCTTCTCAGCAGTCCTTTCAATCACACTGCGGTTCTAGAGTTCTGGCTAAAATCAGAGTTTTCCTGAACTTTTAATGCATGCCACTAAAAATATTCCTGTCGAACAGCCCACACAAAATGAGCTTTCCGTAACAAATTACCTAAATTTTTATGGGGAAACGAGTTTTGATTGATTTTGTTTAGAGAGGAGAAAGTGTGAGGGTATTTATTTTCAATGTTCAACAAACATTTACTGAACCACTACTACACAGGAGGCGATATTCTAGGTCAGTTCTTCCCAAATGTTAATGTGCACATGAAACACCAAGGGATCTGGTTAAAATGCAGATTCTGATTCAACAGAGCCTGGGAAAGGCCTAACTATCCAAACGTCCAGTAAGCCACTTCCCTTCCCCTGATAATGCCCATTTTGAGGTTTAAGTTTGAAGGTCTACACACTGGTTATACCTTCCATGTTGTTATCAGGTGTCACTGTGTTGTTGTTGTTGCTGGAATGTAGACCTTCTGCTTTATCCCAATGATAAAAATCATCTTTACTACCTGAAGGTAATACGTGCTTCTTCCAGCACCACCTGGACTTTAGCCTTCTCTTGTTCAATCTCTTTATTCACCTTTTCCATTTCACTTAACTTCTTGTTTTCTTCTCTCAGTCAATTTGCCAGATTAGAAATCTCTTCTGAAAGGGAATAATAAGAGCAAAATTAAAGGAACTGTGGTAGACAGCTAGTCAGATATGAGCAGAGCAAGGAAGAGGGTACAGATACAGAAGGTCACCTAGGTGGAAAGTCCTAGGTGCCCAGTAAAGGACAATTGTAAGGTGAGATCTTGCCTCTATGGTGACCTTTCCTCCTCCAGCATATCACTAGTCATTCTATTTGGACCCCCCTGACCTTTCCTTTCTAGAGATAATATCTAAGCCTCGGTTGTATTTCAGCTCCAGACCCAGAAAAGCAGCAAAACCAGACAATGAAACCAAAGTTGACCTCAGGACCAACTGAATTAAATAATGACCCTCTGCCCTGGCACCAGGCAATTAATCAGTGGATATCACAACCTTGGTAGGACATACCTGGAAAGCTGCTGAACATTCCACTGTGATTTTCTCCTGGGATCTCCCCTAAAATCTTCTTAAAAACCCTTTAGGAGGAAGACCCAGGATGCTCTCTCTCCTAGCAGCTTGTCAGTGCCTTCCCCACCTTTCCTTTTCCCCTATGCCTGTCCCCATTACCCTCCTCACTTCTAAGCTCCAAGGGCCCTTCTCTGTACCTTGTCTCCTGATCCTATTTCTTCTTCCACTCACTTCTTCTACCTCTGTGACTTTCCAAATAAATGTTCTTTTATAGTTTGAGTCTTGTCTCTGAATTCTTTCCTAACCAGAACTCAAGAACCATGGTTGCTGACCCTAGATTTGGTCTGACCCCACGGATCTAACACCTGGTGCCATTTCCAAACTGTAGCCCACAGAACCAGTCTCAGACCCATGATATCAAGCTAAGAAGACTGTTCTCAGAGACCCACTGGGACTATTATACCATCTTTGGTAACTTGATAGCAAGGCCACCACTGGCACATAAGGGACCTTTGAATAAGGAAAACACGTATCTTTCTTCATTTGCCAGAAAGTTGCCTACAGTGAGTATAGTGCTTCTTAAAGGGTTGTGCATTGAACACCTGTACAGTTTCACAGGGTGGTCCTGCTGGCTGGAGCAATGCCAGATTCTGCCTGGCGGTGCTCAAAATACAGACCCAGAATCCCTACACTTCCAGTTTGAATGTGTAGCTAGCAACACCAGTGACTGCTATTTTGTCAGTTGCCACTCAACACCAGGGTGGATTTCTCAAGCATAAACTGGGTCACTGTCTGCCAGAAGCCAATGCGATGAGCCAGGTAGATCAAAGAATCTGAAGGAGCTCAGGCTCTTGAGGGTCTATGGCTAGCCTCTCAAAAACACAAGCCTTTGACAGAGTAAGGCATCCAAACCTCCACCCCTGATACTGTCATTGTCAGTTCTGCTTCTTTAAGGAGGAAGCCTCAAATACCTAAGAGGTATGGAGAAGGGCCAAGTAGCTCTTATAATTACCCACAGTCCAGGGGCAGTAGAAGGAGCTCAAGAGCTTGCCTCCCCTCCGGTTCTGAGATCCTGGACTGTGGTGTGATGTGAGAATTTTAAAGAGTTACAAAAACAAACCCATTGGATAGCCATTCTCATGTGAATAATAAATCCTTCTGTTGTAAGCTCTTCTCAGAAGAGGTGATCCCAAGGTCCTCTACTGACCATACCTTGGAATCACTGCGATCTTTTGAAACAGACCTCGGTCCAAAACCCACCCAGACCAAGCAGCACTCACCTTATCTGGCAACTTGTTAGAAATGCAAATTCTCAGACCCCCTCCCAGACCTAATGAGTCAAAAACTCAGCCGTTTTAACAAGCCCTCCAGGTGATTCCGATACAGCTTAAGTTTTCTAACTACTGTTCCAGCACCTCTGGTAAACCCAGTCAGTGACCTGGTCATGGATATAGGTCAACAAAGAAAGCAAGTTTTATTCATGCCTCCAATAGTAATGAACCTGCTCCCAGGGCGTCTCAGGATTCTGATGCACATCACACTTGGTATTGATGTACGCTGGCAGCCTCTTTCAAGGGCTGCATGACGTTATCTCAAAATTTAAAAATTCACTCCTTTAACCCAGTGTTTTCATTTCTAGGACTCCATCCTATCGAAATATTTTTACATGCCAATAAGTATAAGAACAGAGATATATAATATAGAAGTATTTGTAACTTGTAATTGTGAAAAACTATATTGAAAAATGAATAAAGGCTACTTAAGTAAGCGTTAGTCACCCTTATAAAACATTGTGTAACTATAGACAATCACATGGTAGGTCACCATGCAAAGAATCACAGGCACACAGGAAGGTGGCACAGCCAGGACTTAAGTGTGTACATGCCAGATGCAAGCTCAGATCTGCTAGTTGTTGACTGTGGTTTTGGACCAGTTCTTAACCTTATGTGACTCAATGTAGTCTGCATTTTATATATTTTTTCAAAAACTGACACATAAGAATGTTCTCAGAATTAAATAATAAATAATTATATATATAAAACAGTGCCTGGCATGTAGTTTAGGCTGTAGAAATATTTGAAAATTAGAAAATATATTGATAAATGAAAAAATAAAAGGTGTAAGATAATGTGTAATTTGAGTAAAAAATACATTCACGGATATATGCATGGAAAATTTTAGTAAGGCTATGGTTATAAAAAAAAATTCTTAATTGTGGCTTCCTTTACATAATAGAATTGGGAGATAAAGACAGAAAAGTATTCTTATTTTTAGAATAAAAATAATACCTGTAGTAAAAAAAAATTTTTTTTTAAGTAAGAAAAAATGAAAAAGTTAAAACCTGAGTGGGAACATGCCAGTGTTGAAGTGTCGATCTTACCTTTGCAGCCTGGGCTTTCCCGAGGTCCTTGCTCCTGCTCTGGCTCCAAACCTGGTTCAGACCCTGTAGAGACTAGTTCTCCCTCTGGAAGGATTCCTGGCTCACAGTTCTCTCCTCACAAGTGTGCCTGAGCTTGGGAGCTCAGTGTTGAAGGCCCAGCCTCCTCCTGAGAGGCATCCAGCTTTGCCTGAGATTCCTCGAGTCTCTGCCTCCAGAAGTCCAGGCACTTGACAAAGTACTGCTGCTTCTGGTCCAACACGGCTGCTATAGGGCAGGCCTTCCCCAGGTCCCATAGGCATCCCCCAGGTTGAGCTGCAGGTGGTAAATGATATAGGTCCTCTCCAGGGAGTCATTTCTGGCATTGGCCACCCCCATGGCTCCAGCAGCCTCCTGCAACCTAATCGCCAGCTTCTTCCTGAGAGAGGGAGACCCAAATGGCAAGTGAAGCCACAATCCTAAAGAGCTTGTCCAATTTGTACTTGACTAAAGAGAGCACATGGGGACAAAATCGGGTGGCTTAATAGTATGAAGTAGAAGCAGCTTGTGTCTGAAAATGACCTCCTTGTGCTTATAGAACCCAGATATCTCCTGACTACTGTCCCACTTCTGTGTCCATGTGTCCTTTATTTCCCCTACCCCTTTCCAACCTGGACTTGGAACTGGGTATCTCTGAGTCCCTGTAAGTATTTGCTCAATCTAAACCTTAAATAAGCAACAAAGCATACTGAGGACTTCATAAGAAACAGGAGAAAGAGAAAGATTGAACTGAATACTCTATCAACAGTAAGCAACTATTAAACATCCTTAGGCACATCCAGTCTCTAAAGAGTTCCTTGGCTATATTGCTTCCAAAGAACATCTGTTGGCTTTCTTCTGCTCATTCTCTCTCCCTCTTATGCAGCTCCTAAGTGGACCCAATTTATCTCTTTTCTCTGAATGTCTTTTCTATCTCAGTTCCTCTGCCCAAATTTATACATCCAACTGTTAAGCTCATTTAATAGATTCCACTGCTCTTAGGGGGTACCTCAGCCCCTATCTGCATCTCTTGAGATGGGGTAGTTTATTAAGGTGCCACTTCCACCTCTTCCACAATCCAGAGCTCTGGGGCTTTTGAATAGATGAAATGTGTTCTCCTGCTCACATTTTCTGCATATACTACTTAGATGAAATACACTAAGTACCATAGCTTCTTCTCATCTACTGTTTGTTGTTGTTGTTTTTTGTCTGTTTATTTGTTTTTGTTTTAATTTATTGGGGTGACATTGGTTACTCAGTTACTCAGAAAAGGGCCCTTGGGAATTCACTTGTGCTACACAACTAGCCCAATACAGCAATGTGGTCACAATGCCCCTTCTTGGTAGAATCCTACAAAAATCAGTCTGTGCCCAACATCCAGGAAGGAGTTGGGAGCTGGGCTCTCACAACTTTTCTTGGCTTACTGCTTTCAAAGTCACCTCATGTCTCTGCTTCATTTTCCTGAATAGTGAAGAGGAGATTCTGATGGACTTCATAATGACTACAAACAATACTGCACTGTTCACCAGAAAGTTGCTATGAGAGTAGAGTTTCAATGTTCTCACCATAACAACCCAACAGACAGTAATCATATGGGGTGAAGAATGGGTTAACTAACATTATTGTAGCAAAGATTTTGCAGTATATACATGTATTAAGTCATCACATTGTATATCTCAAAGTTACACAATATTAGATGTCAATTATATCTCAAACTAGAGGCCTGGTGCACAAAATTTGTGCACTGGGGTATCTCTCAGCCCAGCCTGAACTCTCCAATCTGGGACCCCTTGAGGGATGTCTGACTCACAATCCAGGATAGATGGCTCCTAACCACTCACCTGCCTGCCTGCCTGATTGGCCCTAACTGCTTCTGCCTGCCAGCCTGATCATCCCCTATCTGCTCCTCTGCTGGCCCCATTGATGCCTAACTGCTCCCCTGCTGGCCTGATTGTCCCCAACTTCCCTCCCATATCAGCTTGGTCACCCCCAACTGCTCTCCCCTGCTGGCCTGGTTACCCCCAACTGTCCTCCCCTGCCAACCTGGTCACCCCCAACTGCCCTTTCCTTCCAGCCTCATCACCCCCAACTTCCCTCCCTTTCCAGCCCATTTGTCCCCAGCTGCCATCCCCTGCAGGCCATCTTGTGATGGCCATCTTATAGCAGCCATTTTGTGATGATGTGGGGGCAGCTATCTTGTGACAACATGGGGGTGGCCATCTTTTGATGACATGAGGGCACATGGGCCATCTAAACTTTTATTACTATAACTAAAGCTGAAAAAAAGAGGATTTTTACCCCACCTGAGACAGGAGTCAAATAAACCTTCCCTACTTTCCTCTCACTCTGACAGCACCCAAGTGTGCTGAAAAGGAGTGGGGAACAGAGGATCAGAGTGGGGAGGGGAGTGGATGGGTGAGGGAGAGCCCCTGGCCAGCTGCTAGAATATCCCACCTGGAGGAAGCCCAAGTGTCCCTTGAATTTCATCCAAGAAGTGGGTGCCTGTATCTGAGCGCTTGGCTTAGCAATAATTACTGGAGCTCATCCTACACATTACCCAGAGGAGGACAACCATTTGCCTCCTATGCTCCTGCTTCTGCTCCTGCCCCCCAGCCTTCAGTGGTGCCCCACTCCAGGAGGGGAGCTCCAGAATGAAAAGCAAGAAAGGTGTTGCTGCTTCTGGCAGTGAGACTGAGGATGGTGACAGCATGGACATCCCCCTGGACCTTTCCTCTCCTGCTGGCTTAGGCAAGAGGAGAAAAAGGGGCAACCTGCCCAAGGAATCTGTGCAGAGCCTCCGAGATTGATTGCATGAGTACTCATTCAATGCCTATCCCTCAGAGCAAGAAAAAGCATTGCTGTTCCAGCAAACACATCTATCTACACTATAGGTCTGTAACTGGTTCATCAACGCCTGCCAAAGGCTCCTCCCTGACATGCTGAGAAAGGATGGCAAAGATCCAAATCAGTTCACAATTTCCCACTGTGGGGCCAAGATATCTGAAGTGAGCTCTGTGGAGTCAGAAATGGGCATAAAAAACTTCATGCCAGCTCTAAAGGAGAGCCCATTTCATTCCTGTACTCCTGGACCAAACCCAGCCCTAGGGAGGCCACTGTCCCCTAAGCCGTTGTCTACAGGATCCATTCTGGCTTGTCCATCTGTGATCTGTCATACCACTGTGACTGCATTGAAAGCTGTGCCTTTCTATCAGCCAAATATATACAGCAGATAGCAGCCAGCAACTTTACAGACACCTCCTTCATGTACCCAGAGGACACATGTAACACTGGACCAAACACAAATAGACCAAGTGGTCTTTTCAACACTCTTCCCCCTATTCCACCAGACCTCAACCAGGATTTTAGTGGATTTCAGCTTGTAGTGGATGTTGCACTCAAATGTGCTCCAGAAATGAAGCTTTAGGCAAAACTTACAGCTTAACCCTTTTTAAGCAAAACAGTTCTAACAAACTATGATTGCTGAGGTGATGACAAAAAATAAATTGCATTATTTTATATATTTTTATTAATATTTGCACATGGGATTGTTAAAAATGAAGCTTCCTGTTACTGAAATGTCTTCAATTGAATAAAATCTTCCAGCAATTATAAATTCAAAGCTATTGTAGAAACAAAGGTGTTTATTTTTTTTTAATGTTTCTTAGTAGATTATTCATAATGTGATATGGTTCCCAAGATCATGTGATTTTTCCTCCCTTCCCCCTTTTATTTTGGTTGGTGTACTTTCAGACTGCAATACTGAGAACCTATAGCATCTTCTCATTCCCATGTGGAACATGATGTCCACAAACTGCCTAATAAATTTTCAAAATTTTTTCAAACAAGTGTGAATCTAGTTGATTGATGCCTTTTAAAATAACGTAATAAAGTACTTTTCTTAAAAAATACTACATGTATTTTTAATTACTTTAGAAATGCTCAATCGGTACCAGAAAAAAAGGATTTTACTTTGGGTGACCAACTCTGCTGGTTTGCCCAGAACTAAGGGGTTTCAGCAGAACATAGCCATGTCAGTGCTACAATCAGGCTTGTCCAGTACACTGATAATGTTCTACATTTAATACTGACTACAATTTTGCTCAACTTGATAATCATAAGTACCTACTTAGTTATCTAGAATATACATGGGTATGTGAGAGATTAAACAATCAAATTCTTTTTGTTGGGGGATTTAGAACTCAGAAGCAGTAAACTGGGTCTCAGGAGAGCAAGACTCCACAAAACTAACTCATCATGTGACTCCAAGCCTGGTAATCAAGACATAGATCTTCAAGTTCCCAATAAAAACAAATAGAGTCCTAGATTTTTTTTTTGTATGGCTCTACCTCCCTGAAGTGATTTAGAAAGAAAGCATAATGCAGACAATGCCTTATTTAATCAATGTTCAACTAAGTTTAAAGCAAAAATAATTTTAGCTATTACCATATTATTTTTCTTTAGCTGTCATGTATGACAGAAGAACAATTTGTAGTTCCAACAAATCCCTGTGGTCATAAAGTAGTCTATATACTTTCCCTCTTTTCTGCCTCTTAAAAAAGACCAAATAGAATGACTGATAAGCACTTTCAACACATCCTTTATATTAGAAGAAAAAAATCTTACTTTATTAGCAAGTGCCATATTTTGGATATGAAGGGACATTTTCATTGAAAGCCCCATTTTTCTGTGGTCCAGAGTTCATAAAACACCTCCTGCAGGTATTTTTAGTATCTGTCATCCCAAAGCCCTTTGTAAGTTACTGTGACTACAGAGATGATCACTTGGTGCCCGTTCTGGGACAGAACACAGCAGCTATTCAGCAACGGCACAGCAATGTATCGCAAAGATTTAGGTGAAGAACTGAAAAAAGAGTATCTTCAGTTGAAGCTAGAAAGAATTGTATTAACCTGTCCTGGATTTTTGCCAAGCTTCCCAGCCAGGAACACAGTCTTTTGAGTAAACCTTTATGGGTTATAAACTGGAATGTTTTTGACATTTTCTCTCAAGCATACATTGTCTTTGATCTCTGAAGAAAATGGTCCACGGCCATACTACCCTGAACGCGCCCGATCTCGTCTGATCTCTGAAGAAAATGCTTCAGTACTATACTGTGATACCAATTCTTAATTTACTTGGGCCCCAAACTTCTGTAGTTCCTGAGAAGAACTTCTAAAAAGCCTTTATATAGTGTTGGCTATAAAATTGATATTCTAATTCCAAAGGTGGCCTGAATGTCACTTCTTTTCAATGACACTATTATTTCATAAGGCATGTGGCAGATCCTAACATGTTCTCAACTATTCTTGTCCTTCTCCACAGACCAATGTGTGGTCTACAAGCTGAAGACCAGAGATTCAATTATTTTAATTATAGAAACCTGTAAAAACATGAACTCAATTACTTTGGTGTTACAAATGAAATGCAGGGTTTTAAGTGCTAGTCCATTTTCCAATATAGCTCAAAGTTACACCTAAGAAGATTTCCCTCCTTCACTTAGAAAGAGCTTTCTTTCTTCCTCCAGGATCGCTCTATAGTCTTCATCATTTTTTATTATTGTAATTTTTATCCCCTCCAGAGAACATGCTTCTTGCTAGGGATGGCTTTTTTAGCTTTTGTCTTGGGTTTGTTCATGCACTTGGCCTTAAGAACACAGTCCCTATTCTCATGCTCCTCTGTGTAACTAACTCCAGGTTCAGAGTCACCTTGCTCTACTCACTTGGCATCCTCCAAGTCTTCAGTTCTCTGGATGGCTTCATACTTCATTCTCCACTGCAGCATTCAGCATTGCCTTTTTTTTTTAAGTATTATATGTGTACATATCTTACCATTGTCCCCCCACCCCCATACCTGCCCTCCCTCCCCAGAGTTTTTTATCCATTGGTTTTGCTTATATGCATGCATACAAGTCCTTCGGTTGATCTTTTATCTCCCCCATATTGCCTTTGGAGAGAGCCCAGAGCAGCTCAGTCTTGGCCTCCTGTTCTTCATATTACTCTCACAGAAGGTCACAGTCATGCTTGGTTGACTGCAGGTACTGGGCTAGGACACTTTGTGACTATATGGGACACAATACACAATGCAAAAAGACACCACCACCATTAACAACAAAAGGCTTGGAGGTGACATCATTTTGTTAGGTAAGGTTAATAACAACCTGCCACAAGTCCAAGCTGAGCCTGAACCTGATAAGATAATATCAGAAATAGAATATGGGACAATCAAAGGAAAACGAGAGTATCTGGTTGCTGCTGTTAAAACAGGCTAGAGAGTTCTATTTCAGGAAATGCCAGCCTGACTATGTGGGCTTCACCAATAGATAGGCCTGGAGTTTTGGAAACAGTGGAGGGTGCAAAGGTAGCAAGGAGAACATTCTCTATCATTTAGGCCACATGTGTCAAACACAAGGCCCGCGGGCCAAATCCGTCCCGCCAGGCCTTGCAATGTGGCCCGCACCGCGCTGTCATCACTGCACTCCGCTGCGTTTCCATCACAATGACAGTTTATGACTGTTCAGTAAACCATTCGGCCAGCGATTTAGGCTGGATTTTAGATTTTGGCCCCTTCTCTGATTGAGTTCGACACCCCTAATAAGGCAATAAGATTTATATTTAGCAATATATAAGATTTGGATCTTGTTTGGACTAGAAGGAACCACTGAGATTTATTCTAGCATTTTCATTCAATTGATTAGGAAAACAACAACTTTTATTTCACAGGTAAATCTCTGACAACATATGTTATCAGGGATAGGGAACTGTTGGGAGCCATCAGAGTTGAGACAAGCAACTCCGTCTTAAGAAAATACAACTCCATCTTAGAATTAAGTTCCTTCTAGCAGAAGTTATGCAGTGCCCTGCGGGTTTGGCCAGAAGCTAAAGATTAACCTGTCGCTTAGCACATCTTGCTCCGAAGGATCTCTGCAACGTCCCCTTCCTGATCCTCCCCCATAGCTAGCCCGGCCTTGGAATGTTACGCCGCCCTGGCAGTTAGCCAATCCTGTGTTGCCAGGTACCTTACCACCTTGTCATTCAGTGCCTAAACCAATTATACACTGTCAAAGACCCCACTGCGTAGGCAACCCTGCCCCGCTTTGTTCCTGCTGTATATATACTGCCATTCCAAAAATAAAGTTTGAGGCTAGATCAGAATTCTATCTTGCCTCCATTTCTCTGTGCCCCTGTCCCTTCTTTTCTTTCTTTTTTTTTTCTCCTTTTATTAATTAATTTATTTATTTTTTTAAATCAATCTTTATTGTTCATATTGTTACAAAGGTTCCTCATTTCTTCCCCTCTCCACCAGGTTCCCACCCTACCCTCCGCCCCCTCCCCATCCCCCATTGTCCTCATCCATAGGTGCAGTTTATGTTCAGTCTCTTCCTCTCTCCCTTGCCCTGATAGTAAATCCCTTTTCAGATAGTAAATCAGTTACTTAGCATTTTCTCATATCAATAATACCACCACATGCCCAATGATACATTTCACACAAAAGACATTTCCAAATAGGTCAACCAGCCTCATCCAGGCCCCACCCAAGGCACTCACAGATCAACACCCCAGCCCTATACTAACTTAACACATCCAGATCTAAGCCTTCATCACTTGATTCAGCAGACCCTCAAGTTCCCACAAAAGTTTCCAGCCATGTCTGAGAGGCCGCCGTGGGGCAGGGGCAGGGGAGAAGTGAGCTGTTCCGGGCCTGGCTGCTTCGGGCCTGGCCTCTGTTGCTCTGGTTCGTTCCACAACCAGCTGCTCTGGTTCGTTCCACAACCAGCTGCTCCGGGTCTGGTCACCGCCGCTCCCAACCTAGTTGCTCTGGACCTGGCTGCTGCTGCTCCGGGCCTGGCTGCTCCCAGCAGGCAGCTGCTGCTCCGGGCCTGGCCGCACCAGACCCAGCTGCTCCGGGCCTGGCCGCTCCCAGCCTGGCAACCACTGCTCCGAGCCTGGCCGCACCAGACCCTGCAGCTCCGGGCCTGGCCGGTCCCAGCCCTGTCTCTTCTTTTCATCCTCCACAGGTCCTCCCTCTCCCCACGTTGTTGTACCCCGCGGGTCGGGACAGGGAACCTTTAAAATAGGGGTAAGGAACCTTTTTTTTTTTTTTCTGCCAGGGACCCTATGGATATTTATAACATCATTCACAGGCCTCACAAAATTATCAATTTAAATATTAGCCTGCTATATTTGGTCAACATTTAATTAACTCACTGCTAATGCCTGGGCAGGGCCAGACTAAATGATTTCACAGGCCTTATATGGCCCATGGGCCAGACATTTTCCACCCCTGCAAACTTGAACTTTCTATGGTAAGGAAAATATTCTATATGTACACTGTCCAATTGAACTTTTTAAAAAATATATATTTTATTATTTTTTTTACAGAGAGGAAGGGAGAGGGATAGAAAGTTAGAAACATCGATGAGAGAGAAACATTGATCAGTTGCCTCTTGCACACCCTCCACCGGGGATGTGCCCACAACCAAGGTACATGCCCTTGACCAGAATTGAACCCGGGACCTTTCAGTCCTCAGGCTGACGCTCTATCCACTGAGCCAAACCGGTTTCAGCAAATTGAACTTTTTATAGTGAGGAAAATATTCTTTATGTACACTCCCCTATGTGGTAACCACTAGCCACATGTAGCTGCAGAACACTGAAAATGTCCCAAGTACATTGTTGGTCAATACTGAATTTTATTTTTTATTAAATTTTATTAACATCAATTTAAATTTAGATAGCCAACTGTAGTGTAGTAGTGGCTACAGTATTTATTTGACAGCAAACTAGGTTTAATACATCTTTCTGCCACTTACATGGTGACCTGGTTAACCTAGAAGCAAGGTTCCCAGGAGATATCCTCATCTAGTGGGAAGTACAGGGGGTCTCTGACAGTCCTCCTGTGTCCTTCATGCAAATTAGAAAGTGTATTCTGGAGCAGATGCAGCTGAGAGCCCAAGGCTTGGTTAATGGCAGCCTCAGCCAGACACCTTTGGATGGTGAATAGGAGCAACAATACACTGTGACCCTGAGAAGGATGCAGGCTTGGAACTTCATAAACTTGACTTCAAATTGGTATCCTTCCTCTTATTTAATATATACAGGGTGTCCCCCAAAATGTACACACACTTATTATACATTATTAATTCTAATAGGCTAAATCTGAAAAGAAAGAAACATCATTGAATTACCAGCTGTTAAACTGTCTACACAGTTTTTGGGAAACACCCTGTAAGTATGGAGCACCTGTCCCGGGCATTAGTGTTTCAAAAGTAAATGAGACAAGGACAAAGTCTTTGCTCTAATAAGCCAAAAAGGAGTTAGAGGATACACAAAGAAAACATGTAAACAAATTAATAAATATAGCTAGCAGCATAAGACAATAAAACAGACTGACACAATCCAGAATACTTAGCTCCTTCTAATCATCTCCAAAGACCTTGGAGAAGGGCCTTCAAGCAGTGGGAACAGCCGCTACCAAAGTCCTGGGGCAGGAATGATGGCGACTGTTGAAAAGGCAGAGAGAAGCCAGGGTGGCTGGAGGGGAGTAAATGAGAAAAGCAGATGTATGAGGTAAGATCACAGAAGGAGGCTGGAGCCAGAGCAAGGGTGCCTGGTAGGCCAATTGGAAGGTACTGGGAAGGCAGCCAGACAATGTTCTAAAATAAATCAAGTCATTTCATTATCGGCCTAAATCCCTTCACAGTTTACTACTAGCTGTATGATCTTGGGCACGTAATTTGTCATCTCAGAGTTTAGTTTCTTCATGTATGAAGATATAATTCTACATGACTTAAAGGAGAGAAGCTTCTAGCATAATGTCTAATGTACAAACTATGGTAGTAATTTTTAAAATTATATATAATGCAGAAAATAAGCTACAGTGTACAGGGAATAAAATAAAAGATTTAAAAACAGAAGTTTCAAGATTCAGTGACCTTTACCCCTCAAAGTAGATCCTTTACAGTGAAATTATATATAAGTGAGTGGGGTACTTTGGGGTCTTAGTAAGAAGATGCATTGAATATCAACTAAGAATTTGCAGGACTAAAATAACTCACCTCTCATCTTAGTCACTATGCTTTCACCTTAAACAATCACTTTCACTGAGGTCACCTACTAGTAACATCATATATTCTCTCAGGAAGAAATCACTAATATCTATAATTTACTGACAATTTCAAAGTAATATTGAACTAAGTTAGCTCCACTTATTTTATTCTTAGTGCACTTCAAAATCAAAGATCCATAAAGAACCTGCTGACTTTCTGTGCACATTATAATGCAAAATGGAAACATACATTGCTTGCTCTAAATACTGACAAACCTGAAATGCAAATTGAATCACTGAGGAAGATCCTTCATGGATCAGGGTCCTTCCCAGCACATATAAGGTTCTACATGCCCCCTGCCCCCTACCATCACCACCACTAACTTCTAGGGCACTTTCCCTTTCCTTTTATATGAGAGGATATGCAGGCTGACTGACCCATCACACATTTTTTCTTTAAACATGTCGTCAAACTATTGATGAAGAATAATAGATGCATCACTTTAGTATCCTCTTCCAGTTGTCCTTTCAATCCTTCAATTCTTCAAATGGAGGTGCCTTTCTCCTTGGAAAGTTGGTTTATCAGATCCTCCTTTTCTTCCAGCCTCCTTAGGAACTCATCTACAGAAGAGTTCATGTAGTAAGTTAATCATGGTTGTCCTCATACTGCCTCCCCCACTTAATTGTTAACTTTAAGGTCAACTCGGATGATTCCTACCCACATATACCTGGTATTTAGGAATGGTTTGAGAGTCCAGTTATTAGCAAAACCATGGCAATGATCCTTTCCAGGACTCACAAGACAGCCCTAATAAAGAACTGATGTTTAGTAGTATGAGTCAATAACAGATAATATTAGCTATCACTTATTGAGAATCATCTATGGAGTAGGCACTTTATGCAAATTATCTAGTTTAATTATAGTAACTCCTTGATAATGTAGGTATTATATAACCCATTTTGCAAAGGGAGAAACAAGACAGCTTACTAAAATGTAATTGAGATACATGCATAGCCAGTAATTGGTGGAGGTAGATTCAAATTGAGTTTTTAACCCTGTAGAACACATCCTTTCTTCTATGCCATACCCCTTGTTTATTATGTGTGGCTTTATCAAATTCTGACTATATAATTTCTTAGGTAATTATACTTCTTTGCCTGATTTGTAAAATAAGGAAAACAATAATAAAATGTTGTTAATAAAAATCAAATGAGTGTGAACTTATTTTATAGACTAATTGCTAAATAATTATTAGAAGTAGTCATTAATAGTAGAGAATGTGACCATGACAGGGGGAAATTCTATTACACTCTAGTCTATTCTCTCTGATTAGCTTATTTCATTAATGATAGAAATGCCTTGGTTATTAGACATGCTACTAAAAGATGATCCAATCCTGGACAAAGACAGCTGTTTCTATAGTGTAATTAGTGCAACAATAAAGCTCCAAATATTTATGATCCCTATCCCTCTTACTACAAAGAGGTTCTAAAACTCTCATTATAAGGAAGCATCTGTGTAGGCTAAAGTAGCAACTCCCAAACCTGTTGCTTTCAGGAACACTTTATATGCTTAAAAATGATTGAGGTCCTAAAGAGATTTTGTTTATGTGGCTTTTATATTAATAGATAGTGTATCCAAATTTAACATATGTATTAGTTGATGTTGAAATAATAATAATAATCTTAATGCTGTGTTTACATATAAACATAAGCTATATTTTTAGGGGGAAAAAACACTATTTTCCAAAACCGAAAAAATTAGGTGAAAAATGACATTTAAAAAATTTTTACATTTAAAAAAAATCTCTGGTTTAATAAAGTCAGCTGGAATCTCATCTGCTTCTGAATTAAATCTATATATTACACAGTTTTGTTGTTGTATCTGAAGAAAATCCAACCTGCCACAGATATGTAGTTGGAACAGGGCAATGTATTTTGATAGTCTTTTCAGATAATTGTGACTATTTGCTACTACATCAAAATCCAACAAATAGACATTTCTTAGTTTCAATATGGAGTAAACCATATCAATGATTTTTTTTACTGTTACATTAAATTCATTGGTCTATGTTCAACTTTCAGTGGATTTTTTATCACACATTATTCTGTATCAGCATGCAGTGGTGATTTGAAAAATGTGTGTTCACTGAATCATGCAGATCTTCAAATGTTGACACATTTCATTACATAATATAAAAAAATCATATTTTAGCATCACAACTGGTCTCATCAGAAAAAGCCTTTAAGACTTGAAAACCATCAAGCTTGTGATGACATGTACGTTTTCCAAAATCTAATTTTTGCCTAAAAGCTCCGGTTTTATTGAAACCAATATTGTAGGTTATTTCCTTGAAGTGACAGGCTCACTTTATTTTTTGAGAAATATCTGCCAAGAATCTAAGTCTGAATTAGCATAGTTTGTTTGTCGATCATTCTTTCAAGTAAATGTGATCCTCCTTAAAAAACTGCTAGCTCAGCTCAGAACTGAATCATGTGTCACAGAAGTGCTTTATGCATCCTTCTGGTTATATCTCACAGAATACTAAAGAGATATACACTCAGGGTCAAAATGTAATAAAACCATTAACCTCAATGCCCCCTAAAGGGGTTTTGATAATCCCTTGGGGGAGGAGGGTCTGTAGACCAAACTTTGAGCATTTCTGGGTGTAAACATCATATTTAAAAGAATTCTGAAGACATGCCAATGCATCAGGGGATTGGGACCAATGTATCATATATTACAGACCCAGGACTCATTTAACATGACTTCACTGACCACATTTACTATTGGACTCCTTTGAAAGCAGGATATGATAAGTTGGTAGGGAAGAGCATGAAAAAAATACTTTGATGGTAGTAGCAAAAAAAAATCTGGAGCATAGACTCAATGAGGAGAGAGGAGATTTGGATAGGCATATACAATACTTATAATTAAATTCACACAGAACCCAAAAGGCAAAGATAAGAACTAAAGGAAGAAAAAGGCCCTACATCCTAAATAGAATTATCATCTCAGACCCACTTTCATTTCACTTACATGCCAATTTTCTTATCAAAAAAATGGTGAGTGAAAAATTAATGGGAATAATTAGGAGGAAATAGGCAATGCCTATCAAAGTAAGTTTTACACCAGTTCCTTCAGAGCCAGATGCAAAAGATTCTCCAGCCTTGTCTCTGGACTGTGGAGTATACATACAGACTACATCATAAATGGCACAACTAGGGGGTTTATAGCAAGGCTGTGCTATGTACCCTGTCACCAGCACAGGAAGAGTCCTACTCAGTGTCCTTGCTGGAACCAGAAACACTTTTATCTTCTAGATTTCCATATTAGCAGTTATGCCCGTTCATTTCAATTTAGCTTTGTCTGTAGATTTAGAGGTATCCACTGGGAAAGGATGCAATACAGTCTAAATACTCTTTATTCACTTTCTAAAGTAAATGTCTCTGGGCATCAAGAACATAATGTTTATTTCCACTGACCTAGAAATTCTATCTCTGGGAATATATTAGTAAAAATAATTCTAATTACAGACAAACATCTAGCCACATGCTGTGCATGGCAGAGAAATAAGTCAAGTTACAGGGCAAGGTTAAGTAAACTTAACCTCTACTTGATGGGTTAAAAGAAACTATTATAAGTGACTCAGATACAAAAAAGCTTATGATAAATTGAAAAAGAAAACCCCAAAACAGATTGTGTGAATATAAAAGGGCCACTAAACCTGACAAGGGAGGCCTGGATGGTAGGCCTAACAAACTGACAGTAACCTTAGAGGATCATCTAAACATAAAAATTCCTAACAAAAGTTGCTCAAGGTGGTTAGTCATATAGCTTCCTTGACAAAGGTCACCATTTACTGTAAATGAGAAAGTCTATTGTCTTTTTGCATCTAAGATAACACAGATCCATTTCCTTGACTCCTCAAGACACAAACACAAAAGCACCAGACCAGAGAACCCATCACTGCCATTTTGTTGCCTGCATATAATCTCTAAGTGCTGTAAATGTTAACTATCCTGTAAAAGAAGCATGTGTCTCTATTTTTCTTTTTATATAACCCTCCCTTTTCTTTCTCCTGCCCATTTCATCTATCATCAGTAGATTTCATGTAACCCTCCTTACATCTCCTCCTTGTATTCTAATGTACAAAATAAACTGCAAAACTGCCATTCTCTGGAGCATTTTCTCAACCTTTTGAGACTTTGCTTCCTGGCAATTATCATCAATTTGGCTCAAATAAACTCATAAAATTATCTACAGGTTTGGACATTTAGTCAACAATTGCTACATTTAAAAGATTGGGAAAAATGAAAAAATAACACACACACACACACACACACACACACACACACACACACACACACACTATCAATAGTGGTTGACTATAGAAAAAAACCATGGGACATTTTTCTACTTTTAACTTACCAAATGTTCATGGGGCACCAACAAGAAGCAGGCATTGCTCTAAATGACTGACATACATCAGGGAACAAAACAAAGACCCCCAACCCTCATGTAGCTTCTGGCAGATGGAGACAGACAAATAATTATATTTATTATATCAAATATGTAGTCTGTTTTAAGGTATTAAATACTATGAAAAAGAAGAACCCGGAGAAAGCATGTAATATGTGCTCAAATGTCACCTTCCCAAAAAGGCATATCCGAACTTCCCCTGGATAGCTGATTAACACTCATCTTCAAGGCCTGCAAAATGAATAGGGGGTTCTAGACAGAGGAAATAGAGCATCTAGGGTGGGAATGAACATGGTTTGTTCAAAGCAACAACAAAGAAGTCGATTTGGCCAAGGCAGAATGAGAGCAGGAATAGTAGTAGGGAGGTGAGAGAGATAATGAGGCCTAATTATATGGTCCTTGTAAGTGGACAGACTATATATATATATATATATATATATATATATATATATATGGGTTCATTATTAAAAATGAGGGGAAAAGAGGCCTATTTCAATGAGGTAGATCTTATAAAATATGTCTTGTAGGTGAACAGCCCCTACAATCTTTTGATTTTGAGTGCTTCCATCAATTGCATATTGCTTTTCCCTTTCATGCAAGAGAGCTAGGCAGGACCTCCCAAAGTGGCACAGAGTTATTCCTTCTCAGACAAGAGCATGTCTGTACACAAGGATATATCAGAGGCCTCATTCTTCCCCTAGAATCTTAAAATGCCCACTCAGGCTCAGTAGTTGGTATATCATCTCAGCTGGTCCCCCACCAATCTGCTAGGATTGAGGTTCAGCCATGAGTGAAGCAGTGTGTATACTTACTGTTCTCACTCCATAGCCTTGTCGTCTGTGCTGTCAGGTCATTTGCCAGATGAGTTACTTTATATAGTTTTACATTTGCTTCATTCAAGCACTCTCAGCATTAGCCTACAAGTTGAGAAAGAAGGGTTGGACATGGCTCATAAAATCCATGCTGAATTAGCTGTATGATAAGGGAGGGGAAGGGAAGGAGAGATTTCTGGGACCCTTGTGCTCTCTTCTGCCCTGAAGACAGCAACCAGCATTGGGAAACTATGTCTTCTAACTTAAGCAATCACTATAAACTTAGGGTCTGGGCCACTAACAGACCTGAACTTCTCAGAGTATATGCGTCAATAGAGAAATTCAACTCTCTGGATATTGGACCCTTTCCAGAATTCTTTGTTCTTTTGGGAGGGAACATGTCAATACTGATGAAGTACAGAATCACTTCCCTAATTATATTAAATATTTAACCATCTTCTTTTCCCACTAGAATATAAGTTCCATGAGAATAAAAATTCTATTTGATCACAAATATACCTCCAGTGCCTAGAATAGTGCTAAGCACATATTAGGAGCTCACAAAACAAGGGGTAGTTACAGAAGGAGGGGAGGCAAAGGAAAGAGGGGATGAAGGAAGTAGGAAGGATTGCCAAAGAGCTTACCAAGCAAGAAGGGAGAAAGTAAATAGATCTAAAGCAGCAATGTATATTTTAAAAAAATATTTTTTATTGATTTCAGAGAATAACGGAAAGGGAGGGAAACATCAATGATGAAAGAGAATCATTAATCAGCTGCCTCCTGCATGCCCCTCCTGGGGATTGAGTCTCCAACCCTGGGCATGTACCCTGACTGGGAATTGAACCATGACCTCCTGGTTCATAGGTTGATGCTCAACCACTGTTGTCTTAACAACAGAAATTTGAACTGTCAAAGTATATGCACCCTCCTGATCATGAAGTCTGCAGGCTCAAGATAACCCTATTGGATTAATACTTCAATCCCAAATTGCAACTTCAAAGAACTGTTTTTTCAGAAGAGGAAAGAATTTGCCATTTCATCTTTGTATTTCTATAATACATATTTAGATAACCAATCTAACCACTGGATTTTTGCCACACTCTGGAAACTAATGCCAATGACTGTGAAACCAACAATTCACAAGACCAAGAGCTGCCAAATATAAGATGGTAGTATCCTCTTTACTTAGCTTTAATTTGTATTCTTATTATTAACACTAGGGGCCCAGTGAACAAATTTGTGCACCTTGAAAGGAACCTTGAGCTACACGGCTGTGGTGTGCACAGGGGCAGGTCTTGGCCTATCCTCTGTGCCCCTGGCTGGTCCCTCCCACATGGATCCCTGTCCCCTGTCTGCTGGCAGCCCTGCTCCCACCTGCTGATGTGCTGCTGCTCATACCCACTGATGGCGCAGAGTGATTTGGGCTGGTACCAGCAGCAAGTGCAAACAGGGCCAGTGCGTCAATAGAGAAATTTTGGGAGGGAACATGTCATCGCTCACATCAGTGGATGTGAGCGATAGCTGCTGCCCTGATCACCCCTCAGGAGCAGGGGGAAGTGGAGAAGCCCTCAGGGGTGATCAGGGCTGGCAGCCACTGCTCACACCCACCGACAGCAGTGATCGGGACCAGTGCTGGGTGCCAACAGCGGGTGTGAGCAGCGGCTCTGGTGCCAGCATCAAGTACAAGTTCCGGGTAAGACCACAGCACGTGGGAGCAAAGAATTTTCAGTAACCACCAGAGGCTTACCCTAATGACAGCCACCAGCACCCCACATTGGTCTAGCGCCATCTTGGTCTAGTGCCCCTGATCACCTGCTCTTCCATTGCACTGTGGCCGATACCCACCATGGTCCATGCTCTGGGGCCTGCTGCCGATGCCCACCATGTTCTGCGCATGCCTTTTGGCGTTCAGCACAAGTCATAGCGACCAGTTATTCAGTTGTTCAGTTGTTCCCCCATTCAGTCTATTTGTATATTAGGGTGCAATAGTTCTGTGGATTTTACAAAACTGTTTTTTGTGTTTTGCTCCTTACACGTATTAAATGTCAACCCATACTACTTCCTCATGAGATTTTTATCTCTAAAAGAAAGAATGCTATGGAAATGTCAGAATAGGAAGACAAAGAAGGGATCACCTATAGGCATTTGGAGAAATGGTGAACCTGGTGGTAAATCTAATAATCTCAATGTTAACCTAATATTTATGATAGAACAATGGCCAAGGATCAGGAACATATAAAAGATGATACCAGGTTTGGTCCTCTGGTGAACCTCTGCATTAGCACATATCCTGGAGATCTCAACTGAGGTGTACACTATTGAAGAATGTTTTTTTAAGCTCATCCTAGTGACTATTCTAAACTTTTTATGAAAGACTAATAGATTATATCTCCTTATATCTCCAAGCCTAAGTACATTCCTTGACACAAATAGGCAGTTTATAAATGTCTGAGGCACTCAAATTATTGCAGACTTTAATGAAAGGCTGGCCATCATTCCCACTAAAGTTTACTTAGAGGTCATAGTCGAGTTCTCCTTATAAACTCCAACATCCTAATTTTTTTTTTAACTTGGTTAGAATCTTATCCACCAATTAGTAAGCAAATGAAGAGCCAAATCAAGTACATGCCCATTAGGAAGCCAACGAGGAAAGTCATATAAATAGTTTTAGTTCACAGATGTACCAGAGCACATCCAGGCTTGTTGGGGGTTGTGAAAGCACACCTGGCAGGTATTGCATGGCAGCTTCTCACACAATGCCAGCAGCATCACACAGCTTAGAGCACTGAGTGATGTTAAATGCCAGGCTCATTCTCCAATGCTATCAGAAGGAAGCGAGGCTAGTGACAAGTGTGACAGTGTTTGGATGGTCTGGAATTTGTAATTATGTTTTGAATGTTGAATATGTTTGTTCTCATTTATGAAACTTGGCACACTCATTGTTTTCCTCACATTACTCAGGAGTTCAGGTTGATTCTGTTTTATAAATGAGAAATGTGTTAAAGAGGCTGAATACTTTTTGCCCAAATTCACACAGCTAATAAGTGTTGGAATTAGGATTTAAACTGCTAACTGCCTGTGCCAATGCAAAAAAAAAGAAAAATATCAAATACTAGATTCCTAAGATATGAATTAGTAATCACAAAGAAAATTGATGTCCTAATTGGCTCAAATTGTCAAGAATCCTGGGTCCCAGAGGAAAAATGAATAAAAATATGATAACTGTTAATCACTTTTATTTTATGTTGTCTCCAATAATAGATGACCCATTAACTGGGCTATGGGGAACACATCCAAGTGTGAGAAATGGCACTTCTGTTTATGGCTCTGAATGCAATGCTAGGCACCTGTTTGCTTAGGGTGAAAGAGCACAGATCTCTATAATATGAGTTAGTCAATGAAATGTGGAAGTGGCAAGCAGAGGAGCCAGCGATTCCCCAGTTTTCAAGAGACACCTGTGTGGTAAAGTAGGCAGCCACCTGGGCAGACAGAAAAGGCACTGGCCCTTAGACATTGCTTCAAAAGGTTGGTATCCATGAATCCTGCTCACCATCAGTACAGTGTTTTCACTTCACAAAGTATTTTAATGTACAGGATCTTCAAAGATAATGAGATTGTTTCTCTAAAGGTGGTCTGTACAAGAACAAAACATTCAACGGGGTTGTACCTTCAAAAGAACTTCACATTTAAGCATAAGGATGGCCAATTTTGATACAAGAAAAGAAGAGGTTAATGGAAAAAATGCACATTCATCTTAAAGCTGGTTCTTAAAATAATGCATAAAAATGCTGCCTCCCAGAAATGCAGGAACCAATGGGAATTCAAAATAATCAAAATAATTGTGAGATTGCCTATAACTTCTAAATTTCTCCGGGCCTCTCTGTCAGCATAATATGTTTTTGAAAATGCTTCCGTTTCCAATGTACCATTGAGTATTGGCATTTCTGGCATTATAATTCAGGAAAGATGAAATAAACAATTCAAGGAAAAGTTCAGCATAATGTATGTGCCTCTGAGAGTGAAAAGAATCGATTTATCCTACCAACAGATATTTAAGGCAGCAGCAGAATGTGGTCACCCACAGATACACACAGGACTTAGAGTTGAAGCCCACGTATGACATATAATTGTGTGACCTTTTAAATAAGTCACTGAACCTATGAGCCAAAGAATTCCGCAAAATTTGTGAAATTCTGCATGTTTAAAAGTTAATGCTGGTAATGGAGTGCACAGATTACATGAAACATGTAGTAAACATGAGTAAAATACAATAAGACCTAGTTTCTGCCTTAGAGATGCTTTCTTTTTAAGCAAAGTTAAAAAGCCATAATATTTTAAAAGGCCCTAAAAGTGCTACAGGAATTCATAAATAGATAGATTTTGATATGGGAAGTTGAAATTGGGCATTCTGTGGAGCAGGTTAAGTTTAGAAAAGGCAGATGTTCTAAGATCACTTTTAAGTGGGGACATCATTCAGTAAAGCCATGTCTAGAAATATTAATATGGACACTGGATAAGATAGACTGGCAAAGAGAACATCAGAAGCAAAAAATAGTAATTTAGGAAGCCACTGCGACAGTCCAGCTGATAGGTAATGAGAGTGCTACATGTCCCTGGGAGTGGACTGCAAAGCTATAAAACCAGAACAGAATTGACCTGCTGCAGTAATTGATTGGGAAGCAAAGAATAAGAGGAAACAAGTGATCAAGTACAGGATTTAGAGCCTGGATGTGGGAAGAACCAGGGTGCCAGGAGCAGAAATGTACAGAGGAAACACCAGCTTCAGAAGAAAATTGTAAGTTTTGTTGTAGAAATGCTGATTTTAGAAACAGAAATCACAGTGTATCTTTGAAAGAATAAATAAAAGGGAATACTTTTGTTATTGTTGTTGTTAATCCTCACCCAAGAATATTTTTCCATTAACTTTTAAAGACAGAGGAAGGAAGTGGGGAGAAACAGAGAGAGAGGATCATTGATGTAAGAGAGATACATCAATTGGTTGCCTTCCACACGCTCCTGGATCAGGGCCAGAGAGCAAAACTGGAACTCAGGTATGTGCCCTTGACCATGAATCAAACCCACAGCCTTTCAGTCTGTGGACTGATGCTCCAACCACAGAACAACACAGGCCAGGGCTAAGGAAATGCTTTTAAGGAAAGTGGGGGAAATAAAAGACATTGCAGGGGTTAAAGGAGTGAGGGGGGAGTGAGGTATATATGTCCTTGTGGAATGGCCCCCAATGAGCCACACCCTCAGGTATTCATACTCTGTGTATATCCCTGAACCTGACGGGAGTCTACAGAGTAATTTATTGCATTACAAGTATAAGTCTGCCTCAGAAAAATTTCTGCAGCTTCTGCCTTGGTTTCTTGGAATATGTACTTGGTCTTAGTGCCTTGAATTGCCACATAAGAAGTCCACATTCCCTGTGGCTACCATGTTGTGAGAAAGCCCAAGCTAGACACAATGAGAAGTCACATGGAAAAAGAGATGTCCAACCAGCCCCCAGCTGTTCTAGCTATCTCAGCCCAGGAGTCATACGTCTGAGTGAATAAAAATTCAGATGACTCTAGTGTCAACTATCATCTAAACTAAACTAGTCAACTCCCAAAACCAGGAGAGGTAATAATAAATCATTGCTTTAAGCTACAAGATTTGGAGGTGATTTTTTATTCAGAAATAGATAGAACACTATTCTTTAGTCAAGGAAACAAATTAAAGCATATATAGACAGACTGAGCTTTCTTCTCAAAATCCAATCACTAGCCCAGCCTGTATGGCTCAGGAGTTGAGCCAGGAGGTCACGGTTTGATTCCTGGTCAGGACAAATGCCTGGGTTTCAGGTTCAGCCCAGTCAATGATTCTCTCTCATAGTTGATGTTTCTATCTCTCCCTCTCCCTTTCTCTCTGAAATCAATAAAAATATATTTTTTTAAATCATATCTTCTGTTAAGGATTAAAAAATCTAATCACTATTACCTGAGAAAAGTTCCTTCTATTTTAGGGTGAGTGTTTTTTTTTTAATGGCTGAATAATAGTTATGTGAAAGAATATTCAATTATTTGAGATAAAAAGGAAAGAAACAGATGAGTGAAAAGAAAAATTTAACATAAGATAAAGAGAGAAATTTTACTGAATAGTTTTGAAGTTATCAATCTCATTTTATCATGCCTTATTTATTGAAAGGAAGGGTTCAGTAAGGCAGGATTAGAATCTGAGGAAGGATTTTGCTTACTTTTTAAAAATAAAGTAAATTTTAAGAATAAAGAATTTAGAAACATAAAACCCATGCCTAATTAGTATGGATTTATGGTGAACCTATCCAGAAGTTTTATGATTGCATGACTTCCTACTGAAATGTGTAGGAACAGAAGCATCCCTGAGGGTAAACAGGAGGCACAGGGGAATCCAGAGAAAGTAAGGTCTTCTAGGACCTCACTTGATTTGAGGAGGCAAATGAAGCCTACAGAGCATTGAGAAAGAACATTTACTTGCTGAGTTAAAGACAGAATAAAATATAGACTAGACAAGAGAGAGGAGAAAGGGAGGACCCAAGTCCTCACTAGATTTCAATTCTAAGATAATTCGGGGTGGGGTGTCGGGAATAGTGTGGGGTTAGGAAAAGCAGGATGTTTGTTTTTCTTTCTACTCAATGTGGTCTTTAAAGGGGATTAATGGTAAACATTTTAGGAGTTACTCAGTATCTCCATGGATATACTACATGTTTCTGGTCATAATCTATAAAGATCAAGCTTTACTGTTGGTTGGTCTCTTTCCCGGATGACTTTACAAATTTTGCTCACAAGGAAAATGTGCTCTTCTGGACAGAAAGCAAACCTCCTCTCAACTGCCAGAAGGTAGGGTGGTCATTACCTGTGATCTGATGTTAGTCATTTGAGATGAGCACTTATATAGATTCACAGACTCAGTGAAGAAAGATGTCATAAAACTTTTAGTGCTGGCTGGTTAAAGAGATGCCAGAGGACATGAGGGAGAAAATGTTCTTTTCAGTGCAGCTGTTTTTTCAGTGCAGCTGTGTGTGTCCACACTCATTCGGATATAATTAAGAGGTATCTGTGCCACCCTTAGAAAGTGCTTCCAACACAAAGCCTTTTGTCAAGAGAGACATATTACTCACATAGCTAGCAACCTTACTTTTCTAGCTACTAACTTATGGCATCACCAGACAGAACTACAAGAAATGTGCACTGGAGTTCTAATAAAACTAGAAGCCATTGTAAGGCTACATTCAGGTGATGGCCATATGACCTTAACAATGATCCCTGAGGTTAAACCTGACTTAATCCATTTGAAGAACTATAGGCTCCATCAACAAATACCTCAAGTCACCAATATGGCTTATTTTTCTTTCTTATCCAATTCTATATTTTAAGGAGGGCTAGGAGATGTTTATTACCTTGTTATGGGGTGACCCGCAAGAGACGACCACCAGAGGCAGAGATAAAAATTTATGAGCCTTTATTAAGCTGGCCAACAACTACAGTTATGGCACTTCACCGCTGTAAAGGTGGAACTGCAGTGCAGACCATGGGTGTTATAGCAAATTTATACTCAGAAACCACAAGAGAGAGTTAGGATAGTTACAATGACAACCCAAAGGTTACAAAAGTTATTTAAGCCGTTTCCAAGAAACTCAGGGCACAGGTGCAAGGCCTGGGCACGCTTGGCCAGAGCTTGAACTGCCACTGCCCTCCAAACTCCAACTGACCTATTGTTCGGTGACCTACTCCACCTCCCTCTGTCCCAAGGCATCCTGTCTCCAGGCAACAGAGGAGCTGTGCAATGTTTGCAGCCCAGAACAACCTTAACTCGGGTCATCTGCTCAACATGGTCATCCACTTCTAGCTGCAAGACACTCTTATCTTTTCTCTGTTTCTGTTTGACTTACAGATCTTCTACTTAGCTTTTTCTATCAGCCAGGATATAAGCATGTCTCTTCTTCAAAGTGCAGTATGGCATTTTCCATATCCCTGCAAAGCTTCTGTAATTTTGTTTCCTGTCTCTTTATTTTCTCCAGCTGGCCAAACTGGCCCCCTCCTGTCTGACCAAGCCTCCCATTCAAGTCTTCCAGTTCTTGGGTGAGGTCAGCTCTGTCCCTCTCTATTTTGGTTTGAATGGTCCTTCTAACTTCTAGCTCCTCTTTCAAATGCTGTATTTGAGTCTATAACCATAAGTCATATTGACTTTTACTAAGACCTTGTGGCATATTTCATAGTCAAGAGCTTCACTGTATATATAATTTTTAATTTCTCTACAAGTAAGGAAAGTAACAGAACACTTTTGGTTCCTATTTAATAGTTAAAGAAAATAGAATACCCAGAAACTTTGCTCCAAATCAGTAGTAAGATCAGAATTAAAATATGCGGTTCCTCCATGTATTCCAGCCCTTGGTGATGAGCAACTTCACAAGTTGTATAGATGAAGGGGAAATTTTAGCAAAGAGTACTTTCCAACATACTACAGAACACCTTTCACATAACAAGAAAAAAACTTAAAGACAGCTGATAAAATATAACATGTTGCCTTTTATATTAATACCTCATTTACCTGAAATTCATTTACCTAATAATCTCAAATATTGGGAACTCGGGCAAAAATCTGATCAATAGAATGAATATTAAGCAACTTACTCAAAAAAACAGTATCAGTTTAATCTGACACACAATCTTGGTGAACTTGGTTATTTGGTTTCTTAATCTGCAGGCAATTTCAAATAGCAGATTTGGAATAGCAAAGTAGAATTGGTGGAGGAATGGGAACTACTAAAGAGAGTAGGAATCTGAGACCATTAAAGGAGGAATTATTAGACAAAGAAAAGTAGTGATAAAAACTCTGAAGCCCAAAATTCTTTTAAGGTAGAGGCAAATAGCTCTAGAAATCTTGATAGTATCATTGTATTACAGTACAACAAAGCCACTGATGTTCATTAATATCGCCTTAAATAATTAGGCATAGAGAGGGTAGGAGGGGAAAAAACAGAATCTATTTTAGAATATGTTTTCCTTTCCATTACATAAGAGTACCATGACTTACTTAGAAGCCAATTTCCAGGTCATACTAAATATGTAGGCTCTCAGCCAAAACCGGTTGGCTCAGTGTATAGAGAGTCAGCCTGTGGGCTGGAAGGTCCCAGCTTCGATTCCAGTCTAAGGGCATGTACCTTGGTTGTGGGCACATCCCTGGTAGGGGTGTGCAAGAGGAAGCTGATTGATGATTCTCTCTCATCGATGTTTCTAACTATCTATCCCTCTCTCTTCCTCTCGGTAAAAAATCAATAAAATATATATTTTAAATATCAATAAATAAATATGTAGGCTCTCAGACATGTGAATGGGTTGTGACAGAGTAGGTGCTAACAAATGTATGCTTTCACATCCAAATAAATGTGATCTCCTTTCAACTAGTTATCTTGGGATCCGATATCTTTATCCCAAACAATGTTGTCACTGGACCAAACATTTCTAAAACATTTCTTCAGAATAAAGCATTTTATTTTTATCATCAAAGTAAGAAAATATGTCTTTTGGATAAATTTAATTTTTAAAAAAATGTTATTTTGGATAAAGTCAAGTGTCATCGGAAAACAATCCTGGTGAATATGATAGATAATTAGTTGGAGTTTAATGTTGTGTCTGAAAGCATGTCCATGTAGCAGTAAGACTGTTTTTTGTTTTTTTTAATTTGACTCAAAATGTCTCAGAAGAAATTATCAAAACGGGATTCTAAAATTATTTTGCATAGCCGAAACCGGTTTGGCTCAGTGGTAGAGCATCGGTCTGTGGACTGAAAGGTCCCAGGTTCGATTCAGGTCAAGGGCAGGTACCTTGGTTGCAGGCACATCCCCAATAGGGGGCGTGCAAGAGGCAGTCGATCGATGATTCTCTTTCATCGATGTTTCTAACTCTCTATCCCTCTCTCTTCCTCTCTGTAAAAAATCAATAAAATATATTTTAAAAAATAAATAAATAAAAATAAAATAAAATAAAATAAAACAAAATTATTTTGCATAATAACTAATAATATTAGTTCAAAGTTTACCAGGAAGATTAACACATAAAAAAATATATGTCCAGGGTTTTATTACATGGTAAACTTTGAACTAATATTATTAAGTGCAACAGTACATGTAAGTGGTAAGCACAGTGCCTGACACAGGGTTAGCATTCAGTGTTAGCAATTTCACTTTCTATGATGATTAGTCTTTGTGATTAGAAGGCAATTATGCTGAAAATTTGTTTTGTAGCTACATGGCAAACATTTAACAAATTAGTTATTTGTTTTTATTATCCTCAATAGAGGCCCAGTGCACAAATTTGTGCACAGGTGGGGTCCGGCCAGCCCCACCCCCTAGTTGAACTCCCAGTTGGTCAAACTCCCACTGAGTGGACAATTTGCATGTTTAAACTTAAAAATAGTAATTTTTCCTGGATTCACATATCTGTGGAATGCCACAATTTACCTTTTAACCATTGGTCTTTTCTGCCTCTGTGTTTGGCTAAGGGTATGGATACTTTGGCAGAACATTTGTCACTGAAGCACCAATCATCATCTATTCATTAAAATACAGATACTCACAGGTGTCTGGAAATGATTACCTAAAGCTCTTCAACCATCTGCTGAAGCTGAGCCACCAGGCCTTTCTCATACTCCACCTTTGAATTCATCTGACTCATTTATAATTCTTTCCTCTTTGGAAAAATGTACCAAAAGGAATTATTCAGAATAAAGCATTTTTTTGTTTCCATCTAATAGTTAAAGAAGATAGTATACCCAGTAAAAGTAATATGTTGTGTTTAAGTATTTTTAGAATTATAATAAAAGATTAATTCATTCTCATTGTAAAGATTCAACATTACATCTACATCCAATCTCTGTTTCTTCCCTAGAGAAAAACACCATTGTCAGTATGATGTGAATCAACCAACCTTTTTTAAAAGTGTTGACATATGTTTATGTTGATATATCAGTAGAGGTAGTTTCTTTTTTTTTTTTTTTAATATGACAGATATAATATTCTATAAATGTGTATTTATAGTTCTATAACTTATTTTTAACCCAATAATACTTTGGAGATTTTTCCATGTTGATCTACATATAGATTGCTTCAATTAAAAATATACTTGTCCATGATTTAGACATCCAAAGTTTTTATTTATCCATTTCCTTATTTTTTTAAAATATATTTTATTGATTTTTTACAGAGAGGAAGAGAGGGGGATAGAGAGCTAGAAAAGTCGATGAGAGAGAACATCGACCAGCTGCCTCTTGCACACCCCCCACTGGGGATGTGCCCGCAACCAAGATACATGCCCTTGACCAGAATCGAACCCGGGACTTTTCATATACATGCTCATTGTTTACAAGTACGTGTTTCTGTAGAGTGAATACTGAGCAGAGAATTGCTAAGTCAGGGAGATATGTGCTTAAAAATATACAACCCTGCCCAACAATAGTGTGAAATTATTATTTCTCTACATTTATGCTTCATATTAGTATGCTTCTAAACTTTCTAATCTGAGGGAATAAATTAATATACCATTCTTTTACCTTGAATATCCTTGTGTTTTAGTAATTTCAGCATCTTATCAAATATGAGGATTTAAAAATGCAATAAATCAAATTGCTTGATTTAATAATCATGCAATTATTAAATTATAGATTTAACATTCTCTATATTTATTTTTTATATCTATTGCAAATATTTCTACCACTTACAATTAGTACATGATAAAGATGGTGATTCAAAATATTGATGACAAGATAGGCTACTTAATAAATGATGCAATTATTAAATTTTCTTTTGGCTTTTGCCACATAAATGTTTAAAAATTTGATGTAGTAAAGTTTATTAAGACATTTCTTTTTTTACTTATCCAAGAAGATTTGATCTGTCAAGTTCCTAATAATTATCACCTATATAATGTTTTTAATGGTTTTTGTTGTTTTTATTGCAGTAAGAACATGAGATCTATCCTCTTAACAAATATTTAAATGCATAATATTGTTAACTATAGGCACAATGCTGTACACAGATCTCTAGAATTTAACCACCTTGCAAAACAAACTTTATACCCATTGAAAAACAATTTCACTATCCCCCTCTATGTTCTCATTGGCCACTACCATTCTACTCTCTTTCTATGAGTCTCACTATTTTATTTTATTTATTTATTTTTTAAATATATTTTATTGATTTTTTACAGAGAGGAAGAGAGAGGGATAGAGATAGAAACATCGATGAGAGAGAATCATCAATCAGCTGCCTCTTGCACACCCCCCACTGGGGATGTGCCCTCAACGGAGGTACATGGCTTTAGACTGGAATCAAACCTGGGACCTTCCAGCCCCAGGCTGACTCTTATCCACTGAGCCAAACCGGTTTCAGTGAGTTTCACTATTTTAGATACCTCATGTAAGTGGAATCATGCAGTATTTGTTCTGTGACTGGCTTATTTAACTTAGTATAATGTCTTCCAGTTTTGTCCATATTGTAACATGCAGGAAGATTTCCTTCTTTTTTTTTTTTAAGGCTGAGTAATATTTCATTATATGTATACATCTTTTCTTTATGCATTCATCCCTCATTGGGCATATATGTAGTTTCCATATCTTGGCTCTTGTGAATAATGCTGCATCTTCCAATGGTCTTATAGTTTTATTTTTACATTTAATTCTTGAATGCAACTGGATTTTGCATGTGTAAGTAATGTGAATAGAAAATTAACTTTTACCTCAGAAAATGAATAGCTAATAACCTCAGCATCATTTATTAAGTAGCCTATCTTGTCATCAATATTTTGAATCACCATCTTTATCATGTACTAAGCTTCCATATGTAGTTTCATTTATAGAAAAGGTTTTATAATAAAGTTACAACTTTCTGCAAACACAGATTTCTAAAATGCCAGAGCTCTTTGACCTGGAAGAACATGGGTTATCATTTTCACTTTGTGGAGTTTGAACACTATCTACAAAATTAAAGGCTGAGAAGACTCATTATCTTGCCTTTCACTGCTCCATTACATTCATTAGGTTACTTATTTCATCTTTTTCAAATACTTATCAAGTTCGCTATCTTATTAATAGAAAATTAATCACGCCTGACCACAGGCATGTATAATGGAAACCATGTCACATACAGGAAAACCAGGATCACAGCTGCTCAGTTGACTCTTCTTTTTCACTGTTGGTCCTAATGATCAATATGCTCCCAGCTTTCACCTGGCCTCATCTTACTCTGGACCTCACTGTTTCGCCTCTCGTTTGGATATATTCCAAATTAACTTGAAAATCCCTCATGCTGAGAAGAAAGTCTAGCTAAACAGAGGAAGACAAAGGGCATGGTGAGAAAATCCATTCCAAGGCCTGGTGAAACAAAACTGAAATGGCCGTCTTGCCCTCGGGCAAGATTGAACTGAAATTCCACTAATTTTGACTGTGTGGTGTTTTGCTTTAGATTGTAAGGTTTAACATCAATATAGTAAAAATAGCAACATAAATAATAGAGTCTATTTGGCAAACAAGTATTTTTTTTAAATAATCAGAGAATTCAGGATGTCCTCAAAAGATGTATACACACTTTAAAGCTGATAGCTCAATTTTGAAAATGAAATTTACTTTAATAAACACTGTCTTTATAATTATTCAAAGTGTGTGTATACATTTTGGGAACATCATATATATGACTTCAAATTAGAGTCCATTATCTATTTTTATTTATTTTTACTTTTATGCTATTGGCCTCATCATAAGAAGTAAGGCATTTTTATTTTTGTACTTGTAGCCTCAATAATTCACATCTCCTATGCTTTAGACCTTTCATTCACATCTGCTAGTCAGATACCTTCTCAGTTATATTCTTCTAGATTATGCATTCACTCTCTTTTTACAAGTATATAATAAAGTCCAGCAAAAAAAAAAAAAAAAAAAAATCCATTTTCTAGGCTCATTATCCTCCCCTTCAGGTTTTGAGAGATCTGGCCCAGGAGTTGTGAGGATAAATGATATGAGAAAGCTGTCCCTCCCAATATTAGGTCTTCCAGAATCTCATGTCAACACAAAGGTGGCTTACTTTCTCAGCTTTCCTGTAAGCTGCAGCTGGCTGCTCTCCAGGTGCCACACTCTCCTGGTGCAGCTGGAAATCACCCTCCAATTGGCACTTTTCCCTTTCACATTCATTCTCACCTTTTTCTCTTGCTCAAGGGCATCATCAAGCTGTCAAAAGAAGATAATTGCTTAGCTAAATAAATAGGTAAAGTTTATATGTCGCTAGATGTGCTCATTAATTACTTACCTTTTGGAAATTAAAAAAAAATAGAAGCACAGATTTTGTAAATGATGCCCAGCTATGTAGATATTTTATTTTTAACTAGTGGCCCAGTGCACAAAATCCATGCATAGAAGGGGGTGTCCCTCAACTTGGCTTGCACCCTCTCCAATCTGGGACCTCTAGGCAGGGGGGAGAGATCGGGCCTAAACCGACAGTCGGACATCCCACTCACAATCTGGGACCATTGGCTCCTAATTGCTCACCTGCCTGCAAGCCTGATTGCCCCCTAACCACTCCCCTGACAGCCTGATTGACACCTAACTGCTCCCATGCTGGCCTGATCTCCCACAATTGTCCTCCCCTGCCATGACCTGCCTCCTCCACCAGGACCTGCCTCCTCCACATAAGGTTGGAAGAGACACCTGGACCAGCCTCCTTTGTGCCATGCAGAGCCTCGGGACCCCCAGGCTTCATTGCTCAGAGCAGCTGCCAGGCCCCGCCTCCACTGTGCACATGGTCATCATGTGACAGCCATCTTGTGACAGTCACATGTGAGGGCCACCTAGGCTTTTATTAGTATAGATTTTGTTTATTGATTTTTAGAGAACGAGTGGGAGGGAGAAACATCTATTTGTTTTTCACTTGGTTATGCATTCTTTCATTGTTTGCTTCTTGCATGTGTCCTGACTGGGGATCAAACCTATAGTCTTGGCACATCAGGACAATGTTCTACCTGGCCAGGACCACTATTTATATACTAATATTTTTAAATAAATATTGCACATATCAATAGGATAATAAAAGAATCTAGCAATCACATGGATAGAAGAAAACTTTGGAGATTAAGGAATACACATTCTATCCTAAGGAAGCAACCAATAATAAATAGCCATTGACACTTTGTTTGATCACTTTCCAGTGATGGGAAGCTCACTTCTTCATATGGCAGCTCATTTCATGGGTGGATAAGTCCATTTACTCAGGAGTGTTTCTTCATAAGAAGTCAAGGTATTCTCTGTAAATTCTTCCCACAGGTCTAAGCTCTGACCCTTGGAATAATACCAAGTAAACCTGCCTTCACAGCTGTCCTGAGTCTCCCAGCTCAGTAATGACCATTTCAAACATGTGTCACATGATTTGCATACCTCCTTAACTCCCTGGGTTCTCTCTTCTAGTCCATTACATTAGGTCATACTCTGTAACCACACCAAAGTGCTCAGAATATTCTAGTTTTGTCTGAAATAATGTTGCTAACAATTATATTGAAGTCAATTTAACAGGATAGATAACAGTTATAATATAGCTATTTTTCGTTAGTATGTTTACTTTTTAGTAATGGGAGTAAAGAGGAAAAAAATATGTAATTTAAATTGGTGGACAAGGGAAATTTTCTGTAAGTTGTATGTAAAAATCTGAAAGTAGATAAACTCCAGGAGAGAACATTATATGACACCAATAAATAGGCATATAGAGACTTTGTGAGATACATAATCAGTAGAAATAGGAAAAGAAGTGAGACAACTAATAAGCAATAGAGGATATTGATAGAGAAGCTTGAGGAAAAAGCAGGTAATAATAAATAATAATAATAATAATAATAATAATAATAATAATACCTATCCACCCTTGTCAGCAATTTTATAAAGGCTAAACTGTGGGGATTATAAGAGAGGGAAAGCACACACTAAGTCAGCTGGGGAAGGAAAAGGACGAACAATGAAGCTGTCCATTGAGGCTGGTCTGAAATAACTTGATCTTGATATCACAGGGTACTTAGAGGCAGAACAGAACACCATCTTTGGAACATTACAAGTACTTTCCAATAGTGTATGTAGAACACAGCTTTGACTTCCATCTCTTTCAACTAGAAATAAACCTCAGGTCTCACTGGAGACATGACAGGCCTTTAAACCAATCCTTCAACACCAGCGTCAGATAAAAAGAGTACCAGCCTATCTGTAGGTTCTATGAGGAAAAGTCAGTCACTTAGAGCGATAACACTTCATGATCCATCCTAATGTTCTCAGACTGCCCAGGGTTGTATGAAATTTACATTTAAAAACTGACACAGCGGGCTTCTCTCTACTATAGTGGTTCCTATAGTGCTTCAATGGTCATTAAGAAAAAACAAACAAATACGATTTCTAATAATGAAGGAAACAAAACATGCTACTGAGTATTCCTAAAGATGTCAAAATAAATTAACTAAATAAAAATTGGAGATGTGTATATCTGTAGACAGACAGCTAACCTCCTAGACAAATCACTTCTTACCTCATCTTACTTGCTGTTCCAGTTTCAAGTTGGCTTTGCTCAGGTTGCTGAGTTTCTCCAGCTCCGTGTACAGGTTACCCAGGGTCTGCTGACTGGCCTCCTGTGCATCGTTGGCTGTTCTGTTAAGTTTGATGATATTCTCATTTAGAAATTCCATTTCCTCACTCTAGTACTTGACCTGTGGGAAGAAGATAATAACAGCTTTATTAGAGCTTCCACTGAAAGGTTGGGCATAAGGGCCATCTTTTCCCTTTTTCTAGTACAAAAAAAAAAAAATCTTATGAGCTATCCATTGTCATAATGAACCATATGAATTCTTCATATACTTTCAAAAACTCTGAATTCACCCTTTCTTTTACACATACAAAATGATGTAATTGCCCTGAAGTGTTGCTTTGTAGTTAGAGCATTGGCCCTCACACTGAAGGGTCATAGGTTTGAATCCTGGTCAAGGGCATGTACCTGGGTTGCAGGTTGGATGCCTAGTTGGGTGTGTTCAGGAGGCCACCAATCAATGTGTCTCTCTCACATTAATGTTTCTCTCTCTCTCCCCCTCCCTCCATTTCTCCCTTCCTCTTTTCTACTCTCTAAAAATCAATGGGAACAATATCCTCTGGTGAGGATTAACAAACAACTGATGGTCATGAACAGGGAAGAGAGTGCTCTAGATAATCACATATTATCAATATATGCCCTACCCTGTTTGGCTCTGTGGATAGAGCATCGCCCTGCAGACTAAGAGGTCCCAGGTTCAATTCTGGTCAAAGGTATGTACCCTGGTTGTGGGCACATCCCCAGTAGGAGGTGTGCAGAAAGCAGCTGATGTTTTTCTCTCATCGATGTTTCTAACTCTATCCCTCTCCCTCCTTCTCTGTAAAAAAATAAATAAAATATAAGTATATATATATTTAAAATATATTATCAATATAGCTCAAAGGATGGCCAGTTTTGAAAGTCACATAATTATATAAGAAGAACACCACTTATGGTAGAGCCTTCTTTTGAGTATTCAGAAGGCACATGTTAATCTGGTGGTGCATCAGTGTCCAAAAGAAAGTGGCAGTTAAAGATGAGGTCCAGCTGATAAAATAAGCAAATGTGGAAGCTGCCTATTTCAGATCCACAGTCTTTTTATGAAAGCAAACCAATGGCAGAAGAGTTACTATTTAGTCATCTGTCAAAATTACAGTGCCGTTCTGGAGACTAAGTATTCAATATTTACCAGAAGTTTGATACAGACTCTTCAGCTATATGAAATCCATACACAGATGTGCAAGTTAAAACCCTCAACTGCAAAGGACAAAACAGCAAAGTCCTTAACTGGAATTGAATTGGCATACCAAGGTCAAACTCCAAATCAATGACAGAGCTGGAGATTCACATACATTCCAAATCGCCTTTCAGAAAATTGCATCATGCTCGCTCCCAACAAAGGATACTTAGAGGCCCTATGAAATCATTTTGCTCTTTCAATTAGATTTCAGATGATTTCAGTTGCAGTAAGATTAAAACAGATGAAGAGGCTTCATTGGGGAGATTTAGATGGGTAGCACAAATCAAGCTGGAAATTTGAGCTGGAACAGCACAATTCATCGGACTCTTCATTTTATGCCATTTCTGACTCCCACTGTTGTGAAGCTTGCAGACCACTGTGTTAGTTAATTTAACCAGAGCGAATCTGGTACCAAGCCCTGCTTGGGAGGGGCATTCAGGCATCCAGGCCTCCCTCACATTATAGAAAAGAGAATTTGTGCTCTGTAGCACACTTCTCCTTCTGTGACTTCACCAATATTGTTTCCAGGTCATCGATTTCTTTCTTAAACTCAGAACATTAATCTTTGAGTTTCCGCCTCCTGGCAGTCAGCTCAGAATTTATCTTCCCCTCTTTTTCCACCCATGCAGACAGTGCCTCGACTCTAGCCTCCAGCTGGATCTTGGATTTAATCAGCAACTCGCACTGCTCTTCAACATTTGCCAGGGTCTCTTGCTCTTGCCATGATGAGGAGAAAATTGTTGCCAACAGCTGGAAGTAATTTATCAGCTAGGCGAAAATGCTTCTTAACACCAGCAAAGAGATAATTGCCTGCCCTCTGCCCAGTACTTTCACCTACCGTCTTTCCTAAGCAGTTGAAATAATATCCCCAGTTTCCCTGATCCTATTGTTGAGAAGTAGAAGAGTTGCCGTGTTTGGAGGTGCATTGAATCTTTCAGGCCTTTCGGTAGATTAGATTACCTCTTCTAAAGCACTTAATAGAATCCTGGTGGCCTGAAGGAGCTAACAGCTTCCAGAAATCATGGGTGTACTGCTTAAATCACAGCTTCTGGAAGTATCCACTGGGCATAGCGTTTGAGGTGGATACTTGCTCAGAATGTAATCTTTTAAGAAGGATTTCCCCAGACAACTGAATATTTTTAATATTATAAGCACCCTGATGTAATTGTCTCATTTATATAGGTATCTTCTAATAAAGAGAGCTGAGCTATGGATTATTCACAGGCTGAATTCAGAATTCATAGGGTTACTTGCCAGTCACTAACTAGATTTTACTGTTTTCATCTAAAATCTTTTTCTCCGTGACTTTGCCAGCAGTAAATTCCAAAAGTTTTACTTGTAGAGCATAAAATGTTCTTTCCTTTTATCCTTTTAAATGCACTCTCCAACTCTGAGTGACCCATTGTTTCTGTGTTAGGGGTCAGGTAAAACATGAAGGAGCTGATTGCTTTTCACTACAAAGCACCTTTTATAACTTTGAACCCGTCTAATTTATCTCCATTAGAGGCTAAATAAAGCCTCCCCTTTGTGAGCAAGCTCTTAATTATTGTAGATCTTGTTGCAACACGACTTTACACAGACCTTCATCTTCCTCCATGCCTAGATCTTGATCATCCTCTGCAATATGCTACTTTGGGCAAGTTATTAACTGTGTTTCTATTTGTCTTAGATCGAGAGCAGTAAAAAGGCAAGAAATCCAGGCTAGTGGTTTCTGGCTAACTCCTAGCAAAGAATGGCCCAACCAATGGAGCTCAAAGTAGCACAGCTGGGGGATGTACAGAGTAGTAAATCTCCAACATCACTGAGGACCCAAAGGGAAGGGCTAAATTAAAAATAACAATAATAATAATAATAATATTGTCAAAGCAGGAAGGGTCCATGCAAACCAGAGAATCTTCCAATGTTTGGTAAATACTGGGGGCAACTGATCTCCATTCAGCCCCAAGGTAAAAAGCAGAGCAGTTGTTCGCTCTATTCCATTCAGCATGTGTGTAGGACCTGTTCCATCACTGAATGAAGGAGACAGTCCAATTCACCATCACTGATCCCTTTATTAAACTGATGGCAAGACTTGGGAGCCAGTTGACCAATGGTGTGGCAATAAACAGTAGAAATATCTTGTCCCCAATGGTAATTGGAATGGGTTCTGAGTTCTGCATGTATTTTTAATAAGTGAATGATTCCTCATTTCCTTGATTTCTACTGTGGTGTGTCCCTTAAAAAATAAATGTTGAAAAAATATTTCATGGCTCTGTCAACATTTTTAATCACAGTTACAATTTGAACTCATTTTACACTTTCTGGGTTGGCTGTAAAACTGGCTTCATATTGTTTCTTATGCTCACCACAGTAATCTTTTATTATGTATCACAGGCTTTGACCCACCACCCTCTACACAAGTTGGGTCCATTTCTCTTTCCCAGGTCAGCCCAGGTAGCACTGGCTGCTATCTCTGTCAATAGAAAGGATGATGAAAACTGGGAGGCCAGGTCTCATGTATAGCTGCCTCTCCCTTAAGCCAGACTACATATGACATTAAAATTGTGATTCTCATGGCATGGGTCTTTATGTAGGTTTCAAGGAGGTTGGAGGAGGGACCAGAAATTTGTATTTCTAACAAGCATTCCAAGTAAGGCTGATGTAATCTAGATATTCTATATAGTCTAATGTTCTAGAATCACTATTATGTTAGATATGTATCAGAAATGTGATATGGACAACTGATCTACATTTACCCCAGGGTAACAAGCAGAGCAGGTATAAATTATTACATAAAAGATGGCCTACTGAAACACTGATGGATAGCACAGCCCCAAAATAAAATAACTTGGATCAGTCTAAAATTACTCAATTTTCTCTATTTTCAGTATATTCAGAAAGTAGGAGAAACTATTTTATTCATATGATTATATTTAAGCCTAATATTTTCTAACTTAGCACTGTTCTGAGTGGGGTGAAGAATATCATAAGGTGGATGTGATCTTATCCCTGCCTGGGGGTGTTCAGGGATAGCAGAAGTCCCAATGCCTAGCAAGGGGGACTGTGAAAGGGATAAGTAATGGCACTGTGGCATTACTGGAGATAGTGGCTCCAATGCCTGGGTCAAGGGATTGGAGTCTACAATAGGTTGCAGAAATTGAAGCTTGTTCATCACAAAAGCAATATTATGTCTATTTAAGATAATGGTTCTCAGTCCTGACTGGATATCAAAATCACCCAGATACATTATTTAGACCCATATAGGGCTTGCTAATCCAAATATTTCACAGTGGGGTCTAGGCATCTTTCTTTTTATGTTAAGGCTGCCCAAGTGATTTTTATGCAAATCCAAAGACCTAACCAATTAAATAACTAAATTGATTAGTAATGTTGATCTGGACCAGAGAAAGGGGATGTAGGAATCAAAATCAAGACAACCAACTAGGTCCATACTAAAATAATCCTGAAGTTCTATGAAAATCCTGTGCTTTGATTTGTTAATGAGTCATGAGCTAGATCAAGAATTTAAATTAAAACTCAGCTTCCTGGCTGGCTCCCATGATAGACTGTGGTGCTTTTATATAGTTAAACACATCTAATAGTTTATCTCTTTTTCAAAGACATCTTGTCAATAAAATCACTCCTCTATTGAAACAGAGTATCTTTTAAACTGTTTCCATTGTCTGTGTTTGATGAAATTCTATAGTATTTGAAAAGCAGGTGCCTTTATTTTTTTCAAGTCAACACTGCCTGCAAAACAGGGAATCTAATAAAAACTTGATTTGAAGAACAAATGGTGGAGCCACTCACAGCCTGCAGCTAAAAAAGCAGATCATTCCTTTCCCAGATGAGGGAGACTTGTTTGGCTTCCATCCAGTTTCTCCCTCTGAGATTCTGATTTCTCCAAGGCTCTTTGCAGTTGCACACACTCTTCCTTCAATCTAGCTACCTCCTTTCCCATCCAGGCAGATTTAACAAGAGGCTTGATCTTGAAGAAGAGCCTCATCCAGGGCCAGTTCTTCACAGTCATGAAAGTTCTCAAGTTCCATTGGATCAGAAGAAGTGCATCCCTAAATCAAGGAGAAAAAGCTAACCCAGACCATAAGAGAGTCATTTTCTAAATTAAAATTCTTAATAGGCACATCTTTTTATGTGTCATTATAAATTCTCATTTGTCTTCAAAGCACTTCTACATCTGTGCTCTCTTGTTTGATTCACACTAAGCCCTCTGCAGGACTTCTGGCTTTGGCAATATTGTAGGCTAGATAGCCTGGAAATGCTTCCACCACAGACAGCCTTTAAATGAGAGCTAAGCCTGAAAAGAGTGAGAAATAAAGAGGGAGCTAAACACCTGAGCAATAAGTGAGTGCATGTAGAGTATGGCCATCCTCCTGGAAGAAGGGAGCCAGTCTTAGTATTATAGGGGCTTATAGTTCCATATCCACATGGATAAAGAGACAGGCTAAGACCTTCAATGAATACCAACTTTAATGAAAATAAAGACTGAAACTTTCACCACTGGTTCAGAGAAATGTCAAAGAGAGGTCCATCTGATTTGGACTAAGCTCTGGGTGAAGAAAAAAATCCCCACTCTAAGATTTTTTTTTTTTTTTATCATGAACCAGCCCCACTGGGATGTTTGAAGTTTAAATTAGACTACATGACTGATATAGAAATATGCAAGAAATCAGCATGATCATTTCTTTACATTAGTAGTAAATATCCATTGGGTTCTTGGAGGAGGAAAACACAAATCTTCACTGAAGAAAACACCTTACTATCAAGTGTCAGAGGTTCTCTAGCCCCCTGAAGGTGAGCTTAAAATTAAAAATTACAAAACACTTATTTAAAAAAAATCAGCCATCAGTAAGGGAAAGCACCTACAATAAAAGTTTGATTAAACTCTTTAAAAATTCAGATAATTGAACAATATTGTGGATACTACAAAATAGATGTTATAATTATTAAAGACATAAAGAAAAGAATTGAAAAACAAGAAAGAAATGAGCCACTATCATAAAAGAGCAGATATATTTGAAAGAAAACCAAATAAAATTTCTAAAACCAAAAAATTCAATCATTGAAATAAAAAACTCATGGAAGAATTAAGATGGAAGAATTAAGCAGCTGTTGAGACCACTTGGAGCAATAAAGGGGGAATTAAGAAAAAAATAAACCTAGTGACACAATTTACCATAGCTAAGATTTGGAAACAACCTAAGTGCCCATCAGCAGATGAGCGGATTAAAAAACTGTGGTACATCTATACAATGGAATACTATGCTGTGGTAAAAAAGAAAGAATTCTTACAATTTGAAACAGCATGTATGGAACTAGAGAGCATTATGCTAAGCAAAGTAAGCCATTCAGAGTAAGATAAATATCACATGATCTCACTCATTTATGGAATATAATGAACAACAAAAACTGATGAGCAAAAACAGATCCAAAGACAGAGAAGCATCTATCAGATCAACAAACCTCAGAGGGAAGGAAGGAGAGCATGGGAGAAGGGGAGAGATCAACTAAAAGTCTTATATGCATGCATATAAGCCTAACCAATGGACACAGTCAACAGCTGGGTGAGAGCATAAGTGGGGGGTGGAGCTCAATGAGGTGATAAGTATATATGTAATATCTTAATAAAAGAAAAAGGAAAAAATGAAAAAATAAATAAATAAATAAACCAAGGAAAGTGGAAGGAAAGGATAAAAATGAGATCAGAAACTAATAAACTAAAAAAATAAAGAAAATTAAAAAGGTATTTTATTGAATAGGCTAAATAAACATCTGATATGAATGATCAAGAAAAAGAAAAGGCACAAATAAACAATACTAAGGAGGGTGATACTCTAGAACTGTGATAATCTAGGGTTGTGCTCTAGAAACAATCTAAATATGGTAGAATTTTTTATTAAATCTAGCAATTTGGAAAATGGAAAAGAAATGCAAATTTTCTTTTTATAAAGAAAAGAAATATCTAAACTGATTCAAAAAGAAAGAAATCTCAATAGGCCTATAACTATTAAATAAATTAAGTCAAAGTTGTAAAATATATCACACAAAAATAGGTGGTTCCATAGACAAATTTTACCAAACATTCAAGGAATAAATAATCACAATAAATTGTTCATTATTTGAAAAGATGAAACATTTCTCAACTCTTTTATTAGGTCAAGGTAATTCTGGCCAGAGTCAGATAATACAGCAGGGGGGAAAAAATTACTATAGGAGAAACTTATTTAGGAACATAAATACAAAAATCCTCATGATAATGCTATTAGCATATGAAAAATACAGTATTTCATAAACAAAGTAGGTTTATATTTTTAAATATACAATATATTAATACTAGAGGCCCAGTGCATGAAATTCATGTATGGAGGTGGTGTCCCTCAGCCCAGCCTGCACCCTCTCCAATCTGGGACCCCTTGAGGAATGTCTTACTGTTCCTTTAGGCCCGATCCCAACTAACTGGGCATTCAGACATCCCTTTCATAATCCAGGACTGCTGGCTCCCAACTGCTTGCCTGCCTGCCTTCCTGATGGCCTGGTCACCCCTAACTGCCCTCCCCTGCTGGCCTGATTGCCCACAACTGCCCTCCCTTGCAGGCATGGTACCTCCCAACTGCCCTCCCCTGCTGGCCATCTTGTGGTGGCCATCTTGTGTCCACATGGGGGCAGCCATCTTTGACCACATGGGGCAGCCATCTTGTGTGTTGGAGTGATGGTCAATTTGCATATTACTTTTTATTAGATAGGATAATTCAATACATTTATAAATTAATGAAAATGTGATAATTTCAACAGTCACAGAAAAATAATTTAACATTTTTCTAGTAAAAGTGCTTGGAAAGGATATTGTCCACAAAATAAGATGGAAGGGATTTTGTCCACAAAATATGTCATATCTAAAAAAACAACCAAAAACTAAAGAAAAAACTATAGAAAACATCATTTAGGAAAATAGTAGCTTTCCCCAAAATCAGAAATATGACAAAGTTTGGCAAAAGTTTTTGAAGTCTGAAATACCACAAGTTAGTGATAATATAAAATAATGAGACTTTCATACTCCTCTGGTAAAGAGTAAATTGGAAAGCATTTTGGCAATATCTCATAAAGTTAAATTGTGTATAGCCCAAAACCCAATAATTAGTACCCTGGAGAAATGTCATTCAAAGTGTGTGCCTCGGCCAGCTGCCATCCACAAACTATCAGCATGACCGGCATTTTGAGTAAAGTATCCTCAAGAAACTACTGCATATGTTCAGGGCAGGGGATATTTACAAAAATGTCATTGCAGAACTGTTTGTAATTATGAAAAATCATAAATGACCCAAATTTACTTGAACTAGAAAATGGATAAATTATGGTTTATTTAGGTAATAGAATAGAATACAGTAGTTAAAAATCAATACTCTAGCACTATGTTTATCAACATTAATAAAATTGAAACTAGTATTGAATTAAAAACACAAATTTAGGATAATATATACAAAATGTTATTTATGTGAAAACTAAAAACATTTTTAAAAATCACATCAACTTTTAAAGATATCTGCATATCTACAAATGTTCATATCTTTACAGAACTTGGATTGAGAGAAAAATGCAAAGGGCTTTACCTTTATTAATTTAATCTTTAAAGTTGTGAGCAATTACAGAAAAAAGTTAACAATTGATATACTTCGGTGATAGTCCCATGAGTGCATATTACAATAACTTCAGTGTGTTTAAAATATTTAATAATAATCTTTTAAAAGTAATCCTATGGCCTCGGCCAGTTTCACTAGGTGGTTAGAGTGTCATCCCACATAACAAAGGGTCTCAGGTTCAATTCCTGGTCAAGGGCAAATATCTGGGTTGCAGGTTCAACCACTGGTCTTGGCATGTGGGAGACAACCAATCAATGTTTCTCTGTCACATTAATATTTTTCTCCCCCCTCACCCTTCCTTCTTGCCACTCTGTCTGCATATCAATAGAAAAAAAATTATCTTCAGGTGAGGATTTAAAAAAAAGTCATCCAATGATTTAGAAAGAATGGATATTATTTTAGTGATGAACAAAGTGAATCCCTAAATTTCCATACCACACTGAGACTATATGAGGGTCACGGAAAACTCTTAGAAGACATATGTCTAATATCTCTGACATCATGTAATAATCTTTTTCTTCTTTGGGTTAACAGAAAGAATTAACAGATTGTTATTAAGCAAGTTATACAAGACCTATGGACCTCTCTCCAGATGGCAAACTATGCTACAGAAAAAGTAAATGCAACAACAGCAGACTCCCTTGCTCACAGTCCCTTTATTTAGAGGTTTTGCTAGATTGCGTTCCATGAGTGCATAGACAAAACCTACCTCTAAGTGTCCAAATGTGGTGATAAATGTCCCTAGTGAACCTGGCTGAACTAAAGAGAGTTATGATTACATGTCACTAAGAGGCACAGTCTCCCATGGGGAGATGGTAAAGTGGTCAGAACACCTCCTCACTTGACAGAAAACTTCCCCACGGAGATGGCTGTTCACAAAAACCCTTCCAGGTCTGCTTCTGATAAGAATTGAGTCATACCACCCTCAGAGATCCATACTTCTCTGACTATAAGGATCCCCTCCTAAGGAAGGCTACAAGCATTGCAAGAAATTCCCGAGTTAAGCAATATATATGCTTATATGTTGGATAAGGCTAATAAAATACCTTTGTGTTCTGTCTGTTTGGTGTTCCAGAATTTAAAAACTTTAAAGTTAAGTCTGAACCTAAGCAGAGGAGGCAGCTCCTCACCTTGACCTATTATAAGGCAACCAGAGGCCCAAATGCACAAAATTCTTGCAAGAGTAGGCCTTCCTTTCCATGCTGCTGGCACCGGCTTCCCTCTGGCACGCAGGACCATGCTTCCCTTGCAGCCCTGGCTTAATCCAGGAGGTTATCTGAAAGGACATCCAGAGGATGTCTGGTCTAATGAGCATACTATGTTCTTATTATTATAGATGAGATAAGATCACATTGATTGAGGCACACCATTACCCAAGCAGTGTGGATACAGGGAGGGTATCAGACCTCTCTTCCAGAGTCCTCTGGAATTCAATTTGCATCAGTGTGCCCCATACTGTGGCTTGGAACAATGTGAAGACTTTAGATAATCTTTCATCTTTCATTGCTTCCAGTTGGCCCAAAAAAGCCAGCTTTTAAAAACACCTAAAAGAAATAAGTTAGATATTAGTACCATAGTGGGTATTCAGGAATGTCTTTTGAATTAGCCTATGAGCAGTTGATGTATTCATTTATCAGTTCTATTTATTGTTAAATTTTATTTCATCTCTAAAATATATGTTTGGTTTAATAAATATTAAGTTTACAAAAATATTTTATTTAATTCCATGGTTATATTGGTCCCTTAAAAACATAGATCATTCTCCCCCTTATCTGTTAATAATGTCTATGTTATCCAGGGAACTTGGCTTTTGTTTTCAGACAGGCCCAAGCAGGCAGTTATCTAAAGTGCCAGGCAGGATTCTGTAGCTTATTTTGAAGATAGCAATCCAGTAAATATTTTTAGGCTTTGTGGTCCACATATAGTCTCTGTAGAATTTTCCTCTTTTTTTATAAAACCTTTTAAAAATATAAAACCTTTTTTATTAAGTGGGTCATATAAAAAAAATAATAGGCCATAGAGATGGCCCTTAGTCCATAATTTGCTGACCCCTGCTCTAGAGAAAGGCACTTCTGTCCTAGGCATTAAATAATTCACACAAAAAATTTTTTTAGAATCATTAGTAAAGGCCAAGATGAGGTGAATGAAGTACCTAAGGCACAAATTTTAAGAATGCTGTCACTTTCAGAGTTGTGCAAGTCAGCAGTTGCATAACCCTAAGAGTAAACTCTTCCTTAAATTTTGTGCCTAAGGAGACTCACTTACTTCATGCTAGATGAGTAGTATACAGCAAAAATAACTAAACACACAAGGAAACAAAAATCAACAGAAACAACAAACAGCAAAACCAGATGCTCAGATACTAAAAATGTGGGAATCAAGTAACATTTTATGATTATGTCCTATAGAGTTCTTTTCCTATGAGCTCTTCAGCCTAGACCCTCCAATTCTCCTTCAAACTACATGGTACTTATCCTATCTAATAAAGATGGAATTTGCTAATTGACCCTCACAACATCCCAAAAATAGCGGTGCTCATAACCAATAGGGGGGAATATGCTATTTGATTGTCACACCCTCAAAGATGGCAGTGCCCATAGCCAATAAGGAGGAAATGTATTAATTGACTGCCATGCCCTCAAAGATGGTGGCACCCCATCCCCTAAACCCTTCTAGGGTGGCTGCTTGCACACCTGCCTCTGCAGTCCCCCAGTCACCTCAGCCCCACAGCCACCCAGGGCCAACCTGAGGCACAGGCAAGCCTCAAATGGTGGCTGCCCAGCTGATACCTGAGGCTCATTCAAGCCTCAGATGGTGACTTCCAAGTCACCAAGGGTCGCCTGAGGCTCAGGTAACCAGGGCTGGCCAATGCTTGCACTGCCAGCAGTGGCAGCAGCAGAGGGTAATGGGGGTGTCACCTTAGCCTGATCGCTGGGTCACCACCCCAGACTGTGAGAAGGGGCAGGCTAGGCTGAGGGACCTCCCCTCCAGTGCATGAATTTTTATGCACTGGGCCTCTAGTATAGATATAATTAGGAACAACATGTTGTCGACTATCAGATAAAATCAAATCTATTAGTTAGCGGTTTCTCAAAATATGTGAGTCCTACCAAGATCATCTAAGATAAAGCAGAATTTAGTGAATCACATTTAAGAAAGTTAACTTTGGATTCATTTTTATGGATAGCAGGGTTGACCTAAAGTTTTTAATTACTCAGACAGTCCTCTAGAATTAATTTCCTAAAATAGTACTTATGAATTAATCTGTTTACACACAAACAGTTAACCACAGCAAGTCGATTCATCTTTTTCTAGCGCTGAAATGTATACATATTTTTTAGCAGACTAAGGTTTATTCAGCATTTTATATCTTGACAGAGACTTGCTTAGATGAATAATTATAAAAGTGAATGTAGTCAAGGCTGAGGTTTAAGGAGCATTACATTTATCTCTCAAATAGAAAGGAAGTTTCCACTTTCACCTGTGCTCTATTTGTATTTGTGGTCACAAGAGCTAAAGAGTTCCTGATGCTTGATGACCTATAGTTTGCTCTTTTAGAATTTGGGAAATAGAAAGCCACACACCTGCTGGCTTCTTTCCTTTCCCATATTTGCTAGTGAATCAACAGCTGCATGGATGGCAGCTAGGATTGAGTACATACAACATTTCAGAGATTCAATTCAGCCTCCATATCTTTTTTCTGTATATATTTCTTCTATATGTGGGTCTATTATCCGTTAATAGAGATATAAGGACATTAAAGCTGCATAGATGTTGGATTTAAGGGAAAATAATAATGGAACTCTGTCATCATATATCTCACCACCAGCAAAACACATTGATCTGTAGTCTGGAGGACATCAACCAAACAAACAATGCATGCCTAAACACCCCAAAAGAAAGATAAACAGAATAGATTGCCTTGGGCTTCTTAGATCCTGGGACATAGTTTACCTTTGTTTAAAATCAGCAGTCAGTTTGGGAAACCTTCTCGGCATATCTTAATCCCTTCGGAGAAACCATTACAGTGCCGCTGCTGTAGATCTAAGTGAGGGTTCACTATACCTGAAGAAAGAAGTCCAGTTGAATCTGTGTTTAAAAAAAATTACCACCCTATATTTTGTCCTAATTGCTTCAGCTCGGGTTCAAAGAGTTTGAATTTGCTATTTCCTGTATGATCCTATATAATAAAGAGCTAATATGCTAATTAGACTGAACAGCAGAATGACCACTGAGATTATCGTCCGGACTACCATCCGGATTACCTTCTGGACACAGCCAGGGATAGGAGGCTGGCCAAAACTGTGAGGGGCTATGAGGACTGGCCAGGGCTACGAGGGACGTTGAGGAGTTGTAAGGGACTGCAAGGGCCAGCTGGGGCTGCAAGGGCTACCCAAGGCTGCTGGGGCTGTTAGGATTGAGCCCCTCACATGAATTTCTTGCACCAAGCCTCTAGTAGGTAATAATTAGTTCACCGACTCCCAACCTGATAACACTCACAGTGCTCATATTTTTATGTGGGAGTCCCCAAAGAGAATTTATCTGAAAATCCTTTAACTTGGAATGAACCCTATAGTCTGCAGTCCATCAAGACTTAATAAGCAAATACTTCTGGTAGGTGGAAAAGAATACATTTTTACTAGAATGTAAGTGTCTGGTATCACATCTATTCAAAAAAAACACCCCAGCCCCCCAACAAAATAAAACAGCTAGAGAGAAAAATAAGAATTCAAAAGGGAACTGATATCTCCAAGTAGAACAAACTGATTACAAAAAGGGATGATAAGAAGAAAGGAAAATGGCACAACAAAATTGTGTTTGCTGTTTTGCCTTACAAAAGATGTGGCCACATTCCAGCTTACATTTCACATCTAAGTTTATTCTGTATTGTAAATATCCTCCTATCACCTTTTCTTTCATCAAAAGAAGCACCACTAGAGCTGCAATCTCAGGTAGAAGCCTTTGAAAAGCCATCTAAGGAGCCACTGAATCTGGCTCTCAGCAAAGTCTTCTGGAAGAAGCTTAGCAGCACTCCTTCTAACTCATACTAAAGTTTTATTTTAAAAAATGGGAATGAGACAACTGTGTGCAGGGTCACAGAAATCTATATATATAAAAACCTAATATGCAAATTGTACCCACAGGAATTCAACCTGGAGACAATCACTCGCTATGACATGTACTGACCATTAGGGGGCTGTGTGGAATGAAAGAAGGCCCCAGCCAGAAGTCAGTAGCTGGAGAAGAGAGGCCCCAGCCAGCAGTTGGAAGGCCCTAATCAGTCCTGATCACTGGCCAGGCCTAGGGATCCTACTCATGCACAAATTTTGTGCACCAGCCCTCTAGAAAATAAATAAAAGCCATATATCCACATTCCCGTACTCCCATCCCATTCAGATGATATGCAAAAAGTAGCAAAGGTCGGATCCTATGACACCTTACCGTGATGCACACTCATTTCCTTTAAGTACACATGAAGAGCTGTTTTTATTAGAACATGAAGCTTTTTTTTATTACTTTGTCTTATGAGTTAAAGAAAAAAAAAATTCCTGCTGAATCAGAGCTAACTCCATGGGAGGCAACTCTAATAGGTAACAGAATGGCTCCAAAATAGAGGTAGCTAATTAGATTCCTTGCTAGATGGAAGCAATGTCCCTAAATGCATTCAGAAACCCAGCCGATACAAAACAATGAGGCAAAAACATACAGCGTGAATGAACATGAAGTGTTTGCATTGCAAGAACTCAAACTGCAGCATCATTGTTTAGCATCACACTTTCCAAAAATAGGTCACAGACTGTCAAGATTGGGATCTTAATTACAGGAAGTTAATAAAAATGCAAAATACTACAGAACCTTAGAAATCGGAATCAGTAACATCTGGCTACATATTCCAATGGTGATTAGTGCTCTAAAGACATAAGTGCGTGACAAATATACAACTTTGAGGCTGACAGCCTCCGGCCAAGCTTTATAGAAGTCTGTAATTCTAAAGAGAAAGCTGAGAATCTTTAAACCCATGACATAAGGAAATAAAGCCATGTAGTTAACAGTAAGAATTTTTATTATTATTTTTTTTTTTAGCAATCCTACCTAATAAAAGAGAAACATGCAAATTGACCACACCTTTGCTCCCAAGCCATGCCCACCTGTCAATCAGGGTGAGTATGCAAATTAACCCAACCACGATGGTGGTTAATTTGCATATCCAGGCCAGAGCAAAGACTGAAGACAGAGTAGAAAGAAGCCAAGTGCTGCAGAAAGGAATGAAACTGGCAGGGCAGCGACCTCAGCAGGAATCTTCCTACAACGGGCCACTAGTCTATATAATAAAAGCCTAAGTAACTGTTACTGTGGAATGACCAGAATGACCAGTCATATGATGCATGCTGAGCCAGGAGGTGATGCTCAATGCAGGAGCTACCCCATAGTGGTCAGTGTGCTCCCACAGGGGAGTGCCACTCAGCCAGAAGCCAAGCTCACAGCTGGTGAGCACAGAGGCAGTGGCAGGAGCCTCCCCTGCCTCCACAGAAGCACTAAGGAGTAGCAAGCCAAACAGTAAAGAGCAGCGAGCAGGCGGGCTGTAAGGAGTGAGGGGTCCCAGACTGCAAAAGGGTGCAGGTCGGGCTGAGAGACCCCCCCCCCTCTCAGTGCATGAATTTTATGCACCAAGCCTCTAGTTAAAAACTTGAAAAACCTGATTGATCACCCACCTTATCCCATCATCCTTCTACCACCACCTACTCATCACAAAGTATCCACTACAATTATCCAATACATGTAAACAACCTAAGTATCCATCTACAGATGACTTGATAAAAAAGTTTCAGTATATATTCAGTGGAATATTAAATAACAATAAAAAAGGAGGAAATCCTGCCATATGAGAAAACATGCTTGAGCCTTGAAGGCATTATGCTAGGTGAAATCTTTCAGACAGAGAAAGACAAATATATATGCCCTCACTTATATGTAGAATCTTAAAAAAAGAAAATGAAAACAGCAAACTCATAGAAAAAGAAATCAGATTTGTAGTTAACTGGAGTAGATGGGAAATGAGAAACTGGATGAAGGTCGTCAAATAGTGCAAACTTCTAGTTATAAAATAAATAATACTAGGGATGCAAGTACTGCATGATGACTAGAGTAAACACTGCTATCAGTACATATGAGTTAAGATAGTAATTCCTACGAGTTCACATCTCAAGGAAAAGAAATTTTATTGTCATTTTTTGTATGTATAAAATAATGGATGTTAACTGAGCTGGTGGTAATCATTTCATATAATTACCATAAGTCAAATAATTGTTCTGTACTCCTTAAGATTATACAGTGCTTTATATCAAGAAGATCTCAATATAACTTGGAAAGAAAAGAAACAAAAAAAGAGTATTCACTGCCCAGAAATTTATAACTGAAGAGATAGACACTATTAGGGAGAGGGAAGATATTAGTCTTGGGAAGAATGACTGGATGGAAGTTTTAAACAATTAGAAATGGATTTAGGAAATGTCTTTATGGTCAACTTAGTTAATTCAGACCAAACAATTTCCTTTATGCTTATATATCTGTCTAAATCCCCCAATTGATTATTCAATCTCTCTTTATTATACTTTGCCCTTGTAGACAATGACATAGAAGCTCATCCACATTTTAGCATGAAATTTAAGATGGAATTTAAATGGTAGCGTTAAGCATTCCAATGTTACACAATTGAGCCTGCTTTGTGAAATCCTTCTGTATGTCCACTTGAATCTCAATTCAAAGGCAATCTTGTGGAGGTTTTAAAGATCTCACTTTTTAAAAGTATTTCTTATTGATTTTATTTTTAAGAAAAAGAAGAAGGGAGAAGGATGGAGAGATAGAAACATTGATGGGAGAGAAACATCATCCATTGGCTGTCTCCTGTGCACTTCCTACTGGAGATTAAGCCTGTAATATGGCCATGTGCCCTGACCAGGAGCTGAGGAGGTAACCTCTTGGTTCATGGATTAATGCTCAACCACTAAGCCACACTAGCTGGACTAAAGATCTCTTTTAATTGCTTTCATTTTTATTCCCTTTATTATGTAAAGAGAACTGGTAAATGTTTCTTAAAGAGACATTCAATATGACTTAAGTAAAGTGTATGCCCAAGTGTAGATTACAAAGAAGTCCAGTTCTTACCTGGCATTTTGTTTATATTGGGCTTTATACACCTCACAAAATGAGGTGCTGTTGATTTTAGGTTAGTCATCAATTTACTAGGTGTACAAGTTAATAATGGTGTATTTTGTAATCAAAGAAAACATGATAATTTAAGACAAATATCAAAAGTGCTTTATTCAAAGTAATGTCCATAGCTAGCTATAAATTTCCCCCATCTTTCAGGTAATTTATGGATACCATCCCAATAGAACTTTTCTTGTTTTGAGACAAACCATTCAGAGACCCAATTTTCCACTTCTTCATACGTTTTCAGTGCTGTTCAAAAAGTGTGTGTGCCATCATTCTGAACAATGGTAATTTGAAGGAGCAAGGTCTGGTGAATACAGAGGGTGGGTTAATACTTTCCATTCAAGATCTATTAATGTGTCTTTAACTGGTTTTGAAGTGTGTGATGGTGCATGATCATGAAGCAAAATTACTTTGCCATGTCTTATGGCACATTCTGGTCATTTCACGATCAAAGCATGGTTCAAATTGATTATTTGTTGTCGGTGGCCATCAGTATTAATGGTTTTACCTGGTTTTAGAAGTTAATAATACACCACACCTTCCTGATCCCACCAAACGCAGATAATTGTCTTCTTACCATAGTGATTTGGCCTTTCAGTGGATATTGATGATTGACCTAGATCAACCCATGATTTTGTGTGTTTGGGATTCTCAAATCTACTTTTCATCACCAGTCACAATTTGATGCAAAAAAAATTCTTTCTTGCTGTTGAAACATCATTTTACTGATGACTTTTGGTTTTCCATTTGCCTTTTGTTTAGTTAATGTGGCACCTATTTTCCTTCCTTTAAAATTTTTCCCATTGCTTGTAAATGATCAGAAATTGCTGAGCAACGTTTAATCTTTCTGCAAGTTACTTTTTAGTTGACATGCATCTTCATCCAATAATGCTTGTACTTGTTGGTCTTCAAACTTTTTTGTTTGGCCTGGACGTTGTCTTTCACAATGAAATCATCACTTTTAAAGTATTTAAACCAGTGTTCACAAGTATCTTGAGATAGAGCATGTTCACCATAAGCTTCCCGAAGTATACGATAACTTTTTCTTCAAAATAAAGTAATGAATTAAAATTTTCCACAAATGCTCTTTTTTTGGCATGAAATTTGACATTTTCAACTTTCAACTTTTCCAAGTTGGCTGGCTTCAGATACTTTATTCTTATTTGAAGATGTAAAATTTCAAGTAAGTAATAATGTATGCAGATTGTGGGATAATTAATATATAAATAGATGCAATTAAAAATTACTTTATGCAGAGATGCAACCATTTGGAATGAAGCTCCCTTCTTGTGTTTATTTTCCTCAAACTGTAGAGAGAAAAAAAGACATTCAAAAAGCTCTTTTTGTCACATTACCAGGCCCTACTGATGAAAGCATATATTCATCTAAGTTCTAGAAGCACTATGACAATATCTACAAAAGCTTTTAAAATACTTATGTCTTAACACAAAAAGTATATTTCTAGTGCTTTCCTTGAGGAAATAATTAACCAACTGTATAAAGATACTCATTGCAGCACTATTTAGTCATACAAAAAAATTAAGCAAAAAAAAATGATCAAATGTTCATCCATAGTAAGTTGGTTTCATTAAATTATGAAAGAACGGGTATACAGTAAAATGCTTCAACTTTTTTAAATGATAGTGTGGATCCATATAACTGACATGGAAATATTTCTAGAATTTAAGAGAAAGAGTGGGTCACAAAATGTTATGATCCTGTATGTATATACATGGTTTTGTGTATATATGCCATTTTAAAATAATGTTTTAATTGATTTCAAAGAGAGGAAGGGAAAGGAAGAGAGAGAAAAAAACATCTCTGAAAGAGAAACATAGATGGGTTGCCTCCTGCACACCTTCTCTGGGGATGAAGCCTACAACCTGGTCATGTGCCCTGACAGGGAATCAAGCCAGTGACCACCTGGTGCCTGGGATGCTGCTCAACCAACTGAGCCACATTGTCCAAGTTGTACATGTTTTTAAGTGCAGTTGTATTATGGGTGGGTATACACATAAAAAATGTTGGGGGAGTATACATCAAAATGTTAGCAGTTGTTATCTCCTATGTAAAATTATACGTAATCTTGATGTTCCTCTTTTTAGCTTTTCTATATTTTCTGTGGTTTTGGCAACACTCATACATTACTTTTATAATTTATAAAAAAATATCTACTTCCACTTTCTTGAAGCAAAAACAAATTTATGCTAAGCCAATTTGTTTTACAAACATCTGTGTAGTGCTAACTCACTAAGATGTAAAACAACAACAAAATCCATGGGCAATCTAGAAAAAAATGGGCCAGCCATCAATCTGAAAAACTAATAAAATATTATTTCTGCCTGAGTAGTACTGTGCTGGGACAGATGTCATAAAGTTTAATTATGAATGTCCTACTGACATTCCCTAGGTCCTCAAAGGGAACCACTTGAGTTGTCTGTACTTCAGTTTCTCCATACATGAAAAGGAAATATACTACCTTCCATTAATTTTTTTATTATAACTGGTTTAAAATAAAATAAAATGTGGTTTATTATAGGTAAATTGATGTTTGGCTGAGTCGGAAACTTGGAGGCAAGTATTTGCAGGGTGTGCTTAAATAATTATGGAAAAAGACATTCTGGCCAATTCTCTTCTATTTACAAAGAACACAGCACATATCCTGAAGAATTAAAAGATGACTTCCTCTCTAATTCTCTGCCCAAACCTCTCTCTGATTTCTCCTGATCAGAGAATTACTCATCTGGAAGCCATAAGCAATGTGACCACTGTCTAACAGACCTCTCAGAGCCACTTTTGAACCTATTAGAATTAGGCAGATGCATTGCCTGAAGATGATCAAGGTCCAACACAGTAGTCTCCATCTGTCAACTTCCTCTTGAGACAGGCCAACAGGATTTCAGGCATGCTTCTGAATTATGTCATCATGTGCTGGTAAAGCCAGAAAGAAAGAGCTAAATTATTTCTCCATCCATCGGCTGCCTCCTACATGCCCTCTATTGGGGATCAAACCCAGTCAGGTGTTCCTAATTATCCCAGAGGGGCCTGGAGTTCACTTGAAGCGGGGTGTAAGATAATAAGAGAAAGGGAATGTTAGGAGGTAAGAGTACTCACCCCATTTAAAGAATAGTTAGCATTCTGCCCAATTGCCATGAAGATAGCTGAACCAGGCTGGTCAGATTTTCTATTTTCACATAAATCTGTCTCATTTTTTAAAAGAAATATGGTAACTAAATATGTATATGAAATCTTCTGATTATTCTTTAACCTGTCTGGGCCAAACACAACCATGCTTGAAGGCCAGGTTTTTCTCAAGGGCTGCCAATCTGTGACTTTGCTATGAACTGTGAGAGTGTCCTTCTGTAGCTAGCCTAGCTTTAGTTTTGGTTGTGAGGCTTATGTTAGGAACTTCAGCTCAGTATCTTCAAATCCTTTGTGTCATGGTGCAGAAGTCTGAATTGTAGCCTGTCCATCTCTCCATTTTGTTTCTAAGAAATCCTGCTTCCTACCTTGGCTTTGCCATTTAATAGATTTCTGAAACTGGGGGTGTGACTTACTCTTCCACACTTGCTCTTGTAAGAAAGGGAGAGATTTTCCTCTCTATATATCTGAAAGGGTCATGACAAGGCTTGAGTAAGATGATGTATCTGAAAGTTCTTTGTAAATTACAAACTACTAAACAAGATTACTTGTTAGTTGATCAATAAATATTTATGGAGTACCTGCTAAACAGGCATTTGCTACATGCTTGTGGCTATGATTGAACAAATCAGGTATAATTCCTATCATCATGAAGCTTAGAATAACATCAAGTTATTATAATAGAAAAGCACTGTGAAGGAGAATTTCAAGATATTTGGGGAATATCTATTAAAGTGACATGTTATTTCCCCAAAATTCTTTTTCAAAACATGGTTTTCTGCTGTCTCTTTGCATCCTGGTTGAGCAGAAGATAAAGGCAGACCAGAACAGGCTTCTTGAAATATATCTATCTTTGAGCACCATTTCCTTGAAGAACCATCAACATGAGGAGAGAAATGTTAATAAGAGAGGACAACTAGACCTTGGAGCAGACAAATATCACAAGAAAGAAGCAAGAGTTGTTGTAAGCATCAAAGCAACCATGAGAACCATGAGTTTCATTTTGAGGCTGAAAAATGAGGGAAGATTGTTTGACTTACCACTGTCAGTACTGAAGTAATTTTCAAAAAGATTTGCCAAGAGTTTGTTAGATGACTTCTGAAATATAGCCACCACCCTTTCATTAAGAATGTCTTTGTTTTTTTTAAGCCAGACACTGATGTTATAAGGCACCTTTGGAAAGACACACAGTTTGGGTAACAAAAGAGGAGAATATATAAATTAACATAGCAAATTATTCATTTCTTAAAAAAAAAAACACACTTTAAATTAGTTTGATGTAACAATACTGAATAATACTCCCAGAAGTCTTTGTGCCACCCAAAGAGATTCTCAGAATTTACCCTTTGCACTGAAGTAAAAAGGGAGAGAAAGGGAGGTAAGAAACAGAGAAAAGAAGAAGGGAGAAAAGAGAAGGAAGAAATAGATGGTATTTCAAATAGAAACAGTTCACATCAGCACTCCTTCATAGGCGAGAATAGATGAAACAATCCAAGTGTCTCTGACACACTGTGAGTATTCAAAAAACCATTGACAATTGTAATGGTATTTTGCTCTAAATATTATTATCTACACTAATAAAAGAGAAAGATGCAAATTGACTGTACCTTTGTGAAACCCAACAACCAATCAGGAGTGAGTATGCAAATTAACCAAATAAAGATGGCAGGTTAATTTACATGCAGGGGCACCATGCAGCCTGGGGCAGGGTGGAATGCTTGAATCATCATCATGGTGACTGACGACACAGGTGTTCTGCACTGTCTTAGCTGCTCCAGGCCTATGGGCAGCATGGGAAGGTGGAAAGGCAGCTCCAGCCTGAGTGAAGGCATTGCCAGCAACCAGGGTAAGGAAAGCCCATTCTTGCATGAATCTTCATACATCAGGCCTCTCATAATTAATATTTAAAGATATTAAGGAATGCCGAAACTGGTTTGGCTCAATGGCTAGAGCATCAGCCTGCAGACTGAAAGGCCCAGGGTTCGGTTCCAGTCAAGGGCAAGTACCTTGATTGCAGGCACATCCCCAGTAGGGAGTGTGTAAGAGGCAGCTGATTGATGATTCTCTCTCATCGATGTTTCTAACTCTCTATCCCTCTCTGTAAAAAATCAATAAAATATACATTTTTAAAAGAATATCAAGGAAGAAAATTACAAGCAAATCTATACAGTTGGTTGGTCATTTTTAGGTTGAAGTATTACTTTATTCTTTATCAGTTATTGTTCTGTTCTATCTATTGTAGAATCACTGACCAGAAACATAAAAGCAGAAAAAAGACGCATACACACACACACACACACACACACACCCTCGCACCAGAGGGGAAATGTGAAGAAGCAGTGAGATTCATTGGAAACCTTTGTTAGCCATAGGTTTGAGATCATTACTTTACAGTGACTATTTCTTTATATTGTTTCTTCCTTGGTGTGCTCTACTTCACCAAGTAGTATGAGAGATTTTTTTAATCTTCAATAAAAGATTAATTGAAATCACTCATTCATACACTCTTAAATTAAAAGTAAGGACAAATAAGGAGAAACCCATGACTTTGATAGTTTCCATGACTTTCTAAAGTATCTTACTTTGAGTTGGGGTGACAGAGTCTATTTTGAGATTTTTGACCTCTGTGCACATGGAAAACTATTATAGTATAGCTATTTCATTTCCTAAGTGCAAAAAGGCTGAACCAACTTTTTCTAGAAATGAGATTTATTTTGTTCATTTCTTCATTTAATCTAAACTTTAGTTATATATTACTTAAAGACTTTGGCTGAGTGCATTTGAAACAGTCAGGACTGAAGCTCTATAGGTGACTTACCACTTCCGCATAATGGACAAGTTCAAGGTAAGCTTCATATTTCTTCTTCTTATCAGGCTTGGGCTTCTGGAAATGAACTGACTTTCCAAAATTGTTGTCAAAAAGTTTGGTCTTGAAAGTTACATCTGTAACCTGAGAAAACATACATTCCTCTTCAAGGATAAAAAAGATTTCCATTGGCTGTTGGTGATTCATACAAACAGCAAATGAGAAACACTTGGAAATAGCATTTTCAGAAGGGGGTTAGTGTAAACTCTTTCTCAGGAACTTAATCAGTTGACAAAGGGAAGGGATATTCACTATCTATAACTAGCCATTATCCAGTCAACAAATAGTAATTAAATATCTACAAGGAGCCAGGCACCAGTAGGAGTAGCCATATGGCCATGAACCACATAGACAAAATGCCTTTCTTCAGAGTACTTACATTCTAGGGAAGAAAACAGACAAGTAAACAAAAAATAACTGACTTATTTTCATATAAATGCTCAGAAGAAATAATGCAAAATAAAGAGATAGAGCATGATTTCTTCTGAACACTTACATTTCTTCTGAGTGGGAACTATTTTAGTAAGATTGTGGGCAAGACCCTCTGAACTGAATGAGAAGAGCAATTCTGAGAAGATGTGTGTAAATTATTCTGCACAGAGAAATAAAGAGTACAAAGCTCTGAAGTAGTGGCGAATTTGAGGTCCTGCCAGAGTCAAGTGTGGACAGAGCAAAGCTAGTCAGATGGAGTACGCGGTTACAAGATAAAGTCAGAGAGGTAAGGAGTACTGGATCCCAAAGGTCTTATAGACCATGGTGAGACATTTGGAATTTATTTTAAGTGTAATAGGAAGCCTTTGGAAATTTTTAACATAAAATGATTTATGCTTGAAAAGGATCATAGGTTTAGAACAGGGGTTGGCAAAGTAGACCCTATGAGCCAAATCTTATCTATGGCCTGTATTAGAAAGCCAGTGAACTAATAATGGTTTTTATACTTTTTAAAAATATTTTTATGGATTTCAGAGAGCAAGGAAGAGAGAGAGAGAGAGAGAGAGAGAGAGAGAGAGAGAGAGAGAGAGAGAGAGAGAGAGAGATTAATGATGAGAGAGAATCACTGATTTCCTGCCTCCTGAACACACCCCACTGGAGATCTGAGCTCACAACCAAGGCATGTGCCATGACAGTAATCAAACCTGTACTCTTCAGTCTGCAGGCCAACACTCTATGCACTAAACCAAACTGGCCAGGGCCAGTTTTTACAATTTTACTTTTTATTGGTTTTATATTTTTAAAGGGGTATAAAAACAATAACAGGATATGTGATAGAAAAACTGATGACCCCAGGTGGCAGAATTTCTCTCTATATATCAATATATATATATAAAAACCTAGCTGAAACCAGTTTGGCTCAGTGGATAGAGTGTCGGCCTGCAGACTGAAAGGTCCCAGGTTTAATTCTGGTCAAGGGCATGTACCTTGGTTGCAGGCACATCCCCAGTAGCGGGTGTGCAGGAGGCAGCTGATTGATGTTTCTCTCTCATCGATGTTTCTAACTATTCCTTTCCTCTCTGTGAAAAATCAATAATATATATATATATATATATATATATATATATATATATATATATATATATATATTTTTTTTTTTTTAAATAAGTAAAAGTCTAAGCGACCGAATGACCTGAATGACCAGAAAACTGGTTGCTATGACACGCACTGACCACCAAGGGGCAGATGCTCCTGTTGCCCCATGGTGGTCAGTGTGCTCCCCCAGCAGGAGTGCCGCTCAACTGACCAACCCATCCCTGTGGCCCATCAGCCAGGCAGCAGCCACTCAATCCCTCAGTAGTCCTGCAGGTCCAATCTCTAACGGGCCAGGCACGAACTGACCAGCACTGCCAGCATGATCCTGACAGCGCTCACACCCTCCTGGAAGTGAGTCTCGGGCACCATGCTGCTTCCCTTCCCTAGACGCACCCCAAGGAAGAAACAATATAAAGCGGCTGCCAGGTCGCTCCTGACAACCGGTGTGAATGTCAGCGGGATGGATTCAGATCCTGGGGCAGCAAGGGTATCCCACCTCCCACCCAAAGGGTCCCCATTGCATCCCCCCACGCCCCTTGGAACCCTAGTAATAATAATATATATATATATATATATATTACCCGGATTCGTGCATTGGGCCTCTAGTAATATATTTATTTTACTAAAGTAGGGCCATTTACTCTCTTTTACACTTCTGCCACCAACTCAACCCTTTCAGCTCTGAAAGAGCAATTAACAATATGTAAATAAAATGAATGTGACAATGTTCCACTAAAACTATTTACAAAAACAGCAGAAACCAGTTTGGCTCAGTGGTAGAGCGTTGGTCTGCGTACTGAAGGGTCCCGGGTTCGATTCCGGTCAGGGGCATATATGTTGGTTGTGGGCACATCCCCAGTAGGGGGTGTGCAAGAGGCAGCTGATCGATGTTTCTCTCTCATCGACATTTCTAGCTCTCTGTCTCTCTCCCTTCCTCTCTGTAAAAATCAATAAAATATATATTTTTTTAAAAACTATTTACAAAAACAGGATACACACCGGAATTGGCCCACAGAGCTATAGTTTAGTGACCTCTGGTGTAGAGTAGTAATAGTATTAGAGGCTGTGAAAAGTCATTGAAATATGATAGAGTTTGAAATTAGACCTGGGTTACAACTTGCCAATGGGTAGAACATGGGATGTAATAGAAAGGAGGATTGCCCTAGCCAGCTTGCCTCAGTGGCTAGAGGGTCAGCCTGTGGACGCAAAGGTCTCTCATCATGTTTCTATCTTTCTCTAACTCTCCCTTCCTATATGAAATCAATAAAAACATATTTTGAAAAAGAAAGAAAAGAATATGGATTAAAAATATATATATAGTATAAACATATATATATATATATACACATACACACACACACACACACACACACACACACACACATATATATATATATATATATATATATATATATATATATATATATTAGGGGTGGGAATCAAGGACTCATATTTACATATTATTTTGTATATTTGTATATTCATTTACCTACTTCATGAATATTTTTGAAGGGTCTTCATGAACCAATTATTATATTGACAGTTTGGGTTTTAAAAAAATAATCAGCTCAGATGGTGTGGTTTAGTGGTTGAGTGTCAACTTATGAATTAGGAGGTCACAATTCCATTCCTGTCAGGATACATGCCTGGGTTTCAGGCTCAATCTCCAGTGAAGGTGTGCAGGAGGTATTTGATTAATGATTCTCTCTCATCATTGATGTTTCTATCTCTCTCCCCTTCTCCCTTCCTCTTTCTGAAATCAATTTAAAAAAAAAGAAATAATCATGCATGGGTTTTGGCCCCAGAGCACTTAGCCAAGAAAACAAGACATATACATATATGTAGATCACAAAGTAGACCAAACAGAGGTACAGGTAAACTGTCATGAGAATATGAGAATTTCAAATTAAACATGACCTTTTGACCTAACAATATAAATTTCATAATTCTCTATCAATCCTTTATACCTAAGAACCATAAACTCTTAGGTTTGAGAAGGACATTAAAGATCTAGTCCAACTCCCTAATAACTCTTTCAATACCCTTCACCATTTCCTTCTAAAAAGCAGATTAGCATAGGCTCAAATATTGCCATAGAGTGAAAATAAATCAAGTTGAGTCAGTGCTCTGGATGGGTGATATATTAGAAGAAAATTTGTCTGAAGTTCAGAATACTTTGTTTTAAATAATTCTGCTAGAGCCAATATAAGTCAGTCTAATTCTTCTAAATGGTGGATCACAAGATATTTGAAGATTGTGATTCTGATCCATCTGAATCTATTATTCTAATATACAGACTATGGTTTTCTACCTCTGTTTATTCTCAGACTTAGAACTTACATTTAATAGATAATATATTGAACAACATTCCACCAATAACTCTTGTACTGAATAGTACTGGGACATCTTCCTTTATTTCAAGCATCTAGGTGGGAAATGATTCAATGAGTGAATATGTGATCTGTTCTAAGTGAGGACAAAATAATCTAAGTGAAACTGACACCTGTCTTGCTCTTGGCAACACTGGCCTTTTGGGTTCCTGGGAGAGTGAGAAATGAGAAAAAGGATGAGGAGGACAAGAGAGATTCTGATAAATTACACAGTGAGTTTCCTGGTACAGGTGCTTGGAGGCATGGACTCCATCTTGGAGCATGTATTTTCTCATCATGCCTATAGTCAAACCTCAATAAGAACTGGAATTAATAGATCAAAAGTTTAAGCATCTCCTGGGATGGTGTGTGTTAACAAGAGGGTTTTGTCAAACTAACCAGGAGCGGTAGCTTCCTTTCAGGTAGAGGACCATGATGACTGCCATCTCCTTGGGACTTCAATGATGCCAATTTAGAGATGAATGAAAGTTTTATGTAAAATAAGTGGATGGTATAACTCATAATGTAACAACTAAATCACTTAGGAGGGGAAAACACTCTTCAGAGTATTCTCCATTTCTCCAATGCTTGGGAGGCGTAAAGCTTCTAATAAATATGAGGCCCTCCAGCAAGTTAATTTCCAAATGCTGACCCACAGCATCAAATGCTCTCTGTTGCACAGTAAGTGATTTGAGCCAGTTGCCCTGATTCAGCACATTAGGGCTCTAACCCCTCCCTCTTCAAATATGATCAATTCTGCCTTCCTCTTGTTTTTATCTGCCACCTTCTTACTATTTCCATTTTTGCTATCCTGATTCAGGACCTATCTATTACTCACCTGGACTACTGTAACAGCTTCCAAAATGCCTTAATTTTAGATTTTCCTTCCAGTGCAACCACCATATACAAACCTACCAGATTAAACACAAGCAGCTCTGAGTATTCTATTGCCAGCCTAAAACCCTTTTTGGCTCCCAAATAAGATATCAATTCATTAAAAGCCCTTCACAGCATGAATCTCTATTTTTTTTTTTTTACTTCTAGCTACTCCCATCTGTGTGTTCTCAGTTCTAACTAGACTACCTAACATTTTGAAATGTGTTCTTTGTTTTCCTGTCTCTATGTCTTTGCTCTTGCCAGTCCCCTTACCTGCTAGCTTCCTCTCTTTATCTGCTGAAGTCATGTCCATTCTTTAAGATCTAGCTAAAATTTTACACTCTTTCCCACCAGGCCTTGCTAGATTCCTGATCTTCTGAGCTCTGTGGGTCTCTGACAATGCCTTTACTACATTTATGCTGATATATATTTTTACATTTATTAGACTTATAAATCTACTTGACTGGATACTTCTAAGGGCAAGTGCTATTTATAAAAAATGCTTAAGTTTTCTACAGCATTTAATTCAGTCCCCTATACAGCAGTGTGGTTTTGGGCCTAAAACTAAGGTCCAACATTATGAGTTCCTTGACATCAGGGAAAACCAATCACAAGTTCCTCTTCCCGTTATGCTTCCATGTGTGAGGTCCCCTATCCAACAACCCTTCTTATCATGGAACCTGTCACAGTGTCTGCTTGGCCTTGAGTAATGGGTTTCTGTTCCCTGCCAACCCATGGAATTACTCCAACAAGTCAGTCACATCCTCCAGGGGCAACCAAGGGTTACCTCACCTTATTATTGCTACAAAGCCTGCCTCATAAAGTCCCTGCTCACTCATTCTCTTCCAAAGTACAAACGCCATATGGCTCTGCATGGCATGCAGTGTTCTCCACCCCCAGGCTGTGAGTATCTGTGACTAATAAGCTGTTGTCAATCTCATCTGTCCAATGCTGCTATTACCATAATGCTAGGAGAGGAATATCCCCACCAGTTCAGTAATAAGGAACTGATCAAAAACAGGTTAGTTATTGAATAAATTTACTTACTTCTCTAATAAATAAAAAAACAGTAATAGTTTTGGTCTTAAGACATTCCTCTATTTACATTCTTAGTTCATTCAGGGCTAAGATGAGGCCTCTGGTTTTCATTTCTCACAACCCTTAGCCTAGTAAGTTCCAAGGTGAATAAAATGTAAGTTGCTAGAAAATTTTTAAGTAATTAATTGACAGGTGAACACTCAGACATACATGTTTGAGTTTTGGGTCCTGGGCTGCTTTGCCATGGGCAATAGGCACACACACACACATACACACACACACACACACACAAGAGTTGCAAACAAGAAAGCACTGAATTACATGTTTAAAGAAGATATTTATGTGTTTGCAAAAGATAACTAGACATTAATGTGATTCACTTTATAATAAAAACATCAGAATTTACACATCCAAAGACCCCCACTTGGGAGGCAATAACATTTACTACCAAACTTCTACATGATTTAAAATATTTTAGAAAGTTTCTTAGGATAGCTGGACAATATGGACTACTGGTACATGGAAACTTCCTATTGTTCAATGATGTATCATTTTATAGAAACAACTAAAAAATATTCAGACCAATAAGGTGGACAATATGCTCAAGTTAAGTAACACAGTTTGGACTCAAGATAGGTAAGATGATCAGTAGTAAAGCTGGTAGTATTTCAAAAACATTATTGCAATTGCCATCCCTTGAGAGATATTTTCCAAAAGGACTAAATTATTGGAAGATGGATGTAGCCTCTCAAGGTTTACTATAATGAAGGGGCAATAAATTTTTAAATGAATAATGTTGGATTTATTTGCTTAAAAATATTAGAATTAATCTCTTTACCAATTCCTATGTAAAACCATAAATATGAAATTATATGTTAATACTTTAATAAACAAATGATTGATGCTCAAGTTCTAAACAAATTAGAATATTTCAAAGTAATGAAATAAGTGTGAGCTAACCATATAATAGATTTGTTTACTACAGGTATAATATTGAAGGAAGACACTGTATGCTTGAAGATTAAATCAACAATTAAAGCTGATGTTAAAATCCATTTGTGTTACGCTCCTTGGTAATTACCCAAAGGAGTTGAAGACTCATGTCCACCTGAAGAACCTGCACATGGAAATTTATAGAAGCTTGGCTATTTATAGCAGTTTTGCTTGCCAAAAGTTGTAAGCAATCAAGATTTCCTTCATATAGTGAATGGATAAATAAACTGCGGTGCATGCAGATGATGGAATATTATTCAGGGCTAAAAAGAAGTGGAGCCTCGAAACCATGAAAAGGTGTGGAGAAGCCTAAAATACATATCACTAAGTGAAAGAAGCCAATATTAAAAGGTTACATATTGTATGAATCCCAACTATATAACATTCTGGGGAAGGCAAAACTATGGAGATAGTAAAAAGATCAGTGATTTCCAGGGGCAGTGGAAATACTCTGTATGATACCATAATGATGAACACGTCATCATACATGTGTCCAAACCCATAGAATGTATAACGCCAAGAGTGAACCCCAAGGTAAATTATGGACTTTGAGTGGTAATGATATGCCAATGTAGGTTGCTCAGCTGTATCAAATGTGAGGATGTTGACAACCGGGGAGGTTATGCACATATGGGGGAGAAAGTATATCTCTGTACTTTGTACTCAATTTCTCTCTGAACCTAAAACTGCTTTAAAGATAAAAGCTTAATTTAAAAAATAAATTTGTTGATTTAGTTTGACATAAATTTTCTTAATGAACATAAACATTTAAAACTTTTATATGTGGAAATTCCTTTCCTATACACACAAATGTATGCTCTAAGATATTTTATACAAAATGATGCATTTTAGTTCCTTTGAATTTTGAAAATGTCCCATGATTTATACTATTTCAAGGAGTAAGTTTAATCATTAATATTTACTATAAATTTTCTTCACATAGCTTGGGCCAGCACAATGCATCTTTTCAAAATATGAAATCACTTTAGGAAAGGTTTTGGTATTCCTCATTTGCCTGACCTGAATATCTTTGAAATCACTCACAGGAAGCTAAAGACGTATCTTCTCCTTCTATCATGTGGTCAGTTTTTGTTTTCTCATTTTATCATATCAGTAGAAAATACAACAGGAAATTGCATCCATGCTGCTAGTGTATTACTTAAAATAACTGATACTGCAGATGTGAGACAATAGGCTTCAGATAACTGAAGATCAGTAACATTGCCAGACATATCAGGATTTGAATCACGCCTATGTCCCATCTTCCTCCTGAAAACGGTATATTGCCATAATCAGAGTAAGTTAATATTACAGGTAACAATCGCCAGGAGCTACATCTGCCCCTCTGAGAAGCTCCAGTTCTCCTCTTTCATTTCTAATCAGAAAACTACAATGATGCTAGCAAACTGAATGATGTTAGCAAACATTGGCCAGCTCATGGTTGGGTTATTATTATTATTTTTTAATCAACTCACAGTTGGTCATTATTTTTTTAATCAGCCCGTTCTTCCCTCCGGGAAAGTACACTGGTTATAAAGGAAATTAAATCAATGTGATGTCCACTCCTGTTGGAAATAATGGCTATTTTCAAGGAAGATTTTGTTTCAGCTGAAACCTAATAAATAAAATTGATGGAACGTTGATTGATAAAATCGATAGAACGTTGATTGATAAAATCTGAGGTCCACAAAACATCGTCACCTTAGCCCTGTCCTGGCAGGGTTGTTGAGAATCCAATGTGATAGTGTAGCTAAAGAAACCTTCAGAAAGTTAAAAGCCTGAGTTAAAAGCCTTGCCCAGCCCTGTCTTCACACTTCACAGCGATCCACAGTTACGGAGAGACATGAGGGGCACTAACATGCCACCACACTTGCTCCCGTGGACAAAGCTACAGCAAAGGGTCATTGTGTGTTCCTCCAGCAAACCCACTTAACCTATCCCTTAATCCAGTGGTCGGCAAATCTCGGCTCACGAGCCACATGCAGCTCTTTGGCCCCTTGAGTGTGGCTCTTCCACAAAATATTTACTACATGCAGGCACACACATACAGTGCAATTGAAACATCATGGCCCATGTGCAGAAGTCAGTTTTCTGCCTGGGCGAGTCTATTTTGAAGAAGTTGCGTTAGATCACACAAGGGGCAAAAGAGCCGCATGTGAGTGGGAGCAATGGTTTGCCGACCATTGGATTAAGGGGCCAAAGAGTCGCAGCTTGCCAATCACTGCTATCCCAGAGCACGTGGAAATATTTCAGAGTCCGGAAACACTGCTGAATTCAGAAACCATGCACTGCAGCTAATTTACTAATAAGCCATGAAGTATTGTCATAAATTACTTAAACTAACTGGTACTTGTCCAATTAAATGAACAAACTGCATCCTGCAGGGTAGAGGCCTGGAGGATGTATGGCAGTTGTTTGTTTGCGTGCTCAATTGCCAAATGTTGTTAAGCTGCTCTGGGTCTACCCCTTCACCTTATGTTAATCAGCCAGGCCAAGCAGCGCCCATACTTTCAGCTCTGATTTTCCAGTCAAGAGCATGGCCATTTTTAATCCCAACAAGTCTCCTCACACATTAACAGTGGAGTCCATGAGGAAACAGCAAATCCATAGCGACAGCCTGCGTTAGAGATGATGGAATGGGGTAACTGCTATAGAAGTTTAGCTAGGATGTCACGGGTACTGCACACAAAGACCATTAAGAGAAAATGTGCAGAACTGTTCTGCCCCAGTTCCCACCCTCTGACAGAGCGTGAGTCCTGGCATCAACATGGCAAGCAGGGACGATCCTTAAATGAAAACGAATGAACAGAGAAACATGCATTGCTTTCTCAACAAGATCTATGCAGGCTTGCAAATCCAGACCAAACTCCATGGACATTCAGTCAATGCCTTCTTTTATAGATTCCTCTTGCTCCAGAACTAACATGTGCTGATTGAAGAATGGTTGTAATTTCTCATTGGTTAAATTAATGCAAAGTTGCTCAAGGCTGTTATACTTCAAAGATGTAATTAGGTAGGAAGAAGAGATAAAAATAAAATTGAGAAAACAGCAACAACTTGAGGTGATAGATATGTTAATTAACTTAATGTGGTGATTATTTTACAATATATGTGTGTGTACCAAATCATCAAATTGTCCCCATTAAATATATACATTTTTTGGTCAAATGTATCTCAAAAAATAAAATAAAATAAAATTGAGGTCCACTTGAAAAAATGTGGACACATCATGGCAAATAAACCCAGTAATTAACAGATGTTCAGTTAAATGTTTATCTTCTTCCTCCCAGGTCATTGTGGCTCAGTGGGCTGGAGCTTCATCCTGTACACTGAAAGGTTGTGGGTTCAAATCCCTGTCAGGGCATTTACATAGGTTGCAGGTTTGATCCCAGGTTGAGGGATGTATGAGGGGCAACCAATCCAAAATCTTAAAATATTCCTTTGTCTCAATTTACCTTTATTTAAAGCTTAATTTCTTAATACTATTTATTATGATAACTATTGTTACTTACTAATATTAATAATTGCTCTTTTCAACCAAAGTAGCTCTCTCTTAAGGTTTGCAAAGAATGAATTGCATCATACTTTGTTGACATTTTCTGACATTCAATTCACATTTTCTAATCTCCTTGTAAATATGCATTGACTTTATATTATCAACGATACTTACATCAAGGATTTCAAAACCAGTGATGTCCAGAATGCCAATGAAGAACTGCCCTGGCTTCCAGGGCCCTGTTGATACATGTCACCAGCCACTTACACAGCCTTTCATATATTGGCTTGCACAAGGCACCAACAGCAGAGGTCACCTAGAAACCACATTGAACGCACACCTTCATCTGACAGCAGGGTTTATTTTAATCCCGGGCATCCTCTATCAGTGCCTGCCTTCTAGTGAAATCTGATATATTTATTGACTTTCTGTGGCTCCAGCATGCTGCTGAGATGATACATGAGAGGAAATACAATAAAATGAGAGAAGGAAAAATGAAGCAAGGAAAGGTGAAGAGGATAAGGGAAAGGATGAAGGAGATGATGAGGGAGAGGGAAAGGAAGAGGAAGAAGGAGAGGGAGAGGGAAGGGGAGAGGATGAGGGAGAGGATGAGAGAGGGGGGAGAAGGAGAGGGAGAGAGGGGAGAGGGAGAGGTGGGAGAGAGAGAAGAGGGGCGAGGGGAGGTGAGTTACCCTGGTGTCTCTTTACCCAGCACTTCTGTGAGAGAAATTCGGTTTCTATTACCAAAGGACCAAATATCCTAGGGGGGGGGGGGGGACAGTGTATTCTAAAGCCTTGATATTCAAAGTGTGGCCCTCAGACCTGCAGCACCAGCACTACCTGAAATCTGTTGAAGATGCCAACTCCAAGTCCAGACCTAAGAATCAAAATTTGCACTCAACACAATTCCCGCTGATTCCTATGTACCATCAAGCATGAAAAGTCCTGGTAGAGTAGGTGAGGGCTCTGGAATCCCCAGCCCTGTCCTACTGCTGCTGTTGCAGCTCCTCATGAATAGTGTCACCTTTGGCAAGTGACCTAACCTCAAGGGGCTGCATGCAGTTTCCTCATCTGATGCTCTTGAAGGTTCTTTCTAGCCTCAGCATCCACTTCTTTAGATTAGTTCCCAAGGCTGCTCTCAACTCCCTGTAGGGAGAATGGCAATGTAGTGCCTCCTTCTGACTCAGATTCTCTTACTGAAAACTCGGCCTGCATTCCCTTCCCTGGAGGTATGTGGCCATGGCTCTCATGTAACTTTGTAGGGAGAGCTCCAACCCCTGGAAGATGCTGTGCAAAGGCAGAGCCTACTTCCAGATGCAAAGATGCTGATGTAGTAGCAGATTTCCAACAGACTCCAAGCAGGAGTGAATTTTCAGCTGGACATGCTCCAAGCCTGGAGGCAGAATGGGCTCCAACCACTTAACATTTAAAACAGGCCTGTCGCATCCATCCTTCGGCTGCCCAGGAGAGAGCGCAGCAGGAGCCAGTTGGTGTCTGGTGGTGATTTAGTTCTGAGTCACCCGCACTCTGATCAGTTATCTTGAGTCATTCCCACAGTAATCCATACGCTGGATGGCATCACGGGTTTTTTATTATCGGCGTCAAGAGCACGCCACACAAACAAAGCAACAAGAATGATTTTTATTCTCTGGTGCACTGAGGAAATCACTCTCTGTCTACAGCAGTCACTTTGAAACTTTAAAAAGAACATGACTAACTTGTTCTCCTCTTTTTTGTGTGTGTTTTGTTAATCCTCACCCAAAAATATTTTTCTATTTATTTTTAGAGGGAGTGGAAGGGAGGAGAACACATTGATGTGAGAGAGACACTTCAATTCATTGGTTCCGGCACAAGCCCTGACCAGGGCCAGGATCCAGCCTGCAACCGAGGTACAAGGAATGTGCCCTTGACCAGAATTGAGCCCAGGACCCTTCATTCTGTGGGCTAACACTCTATATACTAAGCCAAACCAGTCAGGGCTGTACCCTTCCTTTTAATCCCCTGAATACTCGAGAAGTGGGGGTGGGAGGAAAACTGGCAGAGGGAGTAGTGAAGAAATACTGGAAGAAAGCCTAACGATGTCGGCAGAGGAATAAATAGTAAGTATGATGTTTGTTAAATGAATTAATGAAATCAGTAAGCCAATATATGGCACACTAACTAAGCATTTTCATCATTTTTGTGCAATAAGAGGAATTAGGCAGCTAAACCTACAGTTCTACTTTTCAGGGATTAAATGGACTCATTTCTTTGCTCTTTTTAGAATAATCTCACAGAAGAGTTTGATTACTGGGAGGCAATCATGCATGATAGCAAGAACAAAAAAAAACAAACAAAAATAATGGAGTCAGCCATATTTTTAAACACTTTGTTCCCGACCTTTCTTATCTGTAAGACAACAATATTAAAATATGCGTCTCACAGAACTGTTGGGAGAGATTCAATGTGATAGATGATGTAAGTATGTAAGCACGACACGTGGCACTTACTGGATACTGTTAGTTCCCCCTTTCCACCATTATCACTTCCTCTTCCTCACTCCAGCATTCACTAGCTGGGTTACCTTGAGGAGCTAATCTTTCTAAGGTTCACTGTCTTTCACTATAAAATGGAGATAAATATCAACTTGCAGGTTGCCATACTTAAGACAGCACCCACAGTAAGTAAGTACTCAATGGCTACTAGTTTTTAGTTTTTAATTAAAATAACTTGTTCCTCATAGGAATAGTTGGAACTCTAATTGGATCATAAAACATTAGACCTGAAGAACCCTGGTTCTTTTTTTAATTAAATTGACTGGTGTGACATTAATTAATAAAATCGTATGGTTTTCAAGTGTACAAATCTATGATACATGATCTGGATATTGCATTATGTGCCCACACCTGAAGTCAAATCATCTTGTCACCATATATATGACCCCTTTTACCCTTTACTACCCTCCTACCCCTTTTTCCTCTGGTAACCACCATACTGTTATCTGTGCCTATGAATTTTAGCTTGTTTTCCTTGTTTGTTCATCTGTTGCTTTCAGTTTTATATCCTACCAGTGAATGAAATCATATCGTTCTTAGCTTTCTCTTTCTTATTTCATTTAGCATGATATTCTCAAGGTTCATCCATGTTGACACAGATGGCAGTATTTGCTTATTTCTTATGGCTGAGTAGTTTTCCATTTCATATACTATCTAATAAAGGAGTAATATGCAAATTGACCATACCTGCTCTATACCCACCAGCCACGCCCACCAGCCAATCAGGAGCAAGTATGCAAATTAACACAACCAAGATAGCTGCAGCCACATACAGCAGGAGGCTTGCGTTTCCCCGGCAATGGAGGAAGCCAAGCTTTTCACCTGCCCTGGCCTGCCTTGGCCTCCTCTTAAGGCTACAAAGTTTCAATTATAGAAGATAAATAAATCCCAGATACCAGGGCCTCCACTTGGGTCAAGGGGGGGAACAGAGGGGAGGGCCATGGCCAGCCTGCAAACCACCACAGGCCCCTCACCCAGGCTTCCCCACATCCCAAGGGAATCAACTCCCTGATCCAGGACATTCTTCAGGGCAAACCAGTCAGCCCAGACTCATGCACCAGGCCTCTATCCTATCTAATCCTCCTATCTAATAAAAGAATAATATGCAGATTGACCATCATTCCTACACACAAGATGACTTCCCCAAGTGGTCAAAGATTCTGCTCCCATATGGCCACAAAATGGCCACCACAAGATGACCAGCAGGGGATGGAAGTTGGGAGGTACCAGGCCTGCAAGGGAAGGCAGTTAGTGGTGACCAGGCCTATAGGGGAGGGCAGTTAAGGGCAAACAGGCTGGCAGGAGAGCAGTTAGGCATCAATCAGGCTGGCATGGGAGTGATTAGGGTGTGATCAGGCTGGCAGGTAGAAGCGATTAGGGGCAATCAGGAAGGCAGGTAGGCAAGCAGTTGGAAGCCAACAGTCCTGGATTGTGATAGGGATGTCTGACTGCCTGTTAAATGGGCAGTCAGACATCCCTTGAAGGGTCCCAGCAGGCTGGGCTGAGGGACACATCCCCCACCCCGTGCACGAATTTTGTGCACTGGGCCTCTAGTATGTATAATAATCATGTATTGTGGCTCTCAACTCAGGAAGGTACCTCCCCCTAAAGAAAGCCTTTGGAAACAGGGAGGGCACTTGCTGAATGTCATAATGACTGAGTGTGCCACTGACATTCAACACCTGGAAGCAGGAATGGAAGACCTTCTATGATGCGCAGGACATACTCATATATGAAGAACTGTCTCAATTAGATACCAATCACCCCTCCATTGAGACACAGAGGAACTCAGTCTCTTCATTGGGATGCTGAGAGAAATGAAGACATTTAACCAAGGCTCCAGAGCTAGTTAGCATTAGAGTTAGAACTAAAAATTTTAGAGTGTTAACACTGCAAGAATTTTTTGCCATCTTTTGCAATTGTCATCAAAAGAATACATACATACATTGCTATTCTTAGCAGTGGCAATTGTCTCTATAAAGTCAGTAAAATTCATAAGAAAAGAAAATCCTTACAGTGTGCAGTCTTACTGTCTCTAGGATGTGGAAGATGTGAGAGGGAGAGGGAGAGGAAAGGAAGGGAGGGAGAGAGGGAGGGATTTCTTTTTATTTTCTTTCAATGTTGAATAATAATATATAAGCTTGCTTCACTGGTTCTATTATAGTAAAGGCTGGAGTGGTAACTCAGTACCTGAGAATACCATGTTAAAGAGGCAAGGGTTTGATTTCCGTCCTTCTATGGCCTCATTAGTTTTCTACAGAGCAAATCCTTGTTCTATAATCATAGCATGTCATGTGGGCATGTTGTGGTGAATGTCTTACAAAAGCAAGAAACTGCCACTTACCTCTCACCTAACTACCAAAAAATAGTTAAACTACTTGTCCTGCTGATCCCAGTTCATGTTCAGCTCAGTATTTAATTTATTTTAACATTTATGGAGCACCTACTGCTTGCAGGGCACTGTGCTAACTGCCGAGGGCATGAAGATGAATTACATCCACTCAATGGCCCCAAGGAGCCAAGTTATCCAGGAGGACAAAACTGTAAGCAAATTGTTTCAGTATAGTCAGTATTGTGGTAGAGATTAAATTATTGATTTATAGAGTAAGCTAAACTAGGAAATTTATTTTGATTAGTTGTTGAAATGTTTTAAGTAACACAGTCACACCAGCTGCCTTAACATACCAAAATAAATAGTTTACTACAGTCAAAATAACTATCTTCTATCACAAATTTATACATTTATCTCTTGTTTTCAGATTTCACATGTATAAAAACAATCTAAGTGTCACCGGAGTACTAGCTGTGTGTCCTTTGGAATGTTACTTATATTCCCTAATCCTTAGTTTTCCTCAACTGGAAAAATATAAGTATTCCTACTCTCCCTACTTATTTCTGAGTATGGTAAATATGGAAGGAGATAATACGTCTGAATGCTTAATACATGTAGGTAATCATACCATTTCCTCTATCCAGAAACGACTACATTTCTCAGACTCCCTGTAGCTAAGGAGATAATTTGACTATTTCTTACCAATAGAATATTAGTGAAAAGTATATCAATTCCAGCCCCAAGCAGTTTAGGGATGTGGGCTTCCTCCATGAATTATCTTCCCCCTTGTACGTATCCATGGAGTCCATGTGTTCCAGATGTCCTACCTATAAAGTGGAAGAAGGCTGTACCATCTGTACTAGTCTCAATGGGAAAAAAATAAATGCTTATTTTATTATCACTGAGATTTTAGCACGTGTGTTATTGCAGCATGCACATTTTATACTGACTAATCTACATTACAGATATAAGTTATTTTGAAATGCACTAGCATACTCATATGGTCTCATTACCCAGCGACTCAGGGAGTATCTACTGATCCTGGCAATGCCTCAGAGCACTTGTTATGCCACATTAAAACATTCTCCTGGATGCTGAACAAAACCTGCATGACCTTTCATCATTTGTGTCTGTTCTTAATCCCCTCCCTTCAAATATTAACTTCAGCATGTGTCCTAAAATCCTTCCTCAACTATGTCACCATGTGTCTGTTACTCTCAAAAGTCAATAATCCAAGTAGATGAGGGATGCCAATTTGAGAGTTTTATTCATGTCAGAAACCAATAGCTTTGAAAGCTTCTTAGCTGGGCAACAAAGATGTGATCACAATATGTTAAGGGCTTGCCTGCCTCTGCAAAAATATTTGTTGCTCAGAGGAAAACTGTCAAAATTTCAGGCAACAAAGACTCTTAAACATAAGTGCATTCACTCTGGTGAACATCACAGTGGAAATATTTGAAATATTCATCATATAGTTGCTTTTTATGGATGCTCTTGTTGCAGACATCAAAGAAATTGAAAAATATACAAGTATAATATGTATATAATTATTATAAGATCACAGAATCATAATGCTCTTTAAAAAAACAAACCACCTCACTTGTTCTATATTTTGACCTCTAGTAACATATCCATTACCAACTTTCATTCTAGGATGAATCAAGCCCTTCACCAACTCAGAGGAGTTAATGCCCATGAGGAAAGCAGCTTTCTCAACACCTGGTCAGAAAAATGGAAGAAAAAGAAGGAGGAAAGGATAGAGAAAAAGTACAAGAAAAAATACCATTAAACTTTATTCTGTTATAGCCAAATAGACTACCCAAAGGATGGAAGGATGATATGTTTAAACTGGTATAGCAAGGTTGATAAAGTTTTGAAATGATTACCTAAATTCTAAATATTTAAAGGACTTTATTTCTTGGAAGTGCAAATCAAAGCCACATAAAATACTACTTCATACCCACTAGAATGGCTATAATAAAAAAGATAGAATAGCCGAAACTGGTTTGGCTCAATGGATAGAGAATTGGTCTGCAGACTGAAAGGTCCCAGGTTTGATTCCGGTCAAGGGCATGTACATTAGTTAAGGGCACATTGCCAGTAGGGGGTGTGCAGGAGGCAGCTGGTTGATATTTCTCTCTCATCAAAGTTTCTAGCTTTCTATCCCTCTCCCTTCCTCTCTATTAAAAATCAATAAAAATTTAAAAAAAGATAGAATAGTAAGTATTGGTGAAGATAAAGAGAAATTGAAATCCTCATACATTGCTGGTTAGAATGTAATATAGCATAGCTGCTGTGGAAACAATTTGGCAGCTATTCAAAAGTCAAACAGAGTTCTCTAGACCCAGAAATTCTACTTCTAGTTATATACCCACATATGTTCACACCAAAAAATTATACACAAATGTTCCTGGCAGCATTATTCATAATAGTCAAAAAGGGGGGGGGGGGGATGTTCATCAACTGGTGAATGGATAAACATAGTGTTTTATATAAGTACAATGAACTATTTTTCAACCATGAAGAGAAAAAAAAGTATAGCTGCATGCTATGATGTGAATGAAACTTGAAAGCATCATGCTATATGGAATATAGAATATTATATAATTGGCAGTTAAACACAAGAGGCCACATATTGTGTGATTCCATTAATATAACATGTCCAGAATAAGCAAACTCATGAAGACAAAAAGTAGATTTGTGGTTGTCAGAGGCTAGGAAGATAAAGAAATCAGGGATAACTAGTCAAGGGTATAGGGTTCCTTTTTGATGATGGCTAAATCTCACTAAACAATGTATTTTAAAAGGGTGAATTTTGATGCCTATGAATTATAGTTTAATTTTTAAAAGAATATATTTATTGATCTTGGCTCTTTCTAAAATGAGATATTTTTCTGAGGAACATGGAATATTCCATCTTTATTATGTGCCTATTTTTCCCTTCTATATATATATTTATACATTCTTTCAATGAAACAGGCATTTGTAACTTGATAATTCAAGACAACAACCAATCAACAAAAGAAGCCAGGACACTTGCCCAGTATCTATCAAAAAACCTTTCCTTTCCTGTGAAGTCTGTACCATAGTGCCCTCTGCTGCCCAATAAGAATAATTGCAACCCATACAATCATACTTTTAAAATAAGTTTCCATTTTCTAAGGAAAGAGGTGGAGAAGAGTGTTATCAGAAGGAAAAGTAAATAGGCATACATCTTGTCAGGTGTTAAAAAAAAATAAGCTTAACACAAAATAATGCCTTAGGCAAAAACATTTTAAGCATGTTTCAAATTGTAGATTTCTTCAGTTATCAAACAAAAGGAATATTTCACTCATCTGAAATATCTCTGCTACATCTCTCATTTTAAATGAATCATGAGATACACTTTTTTAAAAAAAATCATAAGTATATTTGATGAAGCCACTATGTAAACTAATGTTTTATAGAAGAATATAGTCTTTCCTTACTTCACTAAAAAGTACAAAGTTTCCTGAGCAATAACCACAAACAGGGGGGAGTTAAATTCACACACACACACACACACATGCACACACAATTAGAGAAGTGTGTGCCATGACTAAGAACATCCATTTCCTTCTATGCGCCTTTAAAATGTTCACAAAGACTTATAAGGCTTCGTATGTTTGCTTTGCTTGTTAACTAAAATCCATACATATTAACTAAAATCAATACATATTATAATAAATTTCTGCAAGCTACACACCCACTATGTCAGTGATAATGGCCTAGGTACTCAGTTGCTATGAAACCTTTCCAAATGCAGAGAGTGTTTGGGAAAATAAACAGAAAAATCAAAACTAGAGCAGATATGCCCACCTATGCTAGATAAGTGTGCCACATTGGGAGACAAATAGCCTGATGATTTCAAGTTGGAAATCCAGGGGGTCAGAGTCATAGACTGTTTAAATTCAAAAGACCATCTAATCCAACATGAAAATAATTAAAAGAAAGGGAGAAATTCAACATGGCTGGTGAATCTGAGTGGCGATGAATGGTAACCTAGCATGTGAAAAACAAGCTATTCTGTCTAGGAAAAAAAAAAAAAAAAAAAAGCCAGCAGTCTGATTTTCTACGCTTTGGAATCATTCAGATGGACATTATAAGTAACTAGTAGCTTGGTACACAAAATTCATGCATGAGGAGGGGGTGTCCCTCAGCCCAGCCTGCACCCTCTCCAATCTGGGATCCCTTGGGGGATGTCCGACTGCCAGTTTAGGCCCAATCCCTGTCAGATCAGGCCTAAACCAGCAGTTGGACATCCCTCTCACAATCTGAAATGACTGGGTCCTAACTGCTCACCTGCCTACCTGCCTGATCACCCCTAACCACTCTGTCTGCCACTGGCTCATCCTCAACTGCACCCCCACTGGCCTTTATCACCCCCAACTGCCTCCCCCACCACTGGCCTGATCACCCCCAACTGCCCTCCCCTGCTGGCCTCATGGTCTCCAACTGCCCTCTCCTGTCAGCCTCATGGCTCCCAACTGCCCTCACCAGATGGCCTCATGACCCTTAACTATGCGCCCCCCCCCCCCCATTGCTGGCCAGCACACCTCCAACTGCCCCCTGTCATCCTGATTGCTCCCATGCCAGCCTGATTACTCCCAACTGCCTCCCCTGCTTGCCTGCTCACCTCCAACTGCCCCCCCCCCGCCAGCCAGCTCACCCCCAACTGCCCCCCACCAGCCTGATCACCACCACCTGCCCCTCCTTGCCAGCCTGCTCACCTTCCACTGCCCTCCTCTGCCAGCCAGCTCACCCCCAATTGCCCCCCTACTGGCCTGATCTCACCCCCAACAGTCCTCCCCTGCCAGCCTAATCTTGCCCCCAACTGCCCTCCCCTGCAGGCCTGATCTCATCCCCAACTGCCCTCCTCTGTTGGCCAATTTGGTTCTGATTGGTAAGTTTCTATGCCAGTCAGTGTATCTGGGTCTATCAACAGGGCCTGATAAGAAAGGCAGGGCTTATCAGCAGCCCCAGTGGAGGTCTGGAGAGAAAAGGAGGGTCAACTGCTAGCCAGACTGGGAGAGAAAGAGAGGCAAGTGCTGATCAAAAGCTGCCACAGAGGCAATGGATCAGTCACTGCTTCTCTCTTAAGTCTTCTCTCTGGCCCTGATTCACAGCCCCCTCAGCAGTCAGTACTGCAGCACTGCACCTTCAGTGAAAGCAGTCAGTGCTGGGTTGCAATATTGACTTCCAGTTGGTCAAGCCTCCATCGTTACTGGACATTATGACCCAGGATTTTTATATATTAGAATAACAGTTTCAAATTCATACATCCTTTTTCTAGTGCTAAGAACAGTCCTTAGAGTCTATTTTATCCACTAACAAAAACAAACAAACAAACAAACAAACACACAATTATTTTTGTACTGTATCCAACCTAAAAGAAATAGCAGCCAACATTAGAGAATTACTTCTCGCCCACTCCAGAGAAGTCAGGTATCAACAGACAGCACTGGCAGGCTTTGTGTCTACCCCATAACTGTACACTACGCATCCCACATATTCTTTATCTATATTTTTTTAGAGAAAATAATAGTGTTCACCATGTTCCAAAAAATAAATTGCATCATTTGCACTAAATATTTAGTTTTCCATAAAGATTAAAATAGTTTAAATCTGTGAATAAATGTCCATCTGAAATTCAGAAATATTGCAAACATAGCCATCAATTCTGTAAACATATTTTAATCATGTGACCTGATGTGGTCGTGAAAGAGGCTTTCTGAAATCTCCATCAATAAACACCATTTCTTCAGCACCTTATGAATAATTCCAGGACTTTAATTAGGCTGCCTGAGACTAGCTGAGCAGGATAACAAGTAGATAGAGCTGGGGTTTTCAAACATTGGTTGTGGATTAAAATAGCATGGAGAACTAATGCAGAAACAAAGGACTAGCTTGCTGAGGAGCTTGGAGTCTGGGCTTATTTCTATCACATTCTTCAAGTGATACACATAAATACTAGAGATCAGAGTCCTTACTACAATGGTCCTCAACCTCCACTGAATCTCAACCTTCACCTGGCAAGTTGCAAAAGCAAGCAGTGATGCCTGCATTCACCCTGGAGATTGTTTTTTTGTTGTTGTTGTTGTTTGTTTGTTTTTTGGTCTGGGTGAGGCCTGAGCTTCAGAATTTTAAAAACTCGCCAGGTAATTCAGATATAAAGGCAACTTTGATGAGTATTCTCTAGAGCACATGTGTCAAACACAAGGCCCGCGGGCCAAATCGGTCCCGCCAGGCCTTGCAATGTGGCCCGCACCGCGCTGTCATCACTGCACTCTGCTGCGTTTCCATCACAATGACAGTTTATGACTATTCAGTAAACCATTTGGCCCGCGATTTAGGCTGGATTTTAGATTTTGGCCCCTTCTCTGATTGAGTTCGACACCCCTACTCTAGAGAATGGTAGGTAGGTGTGGTAAATGCATTTGGAAGTCAAGAAGATTGAGAGAACAAAGTCTGGCTTCACCTAAAAAAAAAGGTAAAAAGGTCGAGAAGAACAAAAGGTAATTCTTTGCAACTGTATAGTTTTTAATCCCAGTTCAGTCTCAAAAACCGAGTTTTGTCAGTCCACAACCAGTAAAATCTGAAAGAGGGGTTATGATAATGGTCTTTTTGAAGGGTTGGCATATGGTTTCTGAGCTATTCACATTTCATTAAGTTTACTGAGCACATGCTAAGTTCAAGGCCTGAGAAGAAAGCTGAGCAAGACAAAAATCCTCAGCATCAATGACTATAAATCCATGAGCAAAAATATCAAGTAAGTCATTAAAACAACTGCAGAAGAGATAAAGAAATCAAGTATGATGAAAGTTTGAAATGGGAATAAATCACTTCTCAGTAGTGAAAAGTGGAAGAAACTCAAGTGCCCATCAGTGGGTAAAAGATAAATAAAAAAAGGGATATATATATATATATATATATATATATATATATATATATATATTCTTATATATATAAGTGATAATAATATATATAAGTATGAATAATATATAGTATGAATAATATATATATATAATAGAATATTATATATTATTCATACTTAAAAAGGGATGAAATTCTGACACATTTAACATGGATAAATCTTAAAAACATTATGCTAAGGGAAATAAGCCAGGCATAAAAGAACAAATATTGTATGACTCCACTTCCATGAGGTACCCAGAATAGTCAAATTCATAGAGACACAAAGTAGTACAGTGATTGCTAGGAGTCAGAGGAAGGGGAAAGAGGGAATTATTGTTTAATAGGTAGTTTCAGTTTGGAATGGTGAAAAATTTCTGGAGATGAACAGTGTTGATGGTTGCACAAACTGTGAAAGTACTTAATGTCACTAATCTATAAAATGGTCTTAAACTTAAAGCTAAAAACAGCAAATTTTATGTTATGTATATTTTATCATAGTTAAAAATGTAAAATTCATTAAAAATTATTTTAGAGGAATTTGAATGAGTTTTCTAGTTTTCTCTTTTTGTTTTAGTTGCCAGAAAGTTTAATATTAAGTGCAATAATTATAACAACTATGCTTTCTTCCTTTCATAATTGTGATTTTTTTATTTTAATGATTATTCTAGACAGATCATTCATTGTAAAATGCCTCCAATCTTGTTGGTAATCAGGCAAGGTTACAGATTTTTAAAAATATGATTAAAAACAAAGGGAAATGAGGCCACTGTGGTCTCTGTCCACTGAAGACTCCACCTCTGGAATTTTAAAGACATTTGTTCACACCTCCATGATGCCAATTACATTTTATTGTAATTTGTCAGTTCCATTCTCTGTTTTTCTCAATACTCTATGTGCTGAAGGCAGAGAATGTCCTACTCAATCCTGGATCACTCATTTTTGGCAAATTTACTGCATCCCCAGTAACTAATTAAGGGATGCTTTTTATTAGGAAGTATAAGGATTCTATATCAGAATGTCAGTTAAGAGAATAACTTTGAAGTCCAGCAATTGAGTGAGATTGGTGATTAATTTCAACATCTTTTCAAAAACCAAGAGTGGAGGTTTTCAACTGCAAGGCAAGGGAAGCAGGCCTGGGTCAGGAGTTGGAGAGAATGTTTGTCACGTCTTCAAAGAAAGTAATACTTTCTGTGCCATCTGCTTCCACTTGCTCTTCTCTGAGTTTCTGTTTAAATGTCATGTTTCCCAAGTGCATGATGGCTGCAGTGAGTTTATAGGATCCATACTTCTCTTCAGGAAGAACGCCCAAGATGTCCATCGTTTGCTATACAAAGAGAAACAGATGGCAATTACTTTATTTGCCTAAGGGCTGCAGTGAGCACCCCACCCCCACCCCCATGTGTGTCACATTTCCCTACACTTCATGGGGTGAGCTATAGGCTTCAGAAGGGAGTAAGACAGACCCCCATAGCCCTAACATGACATGTGACAGCTTTGTGCAAAGCAGTGCTAATTGGCCCTGTTGGTATTTGGTCACCCATATCTACTTATCCCTTCAAGAGATTTAGGAAGACAACAGATTTGGCTTATTTAGTTTTCTAAGTTTCAGAACTTTCCCACATGCCCTGTATCCCTCCTCTCCCTTCCAGCAATCGATCATTTACTGGCTATATAAGGTAAATTATTTTGCTTTTCACAATTATGGCAAAAAATAGCTCCATATCTGATGAGATGATTATTTCTGGGATTCCATATGTTCTCCAAACTTCATTCCAGAAATGATACATTTCAAAGGCTGTTGAAAGGAAGTTTTAAGAAAAACCATGTCACCAAAGAACTGTCCTAAGAAGCCACTGCACCTGGTAAGATGTCTACCAATTTCCATCTTCTCTAGGAAAGGAGAGATTGGTACACTCTTTCCAGTGGTGAATTTGGAATATATAGAAACAGACTATAAAAAATATAGTCTATATTTTATATTACATTACAATCCTTACCTAGTAATTTCACTTTTAGAACCTAGCATAAAGTGAATCTGACATATAGACAGTCATTTATCTACACAGATATTCACCACAGTACAAAAGCAAACCAAACAAATGAAAAACCTTGTGTCTAACAATAGAAGAATGGCTAAAAAAAAAATACAGGACAAATGGCTGATAAAATATTAAGTACCCATGTGAATGGTTATGAAGAGTTTTTAATAACACTGAAAATGCTTATAATAGTAACTAAAAAAGTAAACTCTATATGCCATATACATATATATATATACATATATATATACACTATGATTATGATCTTTTGATTAAAAATAAAAGAGAGCAACACCATATAGAAAATATATCCTAAATAATAAAAGGGTAATATGCAAATAGATCAAACAGTAGAACAACTGAACAACCAATCAAAGCATAATATGCTAATGATATGCTAATGCCACTGAACTGCTCACCATGATGTGCAATGACCACCAGGAGGCAGACAGTTAACTAGTCAACCAGTCACTATGACATGCACTGATCACCAGGAGCAGACAGTAGAAGGGTTGGCCAGTTGCTATGATGGGCACTGACCAGCAGGGGGCAGATGCTCTGACTGGTGGGTTAGCTTGCTGCTGGGGTCCAGCCAATCAAAACTCAGTGAGCTGGGCCAGGCATACCCTGGAGCCCTCCTGTGGTCCCTCCCTGGCCCAACCATTCACTCTCAGCCTGGCCTGTGCCTTCTCGCAATCTGGTACCCTAGGGGAATGTTGGAGAGCCAGTTTCAGCTGGATCCCACAGGCCATTCCCCTTGGGAGTGCACCAGACTCAGTGTTCATGGCTGATGAGCATCTCCCAATCGGGAATGATTGGTCATGAGCCCAAGGCAGCCACAGTGGGGCCTGGATGAGCAGGAGCAGCAGGTAGGAGCAGCAGGAAGCATTGGACTGTGGGTTTTGGCCTGATCCTCTGCAGGCCACTCATACCTGTGCAATATATACTTTATGTAATAAAGAGGTGATATGCAAATTAATCATCATTCCAACACACAAGATGGCCACCTCCATGTGGTCAAAGATGGCTACCCCCATGTGGACACAAGATAGTCACCACAAGATGGTCTGTAGAGGAGGGCAATTGTGGGTGTTCAGGCCAGCAGGGGAGGGCAGTTGGAAGGGACCAGGCCTGCAGGGGAGGGCAGCTAGGGGTGATCTATAAATAAAAATAAAAAATAGCTGTTGCCATTTAGTTGAAATATATTTCAACTTTTCTATTTGTTACCATACACAATGTGCACTTTTACAATAAATAATTAAACTTGGGACAGCAGTCCTGGAGGGCTTTCTTACACTCTGCTCCTGAAAGGGAAGAATGGTCACTTCTCCAGGGCCCTTCTTGGAGACTTAAGACTCTTTCTTTCCTTTCTTATTGTTGTTACCCAACTTTGCTTAGATAACTAACAAGCCTTACTACATCTGTGGCTGGTAATTCTTGAGCATCATCTGAGCTCTCCATGGCAACTTCTCCATGACAGCAAAAATGGAAGTCAGAGGGCTTTTCAGACACCAGGAGTACCGTATTTTTCGGACCAAAAGACACACTTTTTTTCCCCCAGAAGTGGGGGGGAAAAGTCCCTGCGTCTTATGGTCCAAATATAGCCTACACATATACTTTTAAAAAAAAGTTTTTTTACTTGCCTGGCTCTGTGTGGTCTCTGTTTGCTTGCCCGGCTCTAAAATGGTTCTAAATGCTGCTGTTTACTTTACAGGGTTGATTACATGTGTTTATGACTGTGATGTTGGGTTTTAATGCACATAAAATATTTTAGGACACTATTTGTTTCAGAATCTTTTTTTCTTCATTTCCCTTCTCTAAAAACTGGTGCGTCTTATGATCCGGTGTGTCTTATGGTCCGAAAAATACGGTATATCTGCAGTGAGAAAGCCACTGATTAAACAGCTTATAAACCCCATGAAGCTTTAGAAAATAATTGACCAATATTCACAGTTACTCTTACAGCTTATAGCATACTTGTAAACAAGCCAAACATAATCCATATTCAATACCCAAACCTCTGCAATCAATTTTTGACCTTTGTTAGTCAGTCTTGTGCTAATTCCTCAAAGAAGAGCAGGCAGGCCAAATCTGAAAGTAGACTCAATTGCAGCAGCTTGAATTAGTGTGAAAGAAAACAGATGATGTGTGCTGGCAAAACTTTTAAAATAGGAATTTGGCCTAGATGTGTGGTTGAGGGCAGAAGAACAAAAGATGGTTATACAATTTTAAGTATAATGCTCCTGAGCTTCAAGGCTAGGAAGCAAGCAGAGCCTGGGGTCATGGCTCAGGGAACATTGGCAGTATAATCCCATCACATCACATCCGACCTATTAGGAGGCTGAGTGTGTCTTTCAAGGAACCCATAAATCAGCTACTGTGTTCCACACTACAACTGACATGCCTAGGACTCCTGACATGATTCACTTAGTCAGGAAACACAATGCTGGCCAAAGCCAAGGCAGGCTGTCCGGAGCACATCAGCAGCTGACACGGCCAAATCACATAACCCCTTAGTGCAAAGCCCTCGCCCTCAAGGAAGTTTCTTTGAGCTGAGTTGATTTTTCTATTTACTACTCAGTGAAGTGAAGCTCTGTTCTCCTGAATTTCAAATCTCAGGAAGAAGAAAACTGGGCTACCAGGAAAATGTTCCTAGCAGCTCTATTTGGAAACAACCCAATGTAGGTCAGCAGTTCAAGTATTGTATATGCACACAATAGATCATTACTCAAAACAATTCTGAGTACAATAAGTCAGACATAAAAGAATATGTACTGTATGAAACCATCTTATGAAATTCTAGAAAAAAAAATTGTTTCCATTAAATTATTTTATTTTTGTGACAGCTAAAAAGAAATTTACTCACTGAAATCTCAAAAAAAAAAAAAATATCATGGGCATGTTCATGTTTCTTCTGCATGTCTCTTTTTTTCATAGGAATTTTCCCACACATTTAAGACCCCTAATATATATTCTTCTATAAGGTTCACTGGTGGCTTTTCTGATGACTCAAATCTGTATTTGTTTTCTGAGCTCTAAATCTAGATCTCCATTAGGTATTTCAATACTGATAGCCATAGTAGCTCAGGGAGGTATACTGGAAGCCAAAGGGAGATTTTCAAGGAGAGACAAATCAGCAGTGTCAAACACTATCATACCCTAAAAATCAAGAAAAGTATCTTGCAGTTTAGGAAATACATGTTTTTTGGATATGAAGAGGGGAAAGAGAATGGCAAAGATGTGCTTAAATCTGTATTTTGTTTCTGAGCTCCAAACTTAGACTTCCAGCTTCCCATCAGATATTTCGATGCAGATAGCCATTAGTAGCTCAGGTGGTTCCTATGTCAGTGAATGTCACCACCCTACCCAGTCCAGACACCTGTTTGCCATGACATCCCTTCACCTCCTTCACAGATCAAATAGGCATCATTTTCATGTCTTTAAACTCAAAGCATTTAATTTCAGGATATGGGAAGAGGAAAAGATACAAAGGTAACATAGTTCTTTCCTTCAAGGATACTGAGGAGTCACACAACTCAACAGTGCAGGAAATACTGCTGTGTTTTTAGGGTGGAGATATCTTTCATTTGGCTGACTCATTCAAAAACATTTACTTTCCAAGAATATTTTGCCAAAAACTGCCTTTTAGATAATTCTAAATTATGACCTTTAGTTCATTTTAGTCTCATGTTTACATCTTTCTTTCTTTTTATCATTTTCAATCCCAGTCATTAAGGATCAAAGGTGCTATATTTGACATTGCTTCCTCTATGTTAAATACAGGAAAATAGAAGACTAGAAAGGCTTACTACTTGCCCAGAATCAGTTAATGATACATTGAATTTAGAACATAGCCTCTGGTATTTCTGTTAGACTATGCCACCCACCTTCTCAACCCTGTGTCTGTAACTTTGAGGGTATTCCCTTTCCTCCTTTGTCCTAGACAGAAGGAAGATTTGTTCCATCCAAGCAGGCTCCTTTGGATAAGCACTGCAGAAGACAGAGAAGAGTGGAGTAGAGAACTCTAGGGCAAGGAGGAGGAAGGAGTTAAAATTTAGGAGGGGCTGGGAGTGTTACTAAGCAAGGGCTTGCTGCCACAACACACATGGAAACCAAGGCTTTTGAAGAATAAGAGGAGTATTATTTCCAAGTTGACTAGCAAGAAGACAGGAAGCAAAGCTCAAATCTGTCTTACCGATCCAGGGGTTTCAGGTGGGTTTTAAAGGCGTAGTAGTAGTTTAAAGGCTCACAAGTGTTACTATTGAGTGCTGTAAACTTTAGTTCAAGGTTTTGTTAAGTAGAATAGGACCAGTTTGAGCTGGTCTACAGTTACAAATGCACCCTTTTTGTCCTTTATTCTTTATTTTGAGGGGGTTGGGGGGGGGGGGGATAACTGCTCAAGTTACTGGCTGCTGATGAGGGGACAAATAAGTCAGGAAAAATGCAAGATAGCATAAGAAAGTAGAATACTAGAATTATACAAGCAAATATCACAACCAGGAAAATAAAACCCTTGTTTAAGTCAAAACAATAGCAACTATAATAAGAATTTAGGTTCATACATACCTGGTCTGAACTCTTGGGCATATTTTCAAGATGACCTTCTCTTCCTGGCCAGGTGAAGTCTCAGGTGCCCTGCTTCTTCTGAAAAAGTAACTAAAGAGTAGTCAAAGGTTCTCAAGTGTAATTAGGGGCTGAAAAGTCAATTATTGGGTTTCCAGGCCCATTTGTTGTTAGGACCGTCGGTTCCTCCTCTTCCTTCCTGTCTGTGAAGAGAGTGCCCTTATTTGTAAGGCGGATGACTGGGTCCTGAAGGACTTCATAGGGTCCACTTCATTTAGGTGCTAAGTCTTGAGGACCCAATCTCCTGAGCTTACACAATGCAGGGGAACATCAGTAGGAGACATGAACAGGCATATTTAGGTATGGCAAGTAAAGTAGAGACTCAAGACTGTATATATTTTATGGTATCTATTTCTTTTTGCATATGATCCTATTTAAGATTTCAGTAATAGTCCTAAGAAAGGAAGTCCTATATAACGTTTCATAGAGACTCAATTGAAGCTTATTTCTAAGGGGCTACTGCTCCTCTAAGCAGGACAACTGGTAAGACCCTATACAATTTAGACAGCTGTGGTTTGCTTCTTCTGTGCCACAGGTTTTGCACCTTGACATGGCCAGTGTCAGCTAGGAGCCCACTGAGGTACTATCTAAAGCTCTTCTTCACCTTTGTATCCCCCATCAGTTTTTCTGTTTTTTGTTTTTTGTTTTTTGAGGATTTTTTTGCTTCTAAATCCAAATAATGCCCACACATTGCAATTGGTTGGGATATTTCCTAGGTTTGTTTTGCTTTGTTTTGTTTTTGTTAATCCTCACCTGTAGAGAGCGCCTGGGAAGATACATGAGCATTTCCTTAATTATTGTCAGCTGAACCCAGTGGCGTTGGCAGAGCCACATCCTAGAAACACACCTTGCCTCAGGCAGGCAGTCACAGGACAAAATCCCTGGGTGGTTAGTAAAATTGTTATCAAGCATGAGCTCGCTGCCCCATGCAGAGACAAGCCAATACAATGGCACCAACTCTTGAGAAAAGAAAGATTTATTTGCAAGTCAAATACTAAGAAGACAGGAGGCAAGGTTCAAATCTTGGTGATCTAGATTTGAAGGAGTTCATAAGTGTTACTCATAAGTGGTGTCAAGTTTGGTTCTGGGTCTTGTTAAATAAAATAGGACCAGTTTGAGCTGGTCCCTGGTTACAGTGGCAAGGCCCAAGTGCAATATGTACACCTCCCTCTGCACCTCCCTGCCTGCAGATGTATTTTTTCTATAAGGCATTAAGCACACCTAATGGAGTGTTCTTATATTTCCATTTAACCAGGAGTGTGGCTGCTGCACAGGCATGAACGTTCACTAGGACAGCTGCTCTCAGTCTAAAGTGGTGGCTCCAAAGACTCTGCAGACCAAACTCTGAAAGGCCTTTAACTTAAAACACCTTCCTCACCAGGCTGTATAAAATTTTATTTTCAAGGAGCAAAGAATTTTAATTGGGTTGAGGATTGAGGTTATCTCAAAGGAGTATCATGTAAACAGGAATTCTTTTAATTAAGTTCACTTTTACCAAGAGAAATGGCCCTGAGGAAACAACAACAAAAAGTAAAGCACTTAGATAAGACAATATTAGGACCAGAGACTGTCTAGGCCAGTAAGGCTCCCCACCACCTCCACCAGAGATTGTTGACTGGACAATGGGCGTGTGAAGGACAGAGAGCTGGCCAGGACGGGCAAGGTGGTAGCAGAAAAAAGAGGGATGAGAGAATGCTAAGTAAAAACCGATTGCTTCTCAATTTCAAAAAAGCGCAGGTGTCAACCTTTGCTCAGGTTCATTTCTAGAGGCCACTCCAAGGGGAGGTGCAAAGAGCTTTTACTTTAAAAGTGGGTACTGTATCATGCCAGGCTTTGTTTTACATGGTATCCTACACCCAATTCTGCTTTCTGCAAGGCTGAATGTTCTCCAAGACTCAGCTGTGTTCACTGTGAAAGAAGCAAAGCCAATATTGGGCTGAGAAAATTTCTGCAGCCAGTGCCTCTGTGCCATGCCCCACCCCCATCACCTGTTCCTCAGATGTACATGTGCAGCTGCAGGGACTGTGCACTGCCCAGCCTCAGAGGGGACCATTCCCATAGTCTGAAGCTTGAATAGCATTCTCTGGAGTCAGTGCACATCTGCACAACCAACAGATCCTAGGCCCCACCAGAGGCCAATGGAGAGAAAGTGAGTCTATCTTGACTCAAGAGACACTTCGTGAGTCAAAAGGAGGCAACTGAACATACTCCAGAATAAAAGGTCCAGATGCTGACAGTTTCATTCCCCAGAGGCATCCAGGCCACAGGAGACAGGCTCAGGTGCACCTCTTGGCAGGTTGCCAATAATGCAGAGCACTGGGCAGTGTCAAGGGTTCCAAGAGGCAAAGATATGCTTCCTGACCTCTCCTCCTCAAGTTCACACACTCTGTTGAATAATCAAAATGGGTATAATGAATAAAGAGAAAGAAAATAAAGAGAAAAAGGCAGATAGGTGCAGGACCAATCTCTCCAGATGACAGATTTCAAGGAGCCATGTCCAAGGGGACTGAGGGAGCGGCTTTAGCCACAGCTGGAAAAGAGGTCAGCCTTAAGTGACAGGAAAGGACAGAGATGTTCAAGCCATGTGTAAGCAGACTAGGAGAGGTTTGGATCTAGGGTAACTCGTGACCCCATTTCCTCAGCTTCTTCAGTGGGTGGCCAGCCTCTCTGCTGTGATTTTATGTACCTGATTCTTTTGTAGTGCACAAATGCTCTTATTTTAGGAAATTTTGGGCTTAACCCTCACACTGCTAATATATACCCTCTTATATCAATCCTCAGGTCACTCTGAAGTGTTTCTTTGGCAAACATGAATAGAAGCAGTTCCAAGTTTTAAAATTTCCCAAATGACAGTTCATGTCAAAACAGGTGAATGGACATTCTCTAATTCGGACCAGCAGATGTCAGTCTTTGTGCAGTAATCAATCCAACAGCCCCCAGCCCCCAGGGACTGAGCAAGATAAATGAATTCAGGGTAAGTATAAATTTTTTAAGGCAGCCCAGGCTTCAGAGAGTTCTATTAGTAAACAGAGATACTCCAAAAAAAAAAAAAAATCCTTGCAGTCACTGCTGGTACCACAATGTGTCAGATGTCCTGCACAGCATAGACATTTATATCAAGAATATTAGATTTGCAACTGCTAAGAAAACCAAAAAGTTTGTTCAGGGTTTAGGTGGAAGGAGGGTGGGAAGAAGAGCTGCTATTTTCATATCACTAATTACACCCACAATGATAATAATTGTCCAGATTGCAGAGCTTTCCCCCATCTGGCGAGGGCTCTTGAGTGGAATACCACATAGTAAGAACACTGCCAGATTTATGCCATGCGAATCTAAGCATAATGGGCTGGGGAATTGTCCCCCATCAGTTTACACACTGGATCTTTCATTTCATCCTATACCCACTCCTATGGGAACACTGTTGTCGTCAGTAGCTTACATCATATGCAATACCTTTGAAGTCCATTAGTTTGTCATTCTATCCTTCCAATGACTCCCCATCACACTTAGAATAAAATCTGCCATAGCCTGCAAGGTGCTGTGTGTCTGGATACCACTTATGTAGCCCTACATTACCCTCTCCTCTTCACCACCCAAAATGGCCATTTTCCTATTCTAAGAATAAACCAAATGCATTCTGCCTCAAGGCTTTTACACTCCCTGTTCCCTCATCCTGGGACTCTATTCCTAAAAATCTTTGCCTACTTGCTCCCTCACCCATCCAGGTATCTGGAAAAACATTGCTTCCTCAGAAAGATTGTGCCTGACCATTGTATCTCAATATAACCACCCACTATCCTACCAAATGCCAGTTTACTCTGTCCTCTCACCCTACTTTAGAACTACTATTCTCTGAAATTTATGTGTTAATTAATTTGCTTGTTACCTATCTTCCACTCTAGAATATAAACTTATAAAGGCAGGAAACTGTCTATCTTGTTTACTTTTCTGTCTTCCATGCTTAAAAAGTATTGCCTATTGCACCCATATCTGTCTCACAATAAATATTTGTTGAAGGAATATTGGAAATTCATTCTTTTATCTCACAAATTGCTCTTCTCTTTCTGTTCATGGCACTCCTTTTCCTAGTCAAATTAAAAAACTTGAGAGTATTTTGATTCATAACTATCCCTCATTCTTAGTACCTTCAGTCATTAGACACTACCTTAGACAACTGTCTCATCATCTCATACCAGGATTATTGCAATCAATTTCCTCTAGTGTTTCTACCTCCAATCCATCCAGCCTATCATACCAGCTTCACTGTTATTGCTTTCAACATATCATGACCTCCTATTACCCTATTCCACCCCAACAACAAACATACACACAGACACACATGCTCACATACCCTCCCTACACCTGAGTTCAGAAACCAACAGAATAAAATCTCCACTATTGCTCTAAGTAAATCCTTTCCCCAGTTAACCTTATCTCTGTTACCTGATTTTGCCTTGCCTCATCCTGACACTGTGCATACTCATTACTCTGATTAAGTCTCCTTCCTATTCTTCATACCCCAACCCAAATCCTCTTTATAAAACTTCCATTGACCACTACACACCATGATAATGTCTTCTACCTCTTGCCTTTTGTCTATTATACTCAACTGGTTCTAATTATTTAAGGGTTTAAAGTAATGCTTTTTATACACACACACACACACACACACACACACACACACACACACACACATTCATTTAACTTTACCCACCTCCAAGCACTACCAAATTGAAAGAAAAGAAAAAAAAGTTCTACCATACTTTCTACCAATATAAAGTTACACAGCATAAGTTCTAGATATAATTGGTTCAATTCCCTAAGTTTGGGGGTGAATAAACTAAGTTATAAAGAGGCTAAGAGACTCTGGCTAAACAGAACTTTGCCAGGTCTGACTTCCGTCTCTGGGTTTAGAATGATCCTCAGCTCCAGAATAATAGACTTACCAAGATGTTCTCTTTTTCTGAACAAAATCTGATAGTATACATGGTAGATCCTCTCTCCAGGCTGCTGAAAAATCAACCAGGACTTTTCAAACAAATCTTTAAGATAAGAAATGGACAAAGACACATATTTAAGTGATCTTACAACACTGAGAAGAAAAGTGACCGGACAGCTTGATGGTCACTTACAGATGTCGATGTCTGCAGATGACAGCTGGCCTCTGGCACAAAAGTGCATCCTGATGAATTTGCCCTAGGTGGACACAGAACACAATCTCCTTTTGAAACAGCCCAAACAGTTATGGGGGAACTACTTCCCTAAAAGTTACCCAAAAAAATAATACAGGCAACATGGTTCTGAGATAGCACCAGCCAATGCCAGGAACAGCAGTGGTGTTGGATTCTAGTCTTAAATCTGTTGATTGCCAACTGTATGTTCTATGTGCATTACTGAATCTCTTTGGTAGCAAAGTTCTTATCTAAAAATGGAAAAAATAATATCTGCTTAGAAAATTCTTTCATTTATTCTACAAACATTCATTGAATATCTACTATAATGCAGGAAACCTGCTAGGCACTGGCGATGCCACATTAGAAAAATAGATGTAGTCAGTACTCTTCTAGATTCTTAGTGTAAATAGCTAATGCAAGAGCTCTAATTAGAAACATTGGGTATGTCTTAAAATAATGCTTTAAGTGGGTTGTGCTGGAGTTTAGTGAGAAAAAGAAAACGGGACAAAAAACAGAGTCTGAGAGATAGATAAGTACTGGGCACCATATCATGAAAACCACTGGGGCCCAGAAAGTAGTAGGGTGTTAGTGTACATGTGCTTGGGATACGAAGGGAGGTTTTAAGCAGAGAAGTGACACATGATCTATGTTTTCAAAACACTCCTTTGGCAAAAATACTAAATGGGACTCACTTCTCAATGAAAAGCTACTGACAGGATCTAGGGCCAGATCCTGCTGGAAGTGGGCCAGAAAGCCTGCTGGAAGTGACAGAGCCTGTGTCAGAGTGCCCAGTGCAGTGAAGGAGGCCAGCCAGTGGCATCTAGGGCCTGCAGGGTGACAATGTTGGTTCTGGGCAGAGGTCTGCCTGTACAGGAAGGGTCACAACCTGGGAAGGGAAGGGGAGTGGCTGCTGAGAGGGGGACTAAGCCAGTAAGTTAAAAAATGTAGGAAAATGGGACACACACACACACAACACAACACATACATGATGCACATATATGCATATGTACATTTATACATGTGTATAAATATGCATACATAACTTTTAAAAATTTAAGCTAGATTTTTAAATTTTTTGAATCCACTTTTCTCTCTTCCCTTCTTCTGTCTTTCCTCCCTTCCTTGAATTCACCTATCTTTATTATTCTTCTCTACTTCCTTTTTTTCTAGTCTTTCAACATTTTTCTTGTGTATTTTTTTCCCGTTGATTTCTTACCTTCTTATTTATCTTTCCACTTGATAGTCTTTCCTTTTTTCCTTTCATATTCTTTTCTTTCTCTTACTCTTCTCTTTTAACTTCCTTTTTTATCTCCTCTTTTTTTTCTTCTCTCTTTTCCCTCCAGGTTTCTTCCTTTCACATATCAGCAGAAAATATCTTCATATTCTAATAAATCCCAAATCTAGTAGATGTTTTATGAACCAGTATTACCACCTGCTATGCAGCCAGACATTGCAAGTAGACGTAGACGTAAGGCCTTGGGTGGAAGCTAGCCAAGTCAGCAGGAGGCTATTATTTAAATATGCCCAGATACTCAAACAAGAAGCCTTCTGCAAAATTTTTTTGTAAATTACATATTTGCTCCCTCCAATTCTTGGCATAAAATGAATTTGTGAAATTAGCTTTTGAAATCCAAATCCTTCCTCTATTATGTGACTGCTAATTATAAAAAGCTACTTAATAAATACAGGGTGTCCAAAAAAAGTACACACATTTTTAAAATACCGTATATTTTATTAATTTCAGAGAGGAAGGGAGATAGAGGTAGAAACATCAATGATGAGAGGGAATCATTGATCAGCTGCTTCCTATACACCCCCTACTGGGGATCAAGCCTACATGTGCCCTTGACTGGAATCAAACCCAGGACCCTTCAGTTCTCAGGCCAATGCTCTACCCACTGAGCCAAACCTGGTAGAGCTGTGTACACATTTTAATAGCTGATAGCTCAATTGATGTTTCTTTCTTTTTAGATTCAACTCATCGTGCCTTTATAATTAGTCAAAGTAGTATGCATTTTTGGAACACAGAGTATTTTCTTCCAATTTAAAAAAAAATGCTCAGTGAAAAATGTGCAGGGGTAGAGGTGCACATAGCCAGGAATATAAATAATAATTATAATAAGTAAATTAGAAAGTGCTTATTGAATTTATTTGTTATAAAAAAATATAGGAAACTATGAAGGAGAAAGGACTTTCAAATCTATAAAATATGGTAAAATATAAACCATTTTTTTTAGAATTTGCTGGATAAGCTTTCTAAGAAAACACCTTTCAGAGTACTCTTGATATTCAAGGCCAATCTGGGCATGAGAACCTTAGTCAGGATGTCCATTCAAGACAGGTACAAGGACACAGCAGTTTCACTGTGTGCACTGGACAGACATGCCTTTCTGTAGCCCAAAAACTGATGTCATTACCTGGCAAAAAGCCTCTTTTGTGTAAGTTAGCATAAAATACATTACTGAGCAGCCAGTAAGTGACTACTGTTATGTGAGGCTGCCTGGTTGGACTACTAGGTGTAATGGCTCCTAGTTTTCTGAGATGGCTTTTATGCTGTGTGTACCGCAGCTGCTTAGTTGGACTATGTTCATAGAGCTCCTATGTTGAAGGCTACTGTGTAGGAAAGATATAATGTTAACTAGCCTGTGTGCACCTACTTTGTGGAACTTTACTTTGAAGTACTACTTTATCTGATGGCTCCTTGTTAGCAATGGCTACTTGGGCTACAATAAAGACTCTCTATATATCTACGACTTCTCATGACTTCTCCGTCAAGGAAATCCAGTTCCTGGCAGAGGGACTCAGACCCAACAGTTGGCATAGTGGAGCAGGATTCAAGGAGTGAGTACTCCAACAATTGGCACAGTGAGCAAGGTCAAGGAGAAACTTACTCTATTGGGAATGGGAAGGAATTTGAAACTATTAAAATAAACATTTTCTTCCTGAAAATTACAAAATAGTAGGAGCTTCTACGGTTTCTATTTAGTTTTAATTGTCTTAATGATAATACTGGGTAGTTTTTTGGGGGAACCTAATGTTATAAACTTGAATCAAAGGACCTTCTTTAATGTGGTAGAAATTTTCTTCATGCCTATGTGCTCAGACATGAATTTTACCACTTGCTTTAAAATTAAAGACTCTTATATACTGCTCTTATATATGTTACTTACAAAATGAGAGTATTTGTCATTTCTCAAGGTTTTGGCATTTCCAAATGCTTCCAAGATAGGGTTCACTTGTTTGATTTGATCTTCTAAAGTCCCGAGATACAGGTAAGAGAAGTACAGGTGATGAAGCCTTTAGCAGAATTCTGTCATGTGGCAAGCCCTCCATTCCGAGGCCAATTTTCATCTTGGCTTTGATAGCAAGGATTAAAGCTGCTTCCAAATTTGGTGATGAAATGTTATTTTGGAAAGGGAACTCAGAAAAAATAGATGGATGAAGAGTCTGACAATATAAAATGCCCATATGACTATATGTGGGAGCTCATTTATCGGCAATGTTTCTCTTTTGGTTGGTATTGGCCCGAGTAGGAAACAAAAATGGATATTTTATAGAATGAACAACAAATACCATGGCCTGATTTTAAACTTCATTTCATATATTTCCCCCTATTGTTAATCTCCCTCTCTTCTCAACTAATTCTCATGCCTGCCATTTTCTTCTAAAATGGCATTATTAAATTATATGTTTCTTGGCTACCATTTCTACATAATCTAGAAGTCCATGTCAGGCAAAGACTTATAATGGTATTGACCTTGAATTTTAATCATGTGTGCTCTGGCTGAAGGGCCAAAGCAGGTCATCTACACAGAGCAAGTCTGAATGACCACTCAGCACCCTAATTGCAATGGATTTTGTCTTTAAGTCTCAAAAGCCTATTTTATGAAGTCATATCATATTCAAAAATTTATAGGTTTGAAAATACTATATACCTTGTAAAATATCATGGGTGCATTATCCTTTGAATAAGTAAAAGGACTACATGAGCAAAGGTTTTTATAAAAATGTTTGTAGGGTGCAATGGCTACATCAAACAAACAAATGTATGCCAAACAACCTAAAATGCATGCAAAAATGAAGTTATATCTAATAGAGTCCAATGACACCTAAAGAAGTCAATCAAATTCAGGAATTCACTGATTGGAAAAGAAACTTTTCATGGTTCAAAAACTGGACCAAATTTGCTATTTTGATATACTTCTTAATTTGTAAAAACAGCAGGAAAAAAAACACAGGATTGAATTTAAAAAGCAAAATAACAATGTCAGACAGAAAGATGTGAGGCTCTAATAGCTCAATAACTCATTGATTTTGAGATCCACTCAGTATTATCTAATTTTGTTTTGCATACCAATTCTTGTGACCTAGTTATCCTCAAATTATTATAAAGCCCATAAACTTGTTAATGAAGCTAAACAAAGTAAGTAAAATGAAAAATCACCAAGGATACAGATAATTAAATAGAGAAATAAAGTTTTTCAGAACCCAAAATGTGATTAGGTTGAGGGGATATTCATCAGATGTTAGAGTTAATCCAGATGTTAGTGGCAAAGAAGTAGACTTTTGTTGGCACATATTTCTGAGTCTGATTGCTCACTAGAACTAAAGGAATTCATAAATATCAAAAGTGGCCATTCAAGGCACTAATGACCCTAGCATTTATGGAATGTGGTTTAGATCTTAAGTACCTAATTTTCAGAGGGTCCAATCAACAAAGCAAATTATGTAATTTTATGTTTGGGGGTTATTGGTTCGGAGCCATTAATGATTCTCTCAAGAGGCAAAGACAAATGGGAAAAACGACTTTTCCATATTTGTCTAATTGTTCTTTGGTTCTTTCCCCCTTTTTTTCCCTATAAGTAGACATGGCACAGCTTCTGTGATCAGTGGGTAGGGCCACTTCACCTTTCTGACAAATTATGTGAATACTTACCAGCTTTTCCTTAGATTCACTCATGGTTGCTATGGTGGCAAAATATCGGATAATGTGTTTTGTGTTCACAGTCTTTCCAGCACCAGATTCTCCTCTACTACAGGAAATTCAGTGACACAGTTAACTGGTTCAGATTAAAAATGCAATGAAAGTTAAACAATTTCAACCACATAGGCTAAGGTAAGAAGGGAAAGTTTTATGGAAAAGTGGGACTTAAGAGGGAACTTGAAGAAGATGTCGACACATCTTAATTTGTTGGGAGAACAGGAAGGACATCTCAGGCTGGAAAAACATCACTAGCAAAAATCTGGAAAGATTGAAGACATTTATAAAAACAAGAAGCCTATTCCTCATGGTCCTGTTAACAAAAAACTCAAGCTGTTTCAGAGATTTTCATATATTGAGGCTACCAGTTGGCCAAGCCCAACCATCTTCTTCAGAAGAGGGCCTACCAGTCACTTCACCAGGTGGCTTCAGACTTCCCTTTTACCTTTGATAACCAGCTAACTTTGTAATGTGGGAATAACAGAATGATAAATTTACAGCCTCATCACCCAAAATGTCACAGGATCAAGGTCTTCCTTTCCCCAAGTGAAATTTAAGAACATATCCTCTCTACAAAGCACTGAACTCTACCTTCCCTTTCAGCTCTAAGATTCTGGGATACTATTACTTTTTTTTGTAAGAGCTGAAGCCAATGGGGACTTCAATATGTGAGGCTTGAGGCTCATCACCATTGCATAGGAAGACCGGGGACTGGAGCACTTCACTGCCCCATAGTCTCAGCCTGTCCCCTCTGCCACCAGTAATAGTTCACCTGGCCAGTGCATGCTCTTTCTATCAAAACTAACATACAAAACTGTTGGCCCAGAAAGAAGCTCACTACAGACTGATTCATTTGCCTCTCGGCATAACCATATGTCTTGTCTCAGCTTCTGTTCTTATAAGGGAATTCCTTGTATCACATGTCTAACGCATCTAGGGGAAATAATGAACAACATACAGAAACAGACCCAGAGACAGAGAAGCAGCAATCAGACTGTCAAACCTTAGAGGGAAGGTAGGGGAGGGTGGGTGCAAGGGGGAGAGATCAACCAAAGGACTTGTATGCATGCATATAAGCCTAGCCAGTGGTCATGAACAACAGGGGAAGGGGGGGCATATGTGGGAAGGGGTTTGGGATGGGAATTGGGGGATGAGGACAATTATGTGATACCATAATCAATAAAGAATTTTTTTTAAAAAAAAACCTAACATACAACATGGTATCATTGAATGCTTTCCTTTCGTCCTCTTTCCTCCAAGCCTCACCATCTTTTGGCTCCTACTACTTAATATATCTTGGCCGGCCCCAATCAGGCTGCCATAGCAGCAGGTTATCTGTTCCTCGGTCATCGCATTGGAATTTTATAGTCTCTCTGCCTAATTAGCCGGTCCAGACCTTTGTGAAAATGATTAATTGGATAGGAGCTGTCTCTATCAAGAGTATGATTAAAGCCAGTGTGTGCACTGTGGGCTCTCAGGGATTTCCTAAATGATGGAAGCAGCCTGGCTGGCACCCCATGTGGAGTCATTTCCTGAGTACCGTATTCCTTCCCAGCACATATTCCCTTTCTAAAGAGCAAACAGTTCATAGACAGCTAATGTGTGTTTTATTCTCAGTGAAATGGAGGTGTCTGTTTCCAGTGGAACTCCCACTGCTGGCCAAGAGGAAAGGCAAGGCAAACACTTACGTGAAGACTCCAGACTGATTCTCTCAATCTGAAAAACAGGAGAAAATGTCAGAACATCCTTTTGCCAGAGCTTCTATGTATTGGCATAAAGTTAGTAAAAATTTCCTTGGTTGCAATTTGAAGTCAGATACAAGGAAATGGTTGTGTGTGTTTCGGGGCGGGGGGGGGGGGGGGTAGGGGGGGAGAGAGAGACAGGGGAGGCCATTTAAATAGTACAGAGTAAAACATTTTTTTTTCTGCCCTTATGTATATCAGTCATAAGAACATATAAATTCTAGGCCTATTTTCTTGTTCCAAATACAAACGGCAACTGACTAATGGTTGACATGTTTAAGCCTCTTAAGAAGCATGGTGTAATAATAGATGCTTTAAGCCAGGAACTCTGGCAGGCCATCTACAGGGGGCTCACTCTGGGCCAGCCTCTGGGCCGAGCATTTCAATGCTTTATCTCACTTAATTTGATGTGTGAGCTAATCGTCCTCAGAACCCTAGGAGGTAGGCTTTATTTGCCCACGTTTCATCCAGAAGGAAAAGGAGCTTCAAGTGATTAGGTAGCTGTAAAGGCCACGCTCTGCTCACAATGCCTGCACGTCTCTCAGTGACACTGAAAAGTGGATCAGATATTTTTACCTTCCATTTTGTAGGGCAGCCACTTACTGTGAAGCGTATCCTGAAAGGCGTTCTCGGCAACACCGAGGATGTGAGGGGCCCCTCTGATCACCTCAGCCCTTTGTAGGCAGCCACCACCACTTCTTTCTGATGCACTGGAAGCCATATGTGGGGCTTATGCTCACACAGAAGAGACCAGAATAGGTCTGAGGGAAGTTCAGACAAGATTTCAGAAAACAGGTTAGAAATACTTCCAGGCTTCTCAGCTTTTTCACTGTCAGGTAGCATTTGTTTGAATATTTACTTGTAAAAATACTGAAAGGAGAGAGCTTGTGGGTTCTCCCAGAGAAGGGAGTCCTAACAGGTAGAGGCAGAGGCAGAACCAGGTTAGAGTGACAGCAGGCGCTGGGATCACCTCTTCCCCAGGGACAGCCTAACTGCTAACATGTCTGACACAAACACCTTCGGGACAGAGAAGATGCTAACAGACAGCTGGCCTGCAGATTTTGCAGGCATTTGAAGCCAGAAGGAATCTGGCCTCAGAAAGATTAGGAACCTGATGTTTAAGGCATTGAAAGGAAGTCATGGGAGTCACTCAATCACTGTAATGGTTGTGGCCACAAAAGATATGCCCATGTCCTAATCCCAGGACCTATGAATATGATCTTATTTGGAAAAAGTATCTTAGCATATGTAATTAAGTTAAGGTTCTCAAGATGATATCTAGGTGAGCCTTAAATCCAGTGGCTGGTGCCCTTATAAGGATAGAGGAGAAGGCGACGTGAAGATGGAGCCAGAGATTGGAGTGATATGACCACAAGGAATGCCAATAGCCACCAGAAATGGAAAGAGACAAGAAATGATTCTCAGCTAAAGGCTCTGGGGAGTAGTGACTCTGCTGATTTGATTTTGGACTTTGGCCTCTAGAACGGTGACAGAATGAATTTCTGTTGTTTTGAGCCTCTCAGTTTGTGGTAATTTTGTTACAGCATCCCAGGGAAACTAATGCAGTTACACAATAAGTCAACCAGCCAAGGAGCAAGCTGGCTACATGTCAAAGCTTCTATAGTAATGGGTCCCAAATGTCATCACTGTAACCTAATCTGCTTTGCACTGCTTCTGCTGAGTAGGTGCTAAGTAAATAAAAAAAATCTCAGCAACCAACCATCTTCAATTTAACGGTGGGAAAAAAACACACCCCATAACATTCCATTTATTGAGCACTTACTAGGTATTAGGCACTGAACTACATTATTTTACTAAATTCTCTAAGCTACTCTGGAGTGACGGGCATTATTATCCCACTTTACTGTAACAGTGACTTCAAGAAGATGAGAAACTTCACCAGTAAGTGACAGAGCTGGCATTTGGACACTGGTCTATCAGCTCTAAGCCTCATGCTTATACTTCAGCTCTACAACTTCTGGGAAGGGATATTAACACCAACAAAATAAAAGTGGGGCATTCCTCAAGGATTATCTCCATGTGACTATGCTTAAATTTGATATCATTTTCACCTAAGAGAGGACTGGAACATTGCCAATATGAGTGCCAATATAATACATATTTAAGCAATAAAGCATATATAGAAATGTAGATCACTCAGTGGCCATGGCACCCCTTCAAGGTATGTAGCACATCAGCTTCTCTGAGGTGAGTCAGCATGGCCATGTCTTCAACCATGTTGAACTGTGGAGGATTCATCTGCTGAACTTCCTCCTCCTTAATATCCAGACTCCGCAGAGAGAAAAAATTAAGATATATTTTCCTATTTTTTTCTATGCTTGTTTATTTTGCCATATGGAGCAAAGAATTTTCTAGTCAAGAAAATGATGGGGCCAGAAGAAGTTAAACCAACCTTAATGGAAGAAACAGCTGCTCCTCTTGCCCATGCTTTTTTTCTTGCCCAAAGAGGAAGTTTAAGAAAGTATTTTTGTTGAATTCAAATGGTCTAAATTGCATTTCCCTAATCCGACAGCTCCTCACCAACTCTGATTGCCTCTGAGGGGACACATATCATAGTATGTATGATTTGGCCCCTCAAAATGTCCCAACATGTTCGTAGCCTGGAGGTTTAGAAAGAAACAAGGAGGAAGACTCACCCTTTCAGACTTAATTCAGGATGTATCTATCCTCTTTCCCATACCTTCCCCAACACACACACCCCAGTTTGTTTTTGTAAAGTCTTTTACCAAATATACAGTAGTTCTGGAAAGTGTGTTCAGAACAGGCAACCCTCTCATCTGGAGGCCTAATATAATTAATTGAGTTAGACAACACACAGATTAGGAGAAAACCTCTGCAACTCATATATCTGATAAGGGACTTGTGTCCAGAATATATAAAGAATTATTTCAACCCAATAATAAAAAAGCAACAAGCTATTTAAAATGGGCTAAAGGCTTGAATAGACATTTCTGTAAAGAAGATACACAAATGGCCTATAAGGATGTGAAAAGATGCAACATTATTCATTAGGAAATACAAATAAAATCACATTAAAATACTACTTCACACCCACTAGAAAGGCTATAATAAAAAGTAGATCATAACATGTGTTGGTGAAGATGTAGAGAAATTACAACACTTACATATGCTGGTGGGAATGTAAAATGATGCAGCTGCTTTGGAAAAAACAGTTTGGCGGTTCCCCATAAAGTTAAACATAGAAGTTACCATATGACCCAGCAGTTCACTCCTAGGCAAAAATCAAAGAGAAATTACAGTACAAAAACTTGCACATGCATTTCATGGCAATATAATAACCAAAACAAACTCAAATGTCCATTAACTGATGAATGAATAAACAAAATGTGGTATATTCATACTATGGAATTTTATTCAGCTATAAAAAGGAATGAAACACTGATACATGCCACAACCTGAATGAACCTCAAAACCATTATACTAAGTGGGGGGGGAAAAGCTAAACACAAATGATTATATGTTGTATGATCATTTTTCTCTTAAATACCAAAATAGGCAAGGGAGAGAAAGAAAAGTAGATCAGTGGGTACCTACGGTAATTGAGGGGAGGCAGGGGACTGACTGCTAATGGGTATAAGATTTCTTTGGGGCATGATGAAAATATTCTAAAGTTAAATTATGGTGATGTTTGCATGATTCTTTAAATATACTAGAAACTTTGGGATTGTACACTTTAAAGAGGTGAATCACACCAAGTGGCCAGATAATTACGATCTCTGAATGCATAATAATCTGGCCACTTAGTGTATATTCTATATAATAAAAGGATAATATGCAAATTGTCCCTTCAACCAGAAGTTCAACCAGCAAGCAGGCTAGCCAACCCCTTATGTCCCCTCCCCTTGACCAGGCTGGCTAGACCCCTCCCATACATGAATTCTTAAAGATGAATGAAATTTCCTAAGGTTATCAGTTGTATATCCTACTACAGGTTCTTAATCACATTATTAAAGAAAATATTATTGCTGAAACCGCTTTGGCTAAGTGAATAGAGCGTTGGCCTGCGGACTAAAGAGTCCTAGGTTCGATTCGGGTCAAGGGCAGGTACCTTGGTTGTGGGCACATCCCCAGTAAGGGGTGTGCAGGAGGCAGCTGATCGATGTTTCTCTCTCATCGATGTTTCTAACTCACTATCCCTCTCTCTTCCTCTGTAAAAAAATCAATAAAATATATTTTTTAAAATATATTATTTGGTTAAATTGAGAAACTAATCATTCCTGAGATAAAATGATTGCTTTATCTTTCCATCTGTTGTCTCAACAATTATTTTGCCATCATCTCCACTCCCCTTAATCTCAACCTCAATGTAAGTGTTCTTGCTATCATGAATCCAGCATTTCTTTTTCTCTATAGGGAAAAAAATATGTATGAATTACCAGCAAAATATTAGGTCTAGTAATAATTAATGTCGTTTTCTAATACTTTTTTTTAAATTGAATTTATTTAAACAATACAACAAAATTTAATCAACAATATAGTTGCTGTTGTTTTCTACTACTTGTGCCCAATGCTCAGGAAGCATTTTAATCCCTCTGTTGTAAAATTCTTGTGATTTTGATGCAAAAAATTCGGTCAATGCATTTTTGAGGCATTCTTCATTATTAAATTTTTTTCCAAGAAGAAAGTTTTGCAAAGAACAAAACAAATGGTAATCGGAAGGGGCAATATCAGGAGAATATGCAGGTTGAGGGAGAACTTCCCATTCCAACTGGCGCAGTTTTTCAGCAGTGATTCTTGCAGTATGCGATTGTGCGTTATCGTGATGAAGAATTACGCCCTTCCGATTAATCAGCGTGGGTTCTTTTTCTCTTAAAGCTTGGGCTAACCTTTCCAATTGGGCACTATACACTGCACTTGTAATGGTTTGGGTAGATGGTAAAAGTTCATAATGAAGAATTCCTTTAAAATTCCACCAAACACACAACATCACTTTTTTCGCATGCAAGTCAGGTTTTGGCGTGGGCTGCGGAGCCTCATTTTTGTCCAACTATTGAGGCCGCCTTTTCAAATTAACATACAGCACCCATTCTTCATCTCCGGTAACAATTTGCTCTAAAAACGGCAAACGGTTTTGACAAGAGAGGAGCGAACTGCAAATTGTGACTCTTTGATTACAGTTGTTGTCGGTCAACTCATGAAGAACCCATTTTCCAAACTTTTGGACTTTGCCAAGTGCATGCAATTGATTAGAAATTGTTTTTTGTGAACAATTTAAAGTTGTCACAAGCTCTTGTTGGGTAATTTGAGGATTTTGCACCAAAAGAGCTTGAAGAGCTTCTTGATCAAAATTGAACACACAGCCTCGACCACTCTAGTCATCTAACGAAAAATTTCCCTCGTGAAATTTCTCAAACCAACGCTGGCATTTTCTGGCGCTAACTGCATCTTGACCAAGAGCACTACAGATGTTTTTTGCAGCCTCACTTGCTTTTCTTCCTAATTGGAACTCGTAAAGCATGCAGTGCCAAATATGCTCTTCATTCGCCATCTTCTTCGCCCTAGTTTTGCAACAAAAACCAAACCAAACACAAACTTTTTCAAGCAAAACTTGTTAATTGCACTTCACACGTTCTGTAGATACCACGTGTTTGAAGGTTATGTCAATACAAGTCAACGCCAAGCAAGATTTTAAACGAATGTTTGAAAACGACATTAATTATTACTAGACCTGATATGTTAGACACTTTTGTACTGATAGGTATGACCTTGTTTCTGCTAATTCTGCTTGTTGATTCAGAATCATCAAATAAGTAATTGCAAAGTTCAATAAAATTATGAAAGGTTATCTTGAAAAAAACATCCACCCAATGACTGTGTAAGAACAAGAGACATTTCAGCAAGAAGAGGTAGGGAGCATCATACGCCATTTTGCTACCAGAAGTTTCCCTGCTCAAACCTTACCCACTCCTCCCACACCCAACACTTACCTCCTACTCACTGCCTCAGATCCTGGGAAATTGCCTAGGTGCTTTGATCCTTCCCAGCTCTCTTCCAAAAAAAACTTCACTTAGAAAGGTCTAATGAAAATCTGGGTTAGTGGTCATATCTACCTTTAGGGTTTCTTTAGCCCTTAGTTGTTTTTTATATTATCACCTGAAGATATTTTTCAATTGATTTTCAGAGAGTGGAAGAGACAAGGAAAGAAAGAGAGAAACACATCGATTGGTTGCTCCCTGCACTCACCCCAACCAGGGCCTGAGCTGGGAAGAGCCTGCAACCGAGGTACACGCCCTTGACCAGAATCAAACCAGGACCCTTCAGTCCACAGACTGATGCTCTAGCCACTGAGCCAAAGAGGCTAGGGCTAGCCCTTAGTTTTAATTTTGGAATAAAAGCCTGCCAAGGGAATTACATGCTAGAATTGGAAGGGGAAGATTGAGGAGAGAGAAGATGAGGTTATATCTATCATGCAGGATAACTGGTTCTGACCATTTTTTTGATGTATTATTTATCTCTTTTCAGTCTCCTCATGATAGCAAGACCCATCCAAGCAAAGCAGCCCTCCACAAAACAATTAACCAATAAGAGGTTTCTGGTACAATGAGGCAAAATTTCATACACACCTGAGACAACTTCTCAAGTTCTTTGCCACCTGAGACAGATAGCCAGGGAAGATGAATGAGAAATGGACTTTTAAAGCAAAGTGAGTCTTACCAGAAGCTCACAGAAATCTCCTGACACAACTTCTCTAGTAGATAACATTTGGCTGGAAGGGGGAAATCTGACCTCGTGGCACAGATGAAACCTTGCTGCAACCATGGCAGTAACACCAACTTTGTCACCACCACCTCTGCTGACACATGAATTACAAAAGCTACTCGTCCAAAGGCTTCAGGACAGGGCCCTCATCAGATGCCCAAGAGGTGGGGAAACAGACTTTGGAACAGAATGTGTGAGAAGGGGTGAAGTTGGGCAACATTCTTTTGCTCATACTTTCTTACCCTCACCATCAACACTGCTCCCTTCTCCGGTTTCCGGATTGCAACCAATTCATCACTAAAACTGCTGGGCCAGAAGATTTTTTTATTCCTAGTTGACTGATTTTGTATTTGCTTCTACTTGTTATTTGCATTTTAAATACTGGGCTTGCATTGTATCTATTCTTTTGGACTCTTTTTGCAAAAACGGATCTTGCTTTGTGTTACTTCTATGAAAACAGGCTCGTTTATGAAAAGCACCCATTTTGCATACATATTGAATATTTAAGGTAAATACACTGTATTTTAAACCAAATGTTTTCACTTGGGGGAAAAAACAAGGCTATCACCTGGCACAGATTCTTCCTCTCTCCCCACCCCCTTCCCATGCTCCCTTTTATTTAAAGAAAAAGAACCAAAAAAAAGAGATTAAGAAAGTTGCCCAGCCGTGGCTGGTTTGGCTCAGTGGATAGAGTGCCAGCTACAGGCAGAAGGGTCCCAAGTTTGATTCTGGTTGGGGACAGATACCTTAATTACATTCTCAGTTCCTGGGCCTGGTGGGGCATTTATGGGAGGCAACCATTGATGTGTCTCTCTCACATCGATGTGTCTCTCTGTCTCTCCTTCCACTCTCTCTGAAAATCAATGGAATATCCTGGAGTGAAGATTAAGAGAGAGAGAGAGAGAGAGAGAGAGAGAGAGAGAGAGAGAGAGAGAGAATTGTCCATAGTCACATAGCTAATTAGTGGCAGTCATTAGACTAAAGTCCAGAAATTAGATTACCTACCTCCAAAATCAGTGTTTCCAATACAACATGCTTCCTCTATCTCATATGCTACCAGGGGTCCTCAAACTTTTTAAAGTGGGGGCCAGATCACGGTCCCTCAGAGAGCTGGAGGGCCGGACTATATGAACTACTAATTCCTACTGTAACACCTCGGCTGCGCTCACTGCCCAAAAAACCTGGCGGGCCGGATCAGACTCCTCTGCGGGCCGCATGTGGCCCACGGGCAGTAGTTTGAAGACGCCTGTAAGCTCTTTTTCATCCATTGTTTCTCTCAATTATCAGGTTCTTCAGCTGCCTCTCAATTAACAATTGTTTTTAATCACCCTTAGAAACTGTGAGAGAGAAGAATTTTCTGAAACTTTTACCTATCTGAGTCCCAGGCCTTGATGGGGATGTTTTTGAAGATGAAGTAAATTAACTCAGTCAACTTTTTTAAAAATATATATTTTATTGATTTTTTACAGAGAGAAGGGGAGAGGGGGAGAGAGTTAGAAACATCAGTGAGAGAGAAACATCCATCAGCTGCCTCCTGCACGTCCCCCAATGGGGATGTGCCCACAACCAAGGTACATGCCCTTGACCGGAATCAAACCTGGGACTCTTTAGTCCGCAGGCTGATGCTCTATCCACTGAGGCAAATGGGTTTCAGCAACTCAGTCAAATTTAATTCTTTGCATTCATAAATAATTACAAAGATGGAAAAGAGACAGCAATGGATTTGAATGAGGACATCTGGCTTTCCTAGTAATATAATAAAGAGGTGATATGCAAATTGACCCTCACACCTTCACACAAGATGGCCACCCCCATGTGGCCAAAGATTGATGCTACAAGATGACTGGCAGGGGAGGGCAGCTGGGGGTGACCAGGCTGGCAAGGGAGGGCAGTTGAGGGAGGACCAGGCCTCTAGGGGAGGGCAGTTAGGGAGGGCCATGCTGACAGGGGAGGGCAGTTAGGAACAACCAGACCAGCAGGGGTGGGCAGTTAGAGCTACCAGGCCTGCAAAGGAGGGCAGTTGGGGGTGACTAGGCCTGCAGGGGAGGGCAGTTGGGGGCAATTGGGCCATTAGGGGAGGGCAGTTAGAGGTGACCAGGCTGGCAGAGGAGGGCAGTTAGGAGTGACCAGGCTGGCAGGGCAGGGGAATTAGGGGCAACCAGGCCAGCAGGGGAGGGCAGTTGTGGGGGGGGGGGGGGAACCAGGCCTGGAGCGGAGGGAGTTGGGGTCAATTGGGCCCACAGGGGAGCAGTTAGGTGTCGATCAGTCTGGCTGGGGTATGGTTAGGGGGTTATCAGTCTGACAGGCAGGCGAGTTAGGAGCCAGCAGTCCCAGATTGTGAGAAGGAAGTCTCTCAGGGATCAGGCCTAAACAGTCATACATTCCCTGAGGTGTCCCAGATTGGAGAGGGTGCAGGCAATTTGGACTGAGGAATATCTTCACCCCCTCCCCGCAGTTCACAAATTTCATGCACCGGGCCTCTAGTAAAATATAAAGAATGGTCTTATTCCTTATTTCTTTGGGCCTTCATTTTTCTCATCTATAAATTCAAAAGGTTTGCCCATTTGATTTCATAATTTTAGATGATTAAATATCTTTGTCAAGATAATGGTAACATTTGTCTATTGAAGAAAACTTTAAAAGTATGAAAAAAATTTTTTTAAATATCACCTATGATGGAACTCAGAAAACCATTATTATCTGTTTGAAGCATTTCTTTTAAGTCTTTTTTTCTAGAGCACTGATCAAAATTGGGGTAATCCTATATTCAGTTTTTTTTATAGTGATTTTAAGTAGATTATCTACCCATTCTTCTGTAAAAGTCATTTACATTTGGCTTTGGGATAGTGTTTTTTCTTTATCTCTAAAAGCACATTTTCTGACAACCAGCAATTCTAGTTTCCTGTCCAAGGTGTTAACCCTATTGCATTGTGTTTGTTTTCGCCATTTACGGTCTCATTTGGTCCTCATAGATGAAGGCAGACAGAGTAAGTATTATATGGTTTGACAGATGAGAAAACAGAGCTCAGTAAGAAGTGATTTGCTCTAATTACACAGCTAGAGAACATCAAGGATGGGGAATTTGATCCCAAGACTACTTGCAAAATACTTTTATCACACTGCTTTCACTTGGCCTAAGTCCCACAAACCATAATGTATTGTCTGCTAGCCCAGGGGGTGAAAAACTTTTGCTGACTCTCATATTTTTGTTGCCAGTGCATTTCTATGAAAAAGAATAATTAGGCAAAAAATAATAATAATAATAATAAATTAAAAATTATGTTATTGTTATATTTTAAGTAATTATTTAGAGTGCCAACAGAGCCTACTAAATGTATCATCCAATTATCTCTAGAGCCTGGGCTTGATTTTGATTTTCTCTCCGGAATCCCTACAGTCTGGTCCTCTGTTATCTCACTACCTGCAATAAGCTTCTGCATGACCAGCTCTGACCTCAGGGATAGTTTGTTGTTGTATTTGATTTGATGGATTATAATTAGCTTCTCTAAAATGCAATCACAGTAATGAAATTCAATGACTGGAAACTGGGAACTGATCCAGAACTGGTCTATGATGGAAATATAATGTCCTACATAACTGGCTTGAATTCTAATTGGTCATATTAAAGCCTGATGTTGACTAATTTTGAGTACTAGAACAACGCTCAGTCAGTATTTATGTTACACTATTGAATCATTTTGGAATTGAGATATGTAGGTGGCTTGATGCTAGATTACACTATGAATCTGATTCCAAATCGCCAATTAAATTGGAATTCAGAAAGTGGCCATGCAGCCCAGACATGAAAAGGGCAGGGGGAAAACACATCATTTATTTAGAGATTTTCATGTAGCACTTAGCCTTTATCTTGAGGCTAAATCCTCATTAACCTTTGTTTTTGCCTGTCACTACCAATAAATTATTAATCAGGGTGAGCAAGTCTCCCAATTATCTTTTGTTTAATGTTGGCTGAGTGACCCTGTTGACCTAGAAGAGAGCCAGAGGGCAAACTCCAACACTAGTATATTCCAAAGGACCCAAAGATGGCTTGTTATTCCTGCCTTCCCAGTCTTTTCCTGTCTTATTTACAGTAAACAAGCCCAAGCTACAATCTAAGTCTTAGTCCCCTCCCTTCATCATCCATTAACAACTAGGAGGTTTCTCAGAAAGACTTTACCTGGGGTCATTCCTACAGATATCTGTACTATAACAGTATTTCCTGGAAAAGAAAACATGTTTTATGGCCAAGTAAGCAGGGCTTGCACCTGGGTGCCTCCCAGCACTTCTCTCATCTGCAAACTTCCATCCCTACCCTGGATACTCTGGGCTCCTCAACTGCTCAGAGGTTCATAGAGATGGGTTAAGTTGATCTCCAGATGATGGTTCTCAAACTATAAAATTATCTCAGTTGCCACCTGGCAGCAGTAAAATAAAGTGAAGCCAGGAGTCACCACAATGAGTCTTGGCATCAAAGGCCGTGGCCTGTAGCAGAAGCAGCTCAGCCTTGCTTGTTCTGAAGAAGGTCAGAGCCTCTCCAAACTCTAACAGATCCATCCTTCTTAAAGGGATCCACCCCAATGCTGAGCCCTAAAAGTGAACTGAAAGGGTTCACTCGCAACAGACAGGAATGGGCCAAAGAAGTGGAAATGAGGCATCAGGCACCAAAAATAGACCAAAAAGGTTAGGCTTCCTTTTTAACTATCCCTACCCCTCTCTCTGTCATGCCTCAAGTTGACGATAAAATTGGACTCAAGTCTCTTGTTAGGAGTGGAAGAAGGGCTTTCAGGTTTCTAGTGCATCCAGGCAGATGGAGCATTGTAACCAGATGATGCTGACAAAATGGAGAAGTTATTTCACAGATGGTCAGCATTAGAGAGTAAAGGAATGAAAAGGTATCCCAACAGAGGTGAGTGTTTAGGTGTGGACAGAATAAAGAACCACTGGCAGACAGACATTTAGGAAGCTGGCCTAGGCCAGCAGTGGGAAGCATATGCTAGAGGTGGGAAGCAGCTTGTGTGGTAGAAGGATGAGCTGGTGTGAGTAAAGGAGTTCTGGGGCTCAAACATTTCCAGTCTTGGAGGGATTGAGTTGCTGGTCAAAGCATCAGGGAAAAAGTCAAACACTATAATATAGTATAGAATCTATACCAAGCAAACACTTTACTTCACATTTGATAACATGGTGGAGCAGAAGTGGCATCTGGGCCACCATGATCCAAAATGAGAGATTATTCTCTCTAATTGACAAAAAAAATGTCTCAGGCTTTGCCCCCTCTGCTCAAGCTTGCATGACTAATATCATTAGCTCCATTTTACAGATGAGAAGCTAGAGAAGTACTTGCCATCGTTGCATAGCTCCAGTGCCCCATTCAAGGACTGATCAGCACCATGGTCTACCCCTCCAAATGAACTACAGTCATTTTCTATCTCACACAGGGGTGATAATAAAGCAATGTGTTTCACTACACTTACTCTGCTCCTTTCTTGTGGTGATTTGGTATGTCCAGTGATACCATCTATGGGATCTAAGCAGTGTGGTTTAAAGCAAAAACCAATAGTAAGACTATCAGTCCAGTCTAAGAGCTAGTTTCATCTCTACCAGAAAATAGGCATGTGGCTTGTAGGAAACCACCCCCTTGAGGCTCAGTTTCCTCACTTACACAATTCAAGGACTAATCCTAATCTGTGGGGATATTTCCTGAGGTCGACAGGTGAAAAGGTACTCAAGAGAAGCACATCCAGACATGGCACTGAGGGTAGCATTTCCCAGGAGAAGAAGACAAAATTGGCCTTTCTGTAGGTGAGCATTCAGAAGAAGAAAAATAAATACTTGACTAGATAGAATGGAGCAAGATAAAGGAAAGCTCTGAAAGTTAGGTGGAGAAATTTAAACTGGACAGCAGGAAATATCATACACTCTGGGCAGGGACCCGAGGATAGCAGGATTTTAGAAAAATGGCTCTGGCAGCATATTTGAGGTCATTGAAGCAGGGAGAAGCCATAGTCAGGGAGACACATTGCAAGTCCATATTTGTGGGAGAGCTGAACTGCAACCTCCTCCTCCCACTGCGCCTGGCTTCCTGGTGCCTTGCACTCAGGAGACAGAAGGGCTCAGGAAGTAGATTTGGATACAGAAGATACTCATAATATGTGTGTGCGTGTCTGTGGGTGTGCGTATGTGTACAGATTTCTTGGAAGAATACCTAAAAAATGAGTATCTAGGGCACATGTGTCAAACACAAGGCCCGCGGGCCAAATCCTTGATAGCATGTGAGTTGGTTAACAGCACTGTTAAGGAAAAGATTGTTCCACTCATTTTAAATTCACATTTCTGGTTAACATTGTCAGTTTATGACTGTTCAGTAAACCATTCGGCCCACGATTTAGGCCGGATTTTAGATTTTGGCCCCTTCTCTGATTGAGTTCGACACCCCTAATCTAGGGAGTGGGAACAGGATATGGGTCTGAGAAGGAGACAGTTATCTTTCACTTCATACCATTTCAGTCTGTTTCCATTTGTGGCATGTATGTACAGTGGTGCCTCGCATAAAGAACGCCTCGCACAACGAACGCTGCACACAACGAACTTCATTTCATGATTCATACAACGAACTTCGTTTCACACAACGAAGTCGCCCGAGCCTCCACGACCGCTTTGCCCGAGCTTCCACGACTGCTTCGCCCGAGCTTCCACGATTGCTGCCGATGTATGGCATCCTTCCGCACAGGCACTGCAGGCAGTCGTTAGTCACTGCGCTTAACTTAAGCACGTATCGCGGCAATCGTTCTTCATTACGAATTAAATCACGCACGTATCACGGCAGTCGTCCTTTTAAGTTAAACTCAATATTTTTTTTATATCATGGCTTCTAAAAAACAGGACAATGCTCAAAGGGAAGCGTCATCTGATAACGAGGAGCAACAATCAAACAATCAACCAATCCCAACTGCTGACATCAAGAACATCCTGGTCAAATGGAAAGCAGTTCAGGAGTTTACCAATGCCCACTATCCGGATTCAGCTGAAGCAAACAGGATCAACGATCTTTACTCTGATACTCTTGTCCGTTATTTCCGGCAGATGTTGGAGAAAAGAGAAAAACAAACGACTTTGGACAGGTTTTTCATGAAACCATCGGCCAAAAAGCAGAAAATGGATGAAGATGTGCAAGATTCGGTAGACTCTACTTAGTCTGTCTTAAAATTAAAAAAATGTGGTTTTTTTTTAATTATGTTTTTAGATGTATCTAAATAAAAATAATAACAAAAAATTTATCTTTTTTTATGTCATCTTAGCATATTTTATGCTACAGAACGAATTATTTTTTTTAACATGTATTGTTATGGGAAAACGCGTTTCACATAACGAACTTTTCGCATAACAAACTTGCTCCTGGAACGAATTAAGTTCGTTGTGTGAGGCACCACTGTACCGTATTTTTCGGACCATAAGACGCACTTTTTTCCCCCCAGAAGTGGGGGGGGAAAGTCCCTGCGTCTTATGGTCCAAATATAGCCAACAGATATACTTTTAAAAAAAAGTTTTTTTACTTGCCCGGCTCTGTGTGGTCTCTGTGTGCTTGCCCGGCTCTAAAATGGTTCTAAATGCTGCTGTTTACTTTACAGGGTTGATTACATGTGTTTATGACTGTGATGTTGGGTTTTAATGCACATAAAATATTTTAGGACACTATTTGTTTCAGAATCTTTTGTTCTTCATTTCCCTTCTCTAAAAACTGGTGCGTCTTATGGTCCGGAGCTTCTTATGGTCCGAAAAATACGGTAGTTTAACAGATTTTTAAAAGTAGTTCTTATTATAGTCAAGGGTAAAGCAATCACATCAAAACACAGAGCACACAGCTGTGTAAATCTCTTTGCTAGTCTGGACTACTTAGCATAATTAAAGGTATACAGGAAACAGTATGTGCAGGAAGCAGCACTAGATAGGAGGAAATTGACACCTGTTCACAGGTAGGTAATTGAGGCTGAGAATGACTCACCTGAGCAAAGGAAGGACCAGAATTCTCCTTCTTCCCTGGCCTCCCCCTGCATCCTTTAGTTTCATGTTGCACACGTGGCTTTAGAACTTTATGGAATAACACCCTTGTCACAGCACAGTCATATCAACACCTTAAAATAGGAAATGAAAGAGCCCAAACTCTCCAAAAATTAAACAAAATTAACCTTGCCAGCAAAATAAACAGGAGATATATTTTAATCATGATAGAGAAACATAGATGAATACAGAACCAAATGTACTTCTTTCAGAATGGTAAGTTAATCTAAATATGGAGAGGAAATTAAAATTGAGGCTGGTATTTGGGCACATTTTTGTCAAGAGATTCTGAGATCTATTGTAAACTTTTATCTGGCAGTAATTATATCCAAGAGGCAGAATAGACAAGGGAGTATGTCTGGAGAGCTAGCAGAGGAGAGAAAGGGATAAGGCACAGGGCTGTCTGCACACTGCTGTGACTTCCTCACATCTGGGCAAGGGGTGCCCTTGGAACATTTAGGAGCTTGATTTGTCAACTCATACTGGGATGATTGGGCTCTGAGAGTCAGATAGCCATGCCCCTAAGTGTGGTGACCATATTATTTATTATCCAAACATAGACATATTTTTTAATACTAAGACACATTTGATAGTGAAAGGGGTTGCTAGTAATAATTAAGTGTGGGCAACAGACATAATCTGATACCACCCCATGCAAATAGAGACATATGGACATCTCATGCCTGAGAGAACAGATTATTTGAAATGGCAATTTATAAATCAACAACAAAGGTACACCATTTTACAATAGTAACTACAAAGTTCAGATTACATGGCTCCATTATTCACAGGTTACTTAGACAACATTATTATCAGGAAGTTGAATTCAGAGAGGTCTTAGATACTGAAGTCATTCTGTTTGTAGTACAACCAAACCCCTTCTGATCTGTTTCAGAATTCACTTTTTCAGAGACCAAGTTCTGTATAAACCACCACTCTTCCATTTGCACTGATATAATGCACCTTCCAGAATTAAATGTATCTTAGTACCAAGATAACAAGGTAAGGATGAAGAGTGGGAAGGCCTGCCAAAACCGGTTTGGCTCAGTGGATAGAGTATCTGTCTGCCATATAAGAGGTGACATTATCCTGGGTGATGGGCCATCCTGGTAACTATGATCTGAAGCATTTCCTAGGACTTAGGACTTCCAATGCTCAAACCAGGTAAGTCCCAGGTAAGCTGGGACAAGTTGTCATCTTACTTTTAAGACTAGAGCATTGAGTGCCACATGCCTAGGTTGCAGGCTTGATACCCAAAGGGTGGGCATGCAGAAGGCAACTGATCAATGATTTTCATCATTGATGTTCCTATCTCTCTCCCTCTCTCTTCTTCTTTGAAATCAATAAAAAATATATATTTTTTTAAAAAGACTAGAGCATTGAGTCATTTTAAGAATAAAATTCTAATTTAAAAATTAGGTGTTTTAGCCCTAGCAGATTTGGCTCAGTGGATAGAGCATTGGCCTGTGGACTGAAGGGTCCCAGGTTTGATTCTGATCAAGGACATGTAT